GCCACGACACAATAAGATCCACCTAAGTGTCTTTCCCTTTCGCTTAGTATACCCACTTGAGCATTAAAGTCACCAGCCACTATAACTACATCAGAGCGCCTAGCTTTTCGGAGAAGGTTGGAAAGCTTTCTGTAAAACTTATCTTTGACATCATCTGAGCTGCAGTCAGTGGTAGAATAGGCAGAGACGACGAAGAGGCAACGACGAGAGTCCCTGTCTTTCTGAGTCCTTATTGTTCCGTTTAGTTGGACAGCGCACAAAAGACTGTCTACTGGGATCCAGCCCAAAAGATCTAGTTCTGCCCTAGGACTCAATGCTATACCCCCAAATGCCCTGCTACGGCCGAGAGTGGGGAGAGTCTGCTCTCCCTCTCGAAATGCTCTCACACGGCCACGCGTATACGATGCTCCACTGCCTTGTGGATCAGACCTTCGGGTCGAAGGCCCGGGGTGTGGCCCCCTAAGAAAACCAACTGGTTCGGTTTGGGCACCCGGGCAGTATCATAGCCCTCACACATATCAAATGAGATTTGTGTGGCGCATATGTATTTGGTGCCTCTTTGTACCATTATCTATGTGTTGAAATAAAAAATAATAAAATACTCAATGCTATAAATAAATAGTGTGGCGCATATATATTTGGCGCACTCTTGTACCAATATTTATGTGTTCAAATAAATAAATAAAAATAAACTCAATGCTATACTTACGCCGGCGAGTCCACGAGAAGCAGCATCTGGGCTTCCAGATACACGAAGTGTGAATTGAGTTGGTTCTTTATTTTGACATGGTGATGTCAAATGAATGACGCTACTCGGACCGTGTATGCGCGTTTCCGAGACGCAGCACATATCGATGGCGCGAGATTCTAAAGTCCTTGCTAAGGAAGCTTGTTGTCCTACTTGGCACAGTGTTCAGACGTTGTAAGCTCCAACATGAAGTTTAGAGCGTGATTTCAGGAGATCAGGAATGGCGTTCCGCGTACTCCAATCGTTTGCCCTGGCGGTGCGAGGTGAAAAAGGGACGTGAGAAGGGTTAGTCGGGGAGATAAGAGTGGTATTCAGAGGTGTAGGAAGGATTTGATTGTGACCAACTTGGTCTCGTGTGCTGTTACGGGTATGAGGGCTGGTGCCACTTCCCGGCTGCCCACACAGTGGAATGGTATTTCTTGAGGGACCTGAAAAGGAGGTCGAATTAATGTTGGCCTTAACAGCCTGGGAGCGTGACCGCAGAGCGCAAGGGACAACTGCTTGAGGCCAGTCGCGCACGGCTTTTTTGTGGGAGGTTTTTGACGTGTTAGCTCCGTTCTTCAAAGGATCATACCGCCGGAGATGGAAATCCGTGAGATAAGGTGAGGTGCAACATTTTTAGTGTCAACCTTTCCTAACCCCATCCTTCTTTGTGAGAAGGCTGCATCGCTGCAGATGCTGGTTGTCTGAGGGAAACACCTTACTGCTGTCACACCCCGCTACAGTCAGCAGTACGACTTCGCCCTGCTGCTTTTAGTCTAACCGTTCTCCAATCGACCTGCCTGTCATGGTAGAACCTACAGGAACATATGTTCCAGCCAACGTAGCTCGGTTGGGTCATCACGATAGGCAAGCCCGACCACCGCGTCAAGGTAGCAGCTACGGTTGGGTCTAAATGCATATGCGGTGCATAGTACGAAAATGAGATTGTGGAGATTTAAATGTAGGTATAATAAATGAAAAAAAACAATAAACAAATAAAAACAAGTGAACGGGTTCGAAAGAAATATAGTGGGAGAAGCTTAGTCGAAAAACACAACCAGATTAGTTCTATTAGTTAAAGAAGTTCTCACTTATTTGGAGAAAGTAAAAGAAATTTACAGCAGAATTACCACTGGTTTCTATTCCGAACTGTGCCTGATAATGTACCGATCCAGTGTTATGCTATCTCTAGGACCCTAACCAGTGAATCATGAAAGACTGATAAATGCCTATCCTGCACGGCTTACTTTCATACCACAGCGCCATTCCATAAACTGGCCATCTTTGCTTTTTTAACCAGTCCCAGAGTCAGCAAATAATGCACGGTGTAGAATTCACTGGGACAACATTTGTAGTACATGTCCATGTCACCGAAGGGGGTGTTTGAAGATAGTAACACCAAGTGAGTTATCATCGCTTTGCTCGAACAGACTTTTCCAAACCTCTGAATTACTAACACGGTGTTTCCACTGAATATCAACAATCCTTCGGAGAAAAAGATGATCGAACACAGAGCCGTTTAACGTCAACTTGGAGAGACTAGGTATCACGAGCATCGAGCAAAACTGCTCTCACAGCTACCCAAATACACTCATTCTTGGTAATGAGCAGATAAGAGTAATTAAGAAGTTCGTGTCTGGGTAGCTGTGTAAGTGATGGCGGTGGCGTAAGTGATTATTATTATTATTATTATTATTATTATTATTATTATTATTTCACCATCATACACTAATTTTCACTTTTGTTCTTCTTTGTGTTATCTGCACCTTCCTTTCTGTATTTCTTCACAATCTCATTTTTATTGTGTGGCGCATATGTATTTCGGTGCCTCCTTGTACCAACTTTGTTTAAGTGATAATAAGGTACACGAACTTCTCGACTACTTCTAACTGCTCACTACCAAGAATGAGTGCAGGCATAGGCTCCTGATAGTTGTGTAAAAGTACTGTGGACATTAGTGTAAAGCATATACCATACCTACGAAAACCAACTACCTACTGATTTAGTGCGGACTACATAGCTTGATTATCATCACATAGTAAGACAATATCATCTGCATGCTCAAGGTCGAAAAGTCTTCCTCCAGTCAACGGATCCACATCAGCACTACCTACTTACATGACAACCGTTTCCAGAACATCATCGGTGGCAAAGTTGAAGAGAAATGTTGAGATTGTGTAGCCCTGTCTAACCCTACTGCTTGGATGGGACAATCGTGCGAGGTAATTATATGCCCTCACTCGGCCTAAACTGTTTGTATATAAGCTCTTCCAGATGTTAATGAACTCAGACAAACCGTTCTTCAATAGACAACCATAGAGGACGGTCCTGTCCAACGAATCAAAGGAGGCTGTGACATCAAGAAAACAATGATTGTTGGCCTACATTAAATATGACGGTGTTCTAACGCCTAACGGAGGGTGAAGATATAATCAATGTATCCTTGACCAGAGCAAAAACCAGCCTACTTTTTTGCGGGAGGGCACTAGATATATATGCGCCACACATTGTATGATGGGTATGATACTGCCCGGGTGCCCAAACCGAAGCAGGTGGTTTTCTTAGGGGGCCACACCCCGATCCTTTAACCTAAGGGTCTGATCCACAAGGCAGTGGAGCATCGTGAGGAGATGCAGTCCCGTGGAAGCCGGCGACCAACAATTGGTTCATACGCCATTTGTTCCCTCAGGATCGTGGAGCCCATGTGCACCATTGGTTTGGAATCCGGTTAAAGCGTCGGACATTCGCTTTTCGTCCTCTCATTTTCGTAAACAACAGTAATGCCACGAGAAGGCAGTGAGTAGGACTTTCCTGGCAGAGGCTATATACGCGTGGCCGTGTGAGAGCATTTCAATAGGAAGGGCGGGGGCTTTTAGGGGCTTTGAACAATCTGCAAAATATGACGGAAGGTAGTATTTTGGATGCAGTCGTAGATAGACTTATCTTCCGACATTTGTTTCACATGAGATGTAAAGCATTTTTGAAGATAGGGGCGACTATAGCCTCATTTCAAGATGTTGGAACGATAATTGCCAAACGTTTGGAAACAACTCGGTCAGTTTCATAACGAGTTTTTCGCCACCATCCTTAAGATAGGTTGGGGGTAAATTATATAATTCTGGTGGTTTATGGGGGCTTCATAACTTGTGGTTTCTTGTGGACTTCTGCTTCGTTAGTTGGATCAGTTGTCACCGGTCTTGGCGGACAGAATAGTCCGATCGATATCAGCGAGGCAATAGACCAGCCGAACTGTTCTTCGAAGAACTCTGTCCATCTTATAAGACGTCAGTAGATGTTATTAATTGGTGTCCTATCAGCTTCACAAATTGTTTTCTTAATACCAACTTTCTTCCAGTAACTCGAGTGAGTTGGAAGAGCTCCCAGCCGTTATGAGATACAGTTACTGCTACCAACGTATGATAAGATAAGGTTAGAGCATGCCGGCAGTAGCTGATTACGATGCGATTAATCTGAGTCCAAGTTTGAGGTACCTGAATCCTAACCATAACACTAGTGTAGAAACTACGGTCAAGTTTTAAGATTAATAAAATTTTAAGATATAATAACCTTACTTATAATATGAACTGTTTAACTGATTTCTATGCAGACAATCTTGTAGCCTAGTAATTTAGTTTTTTTCTTTTTTGACTAATTAGTCACTGGTTGAAATCCAACTTCATTTACTTTGGTATGAGGGAATAAATAATATTGTTCACCTCTGTACAAAGAGTGTAACTCAAAGTCAACCATACACAACTGGTTAGTCAATCAGTTATGGACAGTGTGGGACATAGTATATATGCATCGGTTCAGGTTGCGAAATCACTTGAACATAGCGAGGTGGCAGAATAGTATGAGTAGGAACATTATCAGTGACAATGGAAAAGATTAGACATAGAAGATATGAAACCCGTTCTGGCAGCTTATTTGTCATCTTTGTATTCTCATTCTCTCTGTTTTTATATAATACGATAGTTGTGTGCATAGACTTCTAATGTATTTGATACATATTACTCTCTTCTGGTTATTACACAATTTACTCTTTTATTACTGTCATAGTATTTATAATTTTGTCACATAGTTTTTTGTTCATTGTTTATCACAATACGCGAATGACTTTTTTAATACGAAAGTATTCCACTCAAAACACCAATTTTAGTTCTGATTTTTTTTATTAATGATATCTATCCCGAATACGTCACTTTTATTGGTTATATTAAACCTGATAGTTAACATGGTAATAATCTAATGTTATCTAACTACTAATTTCAGCTTAATCATTTCATCAACTCATTGCGAAGGCTTGGCAAATATCAGACAGAATAAGATGTGGCTGAAGTCTCTATGGATGACTGTGAATTAGATTTGTTATTAAAAGAGTTGGAGGCTGATTATACGGATGCCCTTAAATATGTTGATCGTGAATTGGAGAAAAAAACCACCACTTTGGTGGTTGATGATTATGAGCGACTTCAGAAAATTGGGCAGGGAACATTTGGTGAAGTGTTCAAAGTTCGCCATCGAGTTACTAAACAACATTATGCTTTGAAACGACTTAAAACAGAGCAAGAAACAGAGGGTGTAAGTAAACTTTTACCATTATTTCTCTAATACATATAGTTTCCAGTTACTGCTCTACGAGAAATTAGAATTCTCAGCTCACTTTCCCATGAAAATGTTGTGCGTTTGCGAGGCGTTTGTCATAAAAAAGGTATATTGTTCATCCAATATTGATTTCAATCTATAGCTGCCCCTTCTAGCAACTACAGGTACGAGTTCTATCTTCTGTTCGACATTTGTGAGCATGATCTAGCAGGTCTATTAGCTCAAAAAGTCGAGTTCAGTCTCCCAGTGAAGAAAAGCATAATGCAACAGTTGCTTACGGGACTTTACTTTTTACACAAGTAAATATCATTTTCAGATGACTAATTTTTTTTTAAAACTTTGTCATTTTTAAATAAACTGTCTGTTGTATTAGGATTGCTGATTAGTTATTAAAAACCTCACTTTCAAACATCAAGTCTCGCATTCGGTCCCAGCCTCACCTATATTATTTCAGGTAACCGGATATTACAAATGGTCATCATTGTGTATATAGATATATAGTTTCATTGCTAATAAAGATTTACCTGAGGATACGCAACGAACTTCAGGTATTTCATTGGCGATTTTCTTGGCAAAATAGTAAAAGTACAGTGTCATTATAAATTGTGTACTAATTTTTGCATTACCCGTATTTATTTTATTTATTTTAACAAATTGATATCGGTAGAAGGAGGCACCAAATACATATGCGCCACACAAATCTTATTCGATATGTGTGAGGGCTGTGATACTGCCCGGGTGCCCAAACCGAAGCAGGTGGTTTTCTCAGGAGGCCACACCCCCAGCCTTTGACCTGAAGGTCTGATCCACAAGGCAGTGGAGCATCGTAAGGGAGATGCAGTCCCATGGAAGCCGGTGACCAACAATTGGTTCATACGCCATTCGTTCACTCAGGATACTGGAGCCCATGTGTACCATTGGTTTGGAATCCGGTTAAAGCGTCGGATATTCGCTTTTCGTCCTCTCATTTTCCTAAACAACACTGTAGCCACGAGAAGGCAATGAGAAGGACTTCCCTGGCAGAGGCTATATACGCGTGACATTTGAAGAGGGAGAGCGGACTCTCCCCTCTCTCGGCCGTACCAGGACATTTGGGGGAATAAAATAATATTTTCATGTAAATAGTACATACTAATTTTTACGGTTTTACGAATGCATACTCATGTCTTATTAAAAATAACCTCAAACGATAAAATTCCTTGATCTTATAAACTGATAAATAACTTTTTTTTTAGCTGAAACTTAATTGTGAATGATACTTGACAAGTAAAGAATAGTTTAGTAGTCATAGCATTAGAATAAGTCCTTTGAGTTCTCCTGAGATCTTTTCAAAATGTAACTTCTAGGTTGTTCAGTTCATCCATTAACATATCTATAAGAAAATGTTGCTGCCTGAGATTTCCATATCAAGCTTAAGCAAAGGAGTTAAAGTGCCCAACTTTCACATACAAAATCAATAGTATCTCTCATTTTTTAACATCTTGTAGAAATAATGTTCTTCATCGTGACTTAAAAACATCTAACATACTAATTGATCGTGAAGGTGTTTTAAAAATAGCAGATTTTGGTTTGGCAAGGCTTACAGTCACTTCTATTCGACCTGACCGTGCTTCTCGTTATACTGGTCGCGTAGTAACTTTATGGTATCGACCTCCAGAAATTTTGCTCAATGATCGTTATTACGGAAGACCGGTAGATATATGGGGTGCTGGTTGTATTATGGCTGAGCTTTGGACAAATTACCCAATTATGCAAGTAAGTAATTGACGAATAAACTTTTCAAGTACTTAAGGTTAATCAAAGCAAGTTTTATTTTGATTTGTTGATGTCACATATCCACCTTAACCAAATCATACTTCATATTCATTTGTTTTCGTTTTTTTATTTATTTTTTATTTTAACACATAGATTTTGGTACAAGGAGGCACCGAATACATATGCGCCATATAAATCATTCGATTTGTGTGAGGGGCGTGATACTGCCCGGGTGCCCAAACCCAAGCAGGTGGTTTTCTTAGGGGACCACACGCCGAGCCTTTGAGAGTTTCTTCATGTAAAATTTGTTCATTGAAAATGACGGAGAACAACTAATGTGTGGATTGTACCATTCTTCCAGAAACCGGAACACAGTGGTTGGCTGGCGGTAGTTTAAAATTCTACTGAATCTGCTTTGGAGTGAGCGTGTCACCTGTGGATCTGATTGTTGTGTAAACTAACGCAATTCGGAAATGTCATCTACAAAATTAGATCTATCATCGTAATATGTTACCGTTAACATCCCTCTTTTTTAATATAACGCACCAATCCCATAATAGGGACTGTTTACACCATCGGTTATTCCTAGTGGGAGTCTATGGACTCATAAGTACACACCCATATCTTTCCAGTGACCTCCGTCATCAAAAAGAAAGAGATCCGAAGTACTTAACTTCAACAGGATAAAACTCATATCAGTCTCATAAGCTATGCATAAGTACGAAAAGTCATTTGTTGAACTAACCTTACTTTCAGTTGCCAGCATATCACACATTTTCTTATTTATCGTCTTACAGTGCTTATCTTTTTCAAAATCTCATTATTCTCGTGGATTGCAGCTAAAATTTGAGACGAACCTCTACGACCTCCCTCATAGTCATAGTGTCTAGTTACCGATTCAGTCACTAACTAACAGGCTGACAGTATTATTGGATACTTACGAAAAGCCGATGACTCAGTGTTCTTTAGGGTTGCAAACTATCTTAGTTTGTGTTTTGCCTAACCATAGACATTCTTTAAGAAATAACACTTTATTCCTCTGACTTCTCAAAGATTAATTTCTTACCAAGAGATCCACAAATTGACTGAGAATACGTAGACGATTTGTTCCTCGCAAGGATGCTAATAAAATTTAGTCTTTTAGACACACTGAGTAACAATCCAAAAATGTTTGGGACGTGATTTTCTCCTTTTAAATGCAAAATATTGCTTCAAAACTGGTATGCATCAACGCATAAACTAGTGGTTAGGAGTCAAGTAGTTCAGTTCATCGACCACGTTGCTTGGAAGTCTCATTAGCCCTGATTGGTTAGTGTCTTGACACAGATTCAAAACGCTCAGCTCGTTCCTGTCAACTTGCATCCGTGTGGCGTAAACAATATGTCTGTTTCCCAAAGGAATCCGGCACAGTAGTTCTCTCTATTTTACTCCGTAGGTGTGAAATACGGTGTTTTAAATAGACGCTCACAGACTGCAGTTATCTGACCATAGCTATCGGTGCATTTTGGGAAAGTTGAATGCTATCCATAGTTAACAAATATGTTGATGAGGTTGTGAATCTTGATCGACTTAGGTGGTTGATACGTGTTAACTGGCTTACTGTAAACTATAACGTCTGTAACACAATGATCTGATCTGATTTAGAAGAAATGAAACAATTGTATGACATGGAATTTACTTCTTATTGGTGAATTCAACTGTTTATCCTGTATGATGTATGTGTTAGACTGTCGTTACTAACTCTATTCATAGTGATCATTTGGTTGTTACCTTCAGTCGGGGTATATGTACATGACTTTGAGCCATACGGTTTTGGTGTGAAAACTAATGATAGTCTCACTGAAATCATGAATCGATCTAAGTTAGATCACGACTGACTAATGATAGTATATGGCTGTCTAAACCGGAATAGATGAAGTTGAGGGGGGGCTAAATCAACTGATTCAAAAATTATTTGATTATTGGAACACTTATTTCTGAACGTACTTACTTAATATGACCTCTAACAATTTCATACGGATTTGTTTCAAGATACCTTGGTTTATTTTGAATTCCCTCATCTTCTTTTTATCTTAAAGGGTGAGAATGAACTTCTTCAACTCAATTTAATTATTCAACTTTGTGGTTCTATCACACCGGAAGTTTGGCCAGCTGTTCAGAATTTAGAAACTTATCAAAAAATAAAGTTACCCAAAGATGTTAAACGTCATGTCAAAGAAAAATTGACACCACAAATTCCATGTCCATCAGCTGTTGACTTAATTGACAAATTATTAGTATTAGATCCAAATAAACGTTTGGATGCTGATCAAGCTTTATCACATGATTTTTTCCATGAAGATCCACCTCCTGGTGATTTAAGCTGCCTTTCAAAGAATGGTGCTTCATTTTTAGAGTATTTAGGACAAGCTAATAGAGCTAGACGTGGATTAGCAAATAATTACCGTAATGTTGCTAATCCTAATTTCCCAGCTAGGCGAGGTCCAAATGTTATGGTCCCTGGACCTGTACCAAATCAACAAATTATTAACCAACCATATCAACGTTATCGTGGTCTTCCACCAGATCAAGATTCATCTAACATCAATGATCGTATATTTTAATCAAAGTGAAGGGTTCAATGTTATCGAGAAAAAAAATTGTCCTTATTTGTATAATTTTGTGTATATTGCATTTTTACAAACAAAAGTAATTCAATTAGCCTGCAGAAGCAGTAGAATATTGTGATAACTACAAAACTAATAATAATAATAATAACAGCAACATATACAGAGTTTATTTCAGTCTTTAAGATTTGTATTTTTCTAGTCTCATTACAATTATAGTGTGAATATTTGTTATGCCTTGAATGATATAATGATGATGATTGCATTTTGCTCTCTCTTTCTGTAATTTGATATTTATTAGTCTACTAAAGAAATTTCTTTCTTTTTTTCGCTTGTCATTTAGTTTTTAATTATTAGGATGAAAAAAACATCTCAAATATAAATAACACGAAAGTGTGCATTGTAAATGTCAACGTCTTAACAAGCCTAGAATGTCAGTCAGTAACAACGTAGAACTTCGTACGTATGTACGTACGTACATCAGTTCCAGTTGCCGCACCACATTAGCACACTGATGCAGTTGTTGATTCAAATCCCGTAGTGATAGAGGCGGTAAAAGTATAAGCAGTAATCGGAAAGATTAGGGTTTGGAGATTAGAATTTCGGAGAACACAAAGAGTGTATGCGCCTGCGCCATTGCAAACGATTTTGAGCCATGTCATTCAGGGCTTCTAACCACCGCTTGCTATCATCTCGCGGTCCCCAACCAAATAGTCTTGAGATGGTGGAGAAGATTTGTAGCTCAGGTGGATGATTTTGGTGGAGTTTTGTTCTCTGAGCTCAGAGAACAAAACTCCACCAAAACCAAATAGTCTACACCTACCAACATGACTCAGTCCACTTGTCAGTGACTTCATGGACTTGTGCCAATTTTTGGTCTGGCCGCCCCTAGCTTTCTCCCAACCTACTCCTATACCATTGAACATCGCACTTCGAGGCAGTCGGTGGTTGAGGATAGGTAACACGTGTCCGAATCATCTTAAACTGATGAAGTTTCACTACTTCATTAATTGATTTACCATCCTTACCCAGTACCCGTTTCGTAACAACTGCATTACTTACTCGATGGTCCCAGGATATATGAGCAATGTTTCGAAGACACCTATGATCAAATACTAGTAACCTACGAATATCCTCTACTCTTACCGGCCATGTTTCACAGCCATAAAATAGGACGGAACGAGCTGCTGCGCAGTAAACACGTCCTTTGGTTAATAGACGGATATCTCGCCTACACCATAAATGACGCAAGTTGGCAAAAGCTAGTCGAGCCTTCTGTATCCGTGCTGAGATTTCGTCACACACCAGACCACAAGGGCTGGTGAGACTTCCAAGATAAGTGAAGCAGTCTACATGCTCAACTACTCCACTCTTTATCATTAGTTCGGGTATCGATGCAACCCAATCCTGAAGCAACATTTTGCATTTCGAGGGGGAGAATCGCATCCCGAACATGCTTGCATTGTTGCTTAGAGTGGTCATAAGACTGCATTTTGTCAGCGTGTTCACCAAGTAGAACTATGTCATCGGCATATTCTAAGTCAACAAGTAAATCTCCTGGTAGAAGTTCAACCCCTGGAAATTTAGATGAGGAAGGTGTTGTCTCTAAAAGTACGTCCATTTAGACAATGTGGGGTTTAGGATAAGTTTCATCAGTCGAAATTGTCACAACAGAATAAGACAAATCTAAAGTAAAGTATTAAACATATAGAATATGGTTAAAGACTAAGTAAAATTGAAAGTTTAAAACTTATTGAGAGATAAAGAATGGAAGTATCTCCGCAAATGGTGACTGATTCTTAACAAATCTATTCAAATCGATTGGTTATTCATATTGAAGACGCGATAAACATTTAAAGGAAAATTCGCCTGATTTCAACGAATACTTTGTCCATTGTTAAAACGTCACGTAGAAATTGATGAGTTATGTATCAGAGAATGGTTGTAAAATAAACTAAACTTCCGAGTTTTGAGCTCTTTACTTTAGCTATTATGCAGCAACTCGAACGACATTTTAGCATATACATTTTGGGTATGTTGGGATATTCAGGAAAATATCCCAAAAATCATCCTGTTAAGCCTAATGCTATCCTTGGACATGAAATGGTATCATCTTATTGGTCAATATTTATTTGACGTGTTATTTTCCTGTTGGCCATTATTGTACAATGTTATTTTCTATTTTATGGTATGTTGTGGTCTGCTTGACTGGTATATAAACAAAGTATGTTTGAAATATAATGATTCATATCTCCGAGGCTGAAACTTGTGTTCTGGATTCAACTGGCTGGGTTAGATAGGGAAGCGAGACCAATCAGAACCCTAGGTCGTTCTACGTGTTTGCGCGTCTTTGGTCCGATCAATAATTCGCTACCCCTTAATCAGCAGCATTAATTTTCACAGTTATAGCAGGGTAACATTTATGTAATTCAATCTACTGCTGATAAACACAGACTGTGAGATTGTCTACTACCAGTTTTCTGAAATCGTCATGTACGACTTAAACTAGGATCTGTCAGGAATTTCTACTGTCATCGTTGTTTGATATTACCTGGAAAACTTTTTGGAGTTTAATTAGCTGTTTCTTCCCAGTACAGAGTTCTTAAACAGCTATCCCGATAGTTTACCGTCCATTAATCGTTTAGTATGCTATACGACAGTTTACTGTTGTAGTCTAAACCTACAAAAACAAATTGTTAAAGTCTGAAATAGTACGTAAACTGAAGGTACTTCATCATATATTTGTAATGGACACTATTTGTATGATGTAGCTTTCCGATGAGCGATATCACATTAATGAACTCGTTCATACCATCTGAGATTGAGGTTGATCCTACTTGTTTTGTATTATCTTCGTTAACTTCTATCATAATAATATTTAGACCGTTCATCCGTTGTAAATTTATTCAATCATAACAATAAAGTAACCGGAAACTGTCAGCATTTTTTTTTCCAATTCAGTCATTAGATTAGTTTTCATAAAAGAATTTTGTGATTGATAAATTACATTTCACTAGTTAGTTTCATTGTAGATAATTGTTGTAATCATCCATCTCAGTCAGTCAGTCAGTCAGCTACAACGTAGGACCAGGCACATATGTGCATCGGTCCAGGTTGCCATTACCATCCATCTATTAGTAAACAAGTAAACTATTTTGTTATTCATCTTTTATATGAAAATAAACGATAGTTTGAAAATGAAATAATCTATTAACAAATGAACATCCTAATATTTGATTTCTATTTTCATGAGTAATGTAAAACAAAATATGGGAATGAGTAAAAACCGACATTATAGTTCACTCTTTACAGTCGGATTCATTGTGTTCATCATTGATCATATTTATGTTGATAAATATGATTTAATTAATATAAAGATGAAAGAAATAGTTATGAAGGATAAACAAGAATTGGTCAAGTATACTCTATTGTTCACATTATAGCTTCCTTGTATTATTATTGCTATATCAAATAGTAGAATCTTTGGATTGATCATTTTCTATTGATGGAATTGTTGTTGTTGTTGTTGTTGTTGATTACTTGTAAACGAGGTAATTTCATGTCTAAAATTTCTGTTTTCTCAATGTATGTGGAAGAGATTGGATTAAATTCCTGAAAATGAACGAATGTAAACACAACAGTTAGATTTAATAACAGAAATTGTAATGTGTAAGTAAAGAGAGAAGGATGTTCAATAAGTGTCATTAGGCTTTATATAATTACGAATAGAAATACTTATTCAAGACATGTGAATTGTTGTAATTTCATAGAATTTGACATTATATATATATATATATATTTGGATTAAAGAATGATAAGAAAGTTACACAATCATTACATATAGTTTGTTAGGAATTTAAAATCTGTCCTTGGAATCCATTTTTGTTTAGATTCTAAAGTTACTGTTTTATTAAACAACTAATATACTATCTAAACTGCAAACACGAGAAAATCAAGCTGGCTTCAAACCTGGTCGTGGCTGCATCGACCACATATTCACCATTCGTCAGGTTCTAGAACATAGGTATACTTATCAGCGTCCGACAATGGTGGTCTTTCTTGACTTAAAAGCAGCATTTGACTCGGTAGACCGCGAAATTCTGTGGCAGTGTCTGTCATTGAAAGGCGTACCCCAGAAGTACAAAAACCTTGTGAAGGTTCTTTACTCGAACACTACTAGTCGAGTCAGAGCTTATAACGAACAGTCATCTGTTTTTGCGACCTCAATTCATGTCCGTCAAGACTGTGCACTTTCTCCATTTTTGTTTGACTTCACCATAGATCTGATGGGAATAACATTCTCGTTTACTGAATTCTCGGGTATTGATCTTCTTCCAGGAGGTCCACTTATCGACTTAGAATACGCAGATGACATAGTCCTGTTTGGTGAAGACGCTGACAAAATGCAGAGTCTTCTGGTAGCACTAAGCAACAATGCCATAATGTTTGGAATGCGCTTCTCTCCATCCGAATGCAAATTGTTGCTTCAGGACTGGCCTGTGTCAACACCTGAACTAAGGATAGGGATTGAAGTGGTCGGACGCGTTGACGAATTCACTTATCTTGGAAGTCTGATCAGCACTAATGGGTTGCTGTCTGACGAAATCTCAGCAGGGATTCTAAAAGCTCATTTGCCTTTGCCAACTTATGTCACCTATGACGAAGGCGAGATATCCGTTTACCAATTAAGGGACGAGTATACTGCGCGGAAGTTCGTTCTGTTTCACTTTACGGCTGCGAAACATTGTCATTAAGAGTAGAAGACACTCGTAAGCTACTAGTATCTGACCACAGATGCCTTAGAAATATTGCTCGCATCTTCTGGGACTATCGAGTCAGTAATAGTGAAGTTAGCCGAGGAGTATTTGGGAATAATGGTAAATCGGTTGATGAGGTTGTGAATCTTCATCAACTGAGATAGTTGGGCTCCGTGTTACGTATGCTCGAAGACCGATTAGCACGACGTGCAATGCTAACTGGTGTTGGAGATGGTTGGAAGAAAGTTAGGGGCGGTCAAACCAAAACGTGGCATCAGTGCTTGAAGTCACTAACTTGTAGTCTGAGCCATGTTGGTAGATGCAGACTACTTGGTTGGGGTCCACGTAACTATTGTAACCAATGGTTGGAGACTGTGGATGACATGGCTCAGGATCGATCACAATGGCTTGAGCGTGTGTACACACTCTGTCTTCCCTTAAACTAAGAGATTAAAATCGCTTCATATCTTTTTTTCTACTAACTAATTCTTTCTCCATGTACTATATCCTTATTGCAATCTTTTATATATTACCACCTCTGAACTAACTACTTTTATGAATCCGGTGTTCATCTTGTTGTGTTAATGAGGTATGGCAACTTGGACCGATGCATATATGTGCCTGGTCCTACGTTGTAGCTGACTGACTATTAAACAACTGTATCAGTAATATCAAATTAAAACTTACCTGATCATTTGCTGTTTGTGGAGGAAGCCAATTTGGAAAATGTCTATAGAATGAACGTGCCTGCCAAGCCAATAAACGTGGATTAACCTGTGATCGACTATTAAATCCTGGTATGATAAATATAAAAAATATGCTTGTAGAAAATAAAATTTAATATGATTAGTCAGTTGTTTATATTTCAATGTTGTTGTGGGAGAATGAAGATATTCCGAAAAATATGTGATTGTATTTGTACAGTACATTTCAAACATATTACTGATGCTAAATGGTCGGAAACACTTAGGATACAAACCTAGATCTAAGTTTCATGCTAGTTAACGTTTGTCAGCAAGGTGTATCCACGGTCTTGAAGACGCTTGCCTCCTGTAGAGTTCATACCGGTGTCACAGTCAGAATCGTTAGCAGTGAGCTCTTTGGACAGCGACTAACTTCTTATATGATCAAGATATATACACTGATAGATCACTATATAGTGACTAAGGCCAAATTTGTTCAATGATCAAATCCTATTGATTGCCAACCACTTACAATCAAAAGCATAATGTTTGCGATGTCAAGTCATTTAGACAGTTGGATACATTGTACCTTGATCTATTTAATTAGATTAGAATCAAGGAATAAAGAAATGTGATTTCAGCTATGTTCACTGATCAATTAATCCTCATGAAAAATTTCAATTTTACTACACTATATGACATCACCGTCCTAATATGAGAATAGCTAACGAGTTCATTCGACACAAGGTACACTGTGAACTACTTTACAATATTTTGATAAAATAATTAACAAAGATACATGTGCAACTAACTGTATAAAAAGATCACCTTAGTCTAGATAGGGTAAATTCAAGAGTCAAGTAAAGAAGATTATAGATACGTATATTTTAAACGAACTAAACGTATCCAAGATCAGACTATTTGAAACAAGCAGAACTCGTTTACATATTCAACCAGTATAATAAACAAATATAACAAGTTCTGAAAAATGATTCTACTACAATAGTATCCCGATTATACAACAAACTATTCTGAATTGTCTACAACAAAATATTTCACAGATTGAAATCGTGAGTCAGTTGAAGCTAGACCACCATGGAAAACCTGGAAGCATTGGACGGCCGTTTCGTCCCAGCACCGGACTCTTCAGCAGTGCGCATCCACGAGCTCGCACTCCCGCGAGATTCGAACCCAGGACCTATCAGTCTCGCACCAGGCGCTTAATCGACTAGACCACTGAGCCAGCCGGCATCCAATAGTGTTAATGTCTAACTTCAACCAATCCACGGAGTTACACCACCGTACACCATTGTCTTCAATGAGCTAATATCTCACAACAGACCTGGTTGAACTTCACTGGTAACAGCTTCTCACTAGAACGCCAGGAGTATCTCTTGAAGTCAATCACCAGTGAGCAGATAATTATTATCAGAAGGGGTTTATGGAGATTTTAGCTTCAATTGACTCATGATTTCAATCTGTGAAATTTCTAAAAATCTCCACAAAACCCTTTCTAATAACAAAATATTCAATTGTGTTAATATTTCTTAAGAAAATAATATTTTGTCATATAAACATTATGAATATTTTTTTTTAAAAATGACAGTTTACCTGTAATTCCGCTAATTATAAATCCTACAGGAATTCCAACAATTAAACAAGCTGTTGCATAATAAAGATATGAAAGTGAATAAAATGACCATGTTGTCGTCTTTATAATATTAACAGTAGTAATTGATGTATTCGTTGTACCAGTTACAATAGATGATGATATATTTTGAAGAATTTTAGATGAACAATTTTCAATGGTTAAAGGTAAACGATCATTATCAGTTCTTGAAGTTATAAATGTATTTCCAATGCAAATCCATAAACCACAAATAACACCACTAATTAATGCACACAATCCACCCTGAACATATGAATTGACACGAAAAGAAAAAATAAGTAAACGGTAATGTACAAGTGTCATTCATTTATCGATATTGAACATCAAAAACATTGAAATATAAACAGTACTATCAGAATGGGTTTTGTGGCGAAGTCGTTACCAGTGGAGTTCAACCAGGTCTGTTGTGAGATAGGAACTCACTGAAGACAATGGTATATGGTGGCGCAACTTCGTGGATTGGTTGAAGTTAGACATTAACACCGTTGGGTGCTGACTCAGTGGTCTAGTTGGTTAAGTACCTGGTGCGAGACTGGCAGGTCCTGGGTTCGAATCTCGCGGGGTGCGGGATCGTGGATGCGCACTGCTGAGGAGTCCGGTACTGGGACGAGACGGCCGTCCAGTGCTTCCGGGTTTTCTATTGTGGTCTTGCTTCAAGTGACCCATGATTTCAACCAGATAAACAGTACTACCATAAATTTTGCAACGATGAGACTAAAATTAAATAGGAAGTATTTTCAATGAATCGTCAGTCATATAATATAAGACCACATTAATTTTGTTTCACTCATTAAAATACACGTATGTATTAATGTTTAGTAATAAAAATTTTATGCATGACACTGAAATCAAGATTTAGCAGAAGAGAATGAATGTAGCAGTTGTATTTCAAGTGGTTTCGGACCATGTCACTTAACGTCATCAATCATAGATTCTCACTATCCCATAGAACTGAATCAGAATATCTACATTATCTGATTAGGGATAAGAGATAAATAAGCCCAGTGTCTATGGAGAGACAGAAAGTGAATGCATTCGGATCGTCGTAAATGATTCTCAACCATGTCACCCGAAATCTTGGGTCATTAGTTACACCAACCAAGTAATGTACATCTAACTAAATGACTCAATCCAACACTTAGTAACTTGATGAGATGATGTTATGTTTTCGTTTGACTACCCCTAGATTCCTCCTAACCTACTCTAATACTAGCCGTCATTTATATCTTATTTTTTCTACTAAAATTGATGTTGTTTGCACAACGTCTACCACTATGACTTATATTTTAATATTTTTATTGCACTAAGCTTACAAAGTGTGGCAACTAGAACCGGTGTCGATTTGTCCCTGTTTTTTAATTTCCTTATGACTGTCTGAGTTGGTAGGTGTAGACTACCTGGTTGGGGAACACGAGATGATAGCAACCGATGGTTAGAGACCCTGAATGACATGGCTCAAAATCGTTCACAATGGCGCAGTTGCATACACTCTTTGTGTTCTCCCAAATTCTAATCTTCTGAATTCTTCATGTCCCTTTTTTCCTCTTTCCAAATTTATTTCACTGGATTATACTCTTTAAATAACATCTCCAAACACTAATCTTCCCCATTACTGCTTATACTCTTGCTACCTCTACCACTACGGGATTTGAATCGACAACTGCATCTCTGTGCTAATGTGGTATGGCAACTCGAATTGATGTACGTACTTTTGAAGTTCTACGTTGTTACTGACTGACTGACTGACTGACTTATGACTGTCTAACTAGAAATATCATCAAATATATATAGATTTGTTTTATTAACACTAATGATATACTTACTTACTTCAGCATTAATACATGGAAAAAATATTCCAGCAGTAAATACAGTTAAAACTGGACCACCAATTGCACCGAATAAAGAAAATGATATTTGTAAAATATGTGAACTGGATAATGTAAATATGAAAGCCAATGATACAGTTAAAGTACCAAATAAAATACCTGCACACCAAGAAAAGAGAAATAAAGAGAGAGAGGATGTGTGTAACAAGCTTACAGGATAACAAATGCAATTTATTCCTATGAAAAACACAAATGAAAAATGGTGAGATGTTATGAATTGAAAGAAAATCCTTAGATTATTCTTCTTCATAGATTTATAAACTAATGAAGATTATTTAATCAATTCATTTCATTTAAGACATTTGTCTCAAATTAGTGATATAAAATAGTTTCAATGGTTAAGATCATGAGTCAGTTGAAGCTGGACCACCATGGAAAACCTGTAAGCACTGAACGACCATTTCGACCTCCTGGAGGACTCCTCAACAGTGCGCATCTACGATACCACCTAGCGAGATTCGAACCCAGGATTTATCAGTCTCGCACACAAGCGCTTAATCACTAGACCACTGAGCCGGCCGAAGTCCAACGGTGTTAATGTCTAACTTCAACTAATCCACGAAATTGAATGACACATCCACCATTGTCTTCAGTGAGTTACCACCTCACAACAGACCTGATTGAACTCCACAGTAGGACGAATTAGCCGTTCATTGCTTCCAGGTTTTTTATGGTGGTCTAGCTTCCACTGACTCATGATCTTAACCATTGAAATTACCACAATCTCCATAAAACCCATCTGATATAAAATAGTTCATTATCTTGTGTATAGTTGATCATCTTCATCATCTCATCAGACTGTTCAAATTTACCAAACAATCTAATTATTTTAGATCTTGTATGTAGTTGAATAAATTCATTCCATTTTTAAATATCTTAACAATTGTTAAATATAAAAAGGCGTTTTTGTGGATATTGTAGTAATTTTAGTAGTTTAGATCATGAGCCAATTGAAGCTAAACCACTATAAAAAACCTGGAAGCACTGAACGGCCATTTCGTCCTACTGTGGAGTTCAACTGTGTCTGTTATGAGATAGTAACTCACTGAAGACAATGATGGATGTGTCATTCAATTTCGTGGATTAGTTGAAGTTAGACATTAACACCGTTGGATTTCGGCCGGTTCAGTAGTCTAGTGATTAAGCACTTGGCGTGAGACTGATAGATCCTGGGTTCGAATCTTGCTAGGTAGGATCTTAGATGCGCACTGTTGAGAAGTCACACAGGAGAACGAAACGGTCGTTTAATGCTTCCAAGTTTTCCATGGTGGTCTACCTACAATCGACTGATGATCTTCACTATTAAAATCTTAATAACTGTTAAATAGATAATTCAAACAAATAGTATTTATTTATGACTTTCTCTAATTTATCGAAAACTTTTAAAATGTCAAAGAATCACCAGAAACATGACATTTCAGTTTACTGATTCATATAGAAAAGTTCAAAAGGTTAAACAACAAATGAAACAATTCATAAGAATTTGAAAAACAAACGATGAAAAGTGACATGTGACGATGATCCATGAATAAACACAGTGATCAAGAACAACCAGATTTATTAAGGATTATGAGATACATTTTCTACAAAAGCTTACTGTCAATTTAATTAGACAGTGATGTTATGTATTTTTTTAAGAAAAAAAAACTTATCATTAAATCATTCTAGTTCATAGACCACAACATTGCCAAAAGTAATAAATTCTTATCGACGTGCGATGTTCAGTGGTATAGGAGTAGGTTGGAAGAAAGCAAGGGGCGGCCAAACCAAAACATGACACAAGTCCATGAACTCACTGACAAGTGGACTGAGTCATGTTGGTAGGTGTAGACTATTTGGTTGGGGACCGCGAGATGATAGCAAGCGGTGGTTAGAGACCCTGAATGACATGGCTCAAAATCGTTTGCAATGGCGCAATTGCATCCACTTTTTGTGGTCTCCCAAATTCTAGTTTCCTTATTCCTCCTTGTCTTTTTTTCTCTTCCCAAATTTATTTCACTGTATTATACTCGTTGAACAACATCTTCAAACCCTAATCTTCCCGATTACTGCTTATACTCTATCCGCCTCTATCACCACGGGATTTCAATCAACAACTGCATCTCTGTGCTAATGTGGTATGGCAACTCGAACTGATGTACGTACGTACGATGTTCTACGTTGTTACTGACTGACTGAATAAATTCTTATGATAGCAGAATCATAGCATAAGATCATTAGTATACTTCAATAAGAATATATATCAAAGACGATCTAATTTGCACATTCCTAAGTAATCGACAAACTTCAAAAGTTGTTAAAATACATTTGAAGGAATGGAAAGAAATTAAATGACATAACTGATAGGGAAAAAAAATACTATTCATTCGTTTTCATTTAAATTATTAATTTGTGTTGTAGTAAAAATTCACACTTGGACGTTTAGTAAAAAGAACGAATCCAGCTCAGTAATCTAGAAGTTAAACGTTCGAGCGCGAAATCAAAGGTCCTGTGTTGAATCCCAGGTACTGGATCGTGGATGTGTGCTGCTGAGGGGTCACATACTAGAACGAAGCGGCCATCCAGTGCTTTCAGGTTTTCAATAGTGGTCTTACATTGATCAGCTCATGGTCACAATCAAAACTCAATAATCTCCACAATTCTATACTATTAATTGTCATGGGCTTACCAGTGACTAGTTCTGAGACAATTCTCAGAATTCCAGTGAGAAGTTGTGACCAGTGAAGTTCAACCGTGTCGGGTGTGATGCGTTTACCCACCGCAGACGATGGAAGATGGTTGTGAAATATCGTGGATTGGTTGGAGTTTGATATTAACATCATTGGATGCCGGTTCAGTGGTCTAGAAGTTAAGCGTTCGCACACGAGATCTAAGGTTCTGGGTTCGAATAATTGTTGAACCGGCAGTGAGAATTTGTTGTGCATCTAAGAATAAACTTTTTTATTGCAGATAGGAGAATTAAGGTTTCTTTACGCTACTCTAATAGTTCGCTGCAAACCTTAATTCCCGTATCCACAATAAAATAATTGAGTCTTGAATACACGATGAATTTTCACATCTGATTCGACAATGAATACTATATACAATTGGATGTTGTAGCTATTGGGACCGCTACTGACAGACATTTTTCTTGAAAAACTGGAAAGTAAACCACTTAAAGACACAATTAGTCGTCTAGTATCTTATTGTTTATATAAAGATAATACTTTCATAGTATTAGAAAGATAACATGAACAGGATAGTTTACTCAAAATATTTAGTGACACTCATTTATCTATTACTTTTGCATTTGAGGAAGAACAGAGTAATAGCATAGCGTTTTTAGATGTCCAACTAAAAAGATTGAATGAAGTATTTAAGAGAGAGATATATATAAAGTCTACAGTTGGACAATATAGTGCTGTACCAATCAGATACAAAAGAAACTTAGTAAACATCCCGATTCATCGATCTAGAGTGATTTGCTCTGATGACACCATTGTAGATGAATTGAGTAATATACTTAACCCGCTTAGTAGGAATAAACATCAAGTGAAACCCATTAATAAACATGAATGACATGAAAAGAAGTCTAAATATATCTACCATTTCGGAGAAAGTACTGTTCCTAAAATGACAACTCCTAAGTGATGCTATTGAAGAAATTGTTACTCAAAGGTTAAGAAAGGAGGCACAGAAAGGATTTACTGTAACCCAGTCTGACTACAATTAGACTTACATGATCTATCTGGTAAACAAACAAATCAAACGGTCTGTATATACAGTGGCAGTTTTTCACGCGTTTCTGATCTATTATTTAGTCATTACATAAGATCGTCCTGAATTATATACAAGAAGGTTTTTTTAAATGAGACCTAAAACAAAATATAACTAACAAGGATTAAAAATCCGCATGAACCTATCAATTCAAGTACAATGGCAACAATTAATTGCTTTAAACGTCAGACCTGGTTTTTATTCATTTTCCATTAGTATTCGATCATTTTGTGAAATCATACAAATTAACGACTTTTCTATCATTTATATTAAGGTTGCTTAGTGAGACAGTCACAGACGACTAAGATAAGTTGAGAAATATACATAAGAGAACATGGTATTCTGTAATGTTTCTGACATCACGAATTAACACTTAATCATAATTTCTCAACAATATAATATCAGTCTCACGCCAGGCGTTTAACCAACTAGACCACTGAGCCGCATCCAACGGTGTTAATGTTTAACTTCAATCAATCCATTAACACCGTTGGATACCGGCTCAGTGGTTTAGTTGGTTAAGCGACTGGCGCGAGACTGATAGGTCCTAGGGTTCGAATCTCGCGGGCAGCGGGATCGTGGATGCACACTGCTGAACATAATATCACATAAAAGAAATATCGGTTTAATAACTGAATACAGGATGAAAAAAGAAAACTGATAATCGATCGATTAGATTATGAACAGAAATGATCATATTTTAACTAACTCGATTTAAGAAATGAAATCGAATAAATAAAATTTAACAAGAAAAAAATTCTTTCGAAACATAAACATACCTAAAAATATGGCCAACCGATATTTAGATCTTTCTGAAATATCCACATGTCTCCAATGAATATACAATGGTCGAATTAAATCTTCTAAGCAAACATTAGCCAAACTATTTACACCTGATGATACAGTACTATGTAATGAATGTTTACAAAATAAAAGAAACAATTTTAGCATTCATTTAAGTGGAATTGTAGATATTCAATCACTCTGAATCATATTCACTGAGAAATCTTACTATGAGAATAATATTGTGATGCGTGCTACTTATATTGATGTAGGTAGTATATGACGCAAGTTAAAAACGTAATGTCTAGCAACAGAAGATGGGGGAAGATCAAGAAAGGAAGAGAGAGAACACAATGCAATTTGTAAGAGAACGCATGAACAATGAAATGTGAGACAATGGATTGATGATTGCAACAGGAACATCTCAGGTTGATATGATGGATTGATATTTTGCAAACTAACGATTTACCATAGTATTTTTCTATTTTACCTAGTAACTCTGTAATTTTGTGCTAAATACAATTCGATTGTCCTCACCCATGTTCTTATTCACTACAATATATCACTATTTCTGTAAACGATAAAGAATAAATGTAACTTAAGTTGAGAATATAAAGATTGAGTTCTCTGAAGGTCATAACTTAATGATGAAGCTTTCATGATTTCATTACTGAACAACAAACATCATCAACAAATAGTTCAGAATATAATGATGTACAGTTATGAATAAGAATTAATTAAAGTATAGATTAACTTTTTGGAGAAATCCTACTTGAACATGTCTCTAACATTTGAGAGTTTTACGATTGAATTATTATTTTGGATAAAGTACGCATCGAACGACTTATATATCTAGCTCTACAAGAGCAGGTAAATTGGTAAATGTACATTAAGTTGGTTAGATGTGAATTATTGAACCGTTGCCTCATCTTTTTAGCCATGCCGGATAATGTTCTTGAATTCTTTTGGATAAAGTACGCATCGAATTATTATTCATAAGCAAAGTAACATCTTTAATAACTTAATTTCTGAGAATAAATATCAACTAAATTCATGAAACGTAATGTATTATTTTAATGGCAATTGAATTAAGGTGGTTAGTTGATTAATAGAAGAGATTGGTGAAGAAACTCAGATGGATTGACGTTAATATCAACTCACAAACTACGTTTGCCATAGGCCTAATGTCCTGATGAAGTTAGTATAAATCACAACTTTATAATCAGAATATTCGTGTAAAACCACGATTCGATAGTAAAAAGGGTAAGTCTACAATATTAAGGCATCACCGTCAGCAACAGCTGTCCTTGAGGCAAGTTGAGATATGATCATTTTAAAGTTTACTGATGGAGATACTGATTGTGAATAGAACAACATAGTGCCAGCACAATTTAATAAAATAGGCAATATGATTTCGTTGTATTTTGTGCAACCACTCTCCAGCCTACTTCTCTGGAACGGTAGGTTCTAAGTGTGTAAGTGATCTGTTCAATACAACTTCTGCCCTCCTAAAACCATCTTATACCAAAACATAGTGCATCCCATATGCAGTGACTAACGCTAGTTGTTTAAATGGAACTCAATAGACAGATGTCTATCAGTACTGATCACAAGACAAAAATAAAAGTGGTTACCACTTCGTAGTATAGATACATCTATATGCTTTTCAGTCTAAAATGAAATAGTTTCCAATCAATTTATTAATCCGTTCAAATCTATAGGCCTAAATGATTGATCAACAACGTCATACTAAATATAATAGTTGTCATAGTATCGCATCGTTCATGGTTAAATAAAGCCGATAATCATAGTATCAGCTCAAAAATCACGTAAATGGTTGCTGTTACGTGAATTTAGTGTATAAACAAGAAATCAATAAAACTTAGGTCCAGTCAGGCTAAAACAAATATCAGCTTAAAGGTAATATTTTTTTAAAAATAAACTAAAATATTCAGTTCACTTGATGTTGTTGTTCTTACTTGTATCTTCCCCTTGTTATTTAGGACTGTAATTGATCAGTTTCATATTGATATATGTACATCCTGTACAAATTACCTCAATATTACCTTAAGTCACAAGGTTTTTTAAAGCAAAGATGGATAGTGGTTAGCAGTGGAATTCAGGATGCACATTCCAAGTGAACATCAACTCTGAGATGCAGGTACATCCAGTTGATGAGTTCTAAATAGGAAAAAAACGCACATCCTTGGATTCCAATGCTAGCCACTGCCCATCTTTGTTTAAAAAACCAACATATAGTTCGTAAAGGCAAAAAGTTAGATCTCTTACATATGGTACATTAAAAATAGATAACAGATCTGGTTAAGAGGATTCAGATAAATTTACTGACATCTGAGAATCTTATGACAAATCTAAGATGAAATAGATGTTTTTATAAAAAGAGAATCAGTTTTACAATTCTCGAGTATTATTATTACTAAGTAGAAACTATCATCCTGAGTATAGAATAAAACTCAATCTATAATTAAGAACTGGCAACATTTCATAGAAACATACAAAAAAATATTTTCTTATGAATAGAAGAATTTATCGATTTTTTAAAAAATCGATTTGAGTGAACCAATTCACATAATCCTCATAGAAGAATATTTGATCGAATCATTGTTTCTGTTATAATAACTATATTATTATCAGTCTCTACAGTCTATAAGTCTTTAATTATTGTGAGATGGTGGAGAAGATTTGTAGCTCAGGTGGATGATTTCGGTGGAGTTTTGTTCTTTGAGCTGAATGGTTTGGTCGTGGAGCTTTCATCGTTCTTCTGAACTCCGCCTAGAGTCCCTTCGGGGGCTACTACCGGTCCCAAGCCCGGATAAAGGAGGAGGGTTGGGCATGGGGTTAGCGTCCCCATCCCGTAGAAAACTAACTCGCTAAAAAAACGCTAACCAGAAAAATTATTCAAAGAACAAAACTCTACCTTAATTATTGTGATATTTTACAAAGGCTGAAATAAAGCATGTATTCATGAATTCGACAAAGTTATCTATTAAAAAATAATGAGCATTTACATCTGTTACTACATAGATTATTTCGAAATGGTGTTATTTGTAAATTAGAAAAGTCATTAAATAGAAAGGTTAGAAATGATTTAAAGTAAAGTATCAAGTCACTGTTAAGTCTTGTTGATTGGACGCTATATTCGTTCCTAAGCTATTCTGATAACCTGCACGCTAGAACTATACAGCGACCTGAACATCAGAAAGAAGACGCAAAGTATGAGAGAGACACTTTACTCCAAGGTTCGTTTTTTGTACAGAAAACATGGATATTTCTAGATGGTAACGTTTGTTAAATCAACATCATATTTCGGCCAATCCGTTAACGACATATTATGCTACTGACCAATAGTCAAACCCCACATTGGAATTCTAGAATGTTCCATCATGCTCTGATTGGCTTGGACTCTTGGGCTCCTCTAGGGCCTCTAGAGGCTACACTGAAGTTCTCCGAAAGCCGACTCAACAGTCACAATCAGTATAATAGTAATATAGTAAAAATGAAAATGAGAAAAAACAATGATGTGATTAAAGTATATAGTAGGAGAATTTCGTCATATTAATTGAGGTAATAATAATATCGTTGTATGAATATCATAAATATGTCAATAATAAGAGGGGTGTTACCATGGTAATTACGATTTTTTTTAAAAATCCATGTAAATTGAGAAAGATGAACGTGAAGATTAAGAAAGATGTAAACAAAAGATATTAGGGAGAGGGACTGTAGGAGGTTTATAATATTCACTTAAGGTATGACTGTAAAGCCTGATGATGATGTTATTAAAAACAATTATTCGCTCAAATATTCTACATTTTCCAAAATTGACATAAGTTAGATTTTCTTTTATGTACAAATAGCATATTACTTGACGTGAGTTAATGAAGCGATGATATTTAGACGTTGTAAAATAATTCATTAAAATTAAATCGAAAACTAAATATCTTCAACAAAGTTTTCAAGATCAGAATACAGTTGAATAGTTTTGTTCGGATAATCGATAAAACATTTAGGTGGTTGTAGATAATCTGCAGATTTTGTGCTAATTTGAACCCATCAGCAAAATGTATCTATAATCTTGAAGAACTTGACGCCCCTTATGTGATTCGAACTCGTATCCATTGGCTTCCAACTATTAAACTTTACCACTAAGATATTCAGGTAGCGATTGACATAACATAACACTATATTTTCATGGTGACAGTAATAAACTAGATCAAAAACTCAATTTATACAGATGTTTAAAATAAACTAATTTAAATGTCAATCACATATCTAGTCTACTGGTTGGAAAAAAAAATGGAGACTGTCCACTGAATCCCCTCCACATTCTCAAATAATTCCATGATGTAAATACATATTGAGAGTTTTGAGTAAAATAATGAACTGAACAGAGTAATGAAAGTGATTACATAATCAAATCAAACCAGTGAATTCTTTTCACTGTAATGACACACAAACAAATGACATTTCAGATGAAAATTAGTTGTTTATATTCGTACAAAATGAATGATAAACAAGGTCTAAGAAGTTGTTTCGATAAGATTTACAGTTTCCGCTAAATGTGATTATCCATCATTACTTTACTGTTGCACGGTCAACTGGTTAAAACAAGATGCAATAATTAGAATAAGGACAAACTACTGAGTTAGAAAATCGCCAAAGATGTAGAAAATAAAAGTAGGTTAAATTCAGAAAATGAATCGACTTAGGAAATAGACGATATTCTAAGCAAAGATGGATAATGGCTATCAGTGCAATCTAGGACACACGTTTCGTTCTATTTGGGACTCATCAGCTGGATGTACCTGCATCGCAGAATTGATGTTTACTCCGCGACTTGAACCCAGTACGGTTCACTTCCAAAGCCATCGCGTTATCCACTTAGCTACTGAGTCCTGATAGCCACTATCCATCTTTGCTTAGAATGCTTGTGAATTAAGGCAATATCGAAGCAATACGCACAATATCCCAATAAGAGATAGATCAATTTCAGTTCTAACTATCAATGGGAACATTCAAGTAAATAATACCAAGAACTTTAAATTCACTTGGTGTTGTTTTACTTGTATCTCCCCATTGTTATTTAGGACTGTAATTGATCAGTCTCATGTTGGCATATGTGCAAACTATGCATCCAAGAAGATATTCTGTAATTCTTATTCTTTCTTTTCCACTGTGGTCATTATTTTAGTTTTCTAGCATTTTACTGCATGAAGTTTGATATGATGGAAAGAAAAGTTAAAATTAGATTGATTTAATCATTATAATTTCTGTTCAACATTAATTTCGTTTTAATTCAATGTAATGATTATTCAATGTAGTTATTGTTTCTGTTTCCTAGAGTGATATTTTAACTCCGTCTGGAATCCCTCCGGGGGCTATTGCCGGTTTCAAGCCCGGATAAAGGAGGAGGGTTGGGCATAGGGTTAGCGACCCCATCCCGTAGAAAACTAACTCGCTAAAAAAACGCTAACCAGAGTGATATTTTATTCTGTATAACGTATGATAAGTTAACATGAACTATACTCATCAGCATATGATTTATTATAACCCTAAGTATTTTTCATATATGTGATTTTATTTTAATTGTTCATCAAAAATGAGTGTATGATACACTATATAAATGAGTGTATTTCCGACTAGACTTGTCGTCAAGGTTGTTCATGATTCTGGCTGCTTGTAGAATATATTCCCCTCTTTCGAATTAAGACTTCTCTCTTTAGTTAACTGGGCTAGGACGCATCGGAATAGCTAGCTTATTTGTTATTGTGTCACAGAGTTCTCGTTCCATTCTCAGATTAGATGAACTCGTAATCTCTTCAAACATAGCAAATTTATAAATAAAGAAATTAGTCCAATAATATGATATACTTTTCGTATGAATATAAAACAAAGAATATTTCACTGGTTGAAATCATGAGTCAATTGAAGCTAGACCACCATGTAAAACCTGGGAGTACTGGACAGCCGTTTACGTCCTGGTATGGGACTCAGCAGTGAGCATCCACGACCTCGCACCCCGCGGGATTCGAACCAAGGACACACTGGTTTCGCGCGCAAGCACTTAACCATTAGACCATTGAGCCGGCATCTAACGGTATTAATGTCTAACTTCAACCAATCCAAGAATATTTGTGATAGTAAACAAAAATGATAATAATTTCAATGTAAAATGTATCAGTTGAAATTCAATGATGTTTAAATTATTTAAGTCAAAAATTTGGTTTCATCAACCTCTGTGTACGTTCCAATAGAGTGTCTTGTGATTTCCTAAAACGAAGCAATAACATTGAAAAAGAGTTTGCATTTTAAGAATTGAGCTAATTTTCAACTCCGATAACCAGTTCTAAATATCAAATGAATTCATTTAATATTTCTATCATCAATGTTTTGTTGACTCACCTTAAAGCAGCTGCAAATATAACTGATAGAAATATTCCACGAACAAGTAGTACACCATCGAATAAAATCATTACTATGTAGGGTAATATTTGATCATAACGTTTAATAGATCCATTTAATACTGGATCACAACCAGCAAAATAAGCATAAATAGCTAAGCCAGTGAATAATTGTACTGCTAAAAATACACTTGTCAATGGAATATTTAGTAATATAGCTCTGTGAAGCGAGAAATATATATATATAAAGGAAGAAATATCAAATGAAAAGATGATTCACGGTTTTTCCTTGTTGGATAAATAAAAATGAATTCAAAGGAATGACGTTTTATTGATAAAATGTTGATCTGTTAAAACAATACATATGTGAGCTGTTACAATTAACAACAGTGAAAGATCCTTGATTGTGTTTATGATATTTGATGAATTACTTATTATGTGACAGTTGAAATAATAAGTCACCTGATAAATTTGAATAGTACAATGAGAAAGACAAGATTATCAGAACTGTATGAAAGATTGGGCGGGAGTAACTATGACTCTCTTAAAGTAGCCAAATGCTTCGTCATCTATCAGCACATTTTGGGGTTGTAGTTGCGTGACGACTACTTCTTCGTGGTTCCCGCCAGTAACGTAGTGTCTGTATGATGCTACGGCTAAAATGTCGCCGAGAACTTCGAGTCTCCAGCTGGGCTGTTGTGCGCTGATAAATGTACTTGGCATAGCACTATGTAGCAGGTGCGAACGGCCACATCTGACTGCTACCCATCTTGCATTGGTCCGTAAAGGCTGGTGTGGTGAGGAGGCCCAGCCTGGGTTGGCGCCTGGCGTCGACCTGGGTCCGTGGAGTCATCCTCCTGGTAACATGTGCGCTCTAGCGGAACATACCGTGTCCGAAACTGATCCTTTGGCTTTATGTGGGTCGTAGAGAGACCCGATCATCCGGTAAAAACGGCAAGGACTAGAAAGCTGGCGGCCATTGCTGCTGGTAACTCTAGAAGAGTTACAGGCAAAGTTATGGTGCAATTTCTACTTTATAAGTATTTCTGTACTATATTCAGAGATTGATTATTTGTATAATGCTTTGTAACAATGTCTGGTTCTTCTTAGGATAATGAAAGCGCTCTTGCAAACAACTGTTTTCTATCTCAGTTGTCCAGGGTGAGTCTAGAAGCAAATGCCTAAGATCATATTCACTATACATATACTCCACATATCGATACCAACCATATGGTCACCCTTCCACCTGATATCATAGTTAGTTAGAACAAAACAATACAATATACCCTTTATCGATATGATTCCCAAGAAATCTTTAGTGACAAAGATATCTTGGTGCAAGTTGATTGTATTCTTATTCAAATAACTTTGTTAGTCATTAAAAAACTATTGCACGCTACACGACAACGAATAATAAACTCCTATCTATTTATTGCATGAGATCTACGAAAAAAGTACTCATAATTCTCCGTCATGCGTATAGTGGACTTGTTTCGTCAGTTCACTAATCAGTCAAGTATTCGAACACAGTCTCTAACAACATACACAATAGGGAATATTGATGAACACTACTAAACTGAGCACAACCAAGAAAATAACATACCTTCGAGCAGTTTTTAAATCTCTACATGCCATATAACGTTGAATTTGTGTTTGATTAGCACCGAATATACTAAGAACCAATCCGGTCCCACCAATAATTAAAGTCCATAATGTATGTCGTTTAAAAGGATCAATACTAAAACTAGAATAATATATGAATAATTAAGCACTTGGAAAGAAAATTTTAAAGAATGGGACTTTTTATCAAAGTAGTGTACAGATGCATGTTAGTTAATCACAGCGGAGGAAGAAATCAGGAAGAAGCGCTGGAAGTGGATAGGACACACATTGAGGAAAGCACCCAACTGCGTCACAAGACAAGCCCTCACATGGAATCCTCAAGGCCAAAGGAAAAGAGAAAGACCAAAGAACACATTACGCCGAGAAATGGAAATAGACATGAGAAAAATGAATAAGAATTGGATGGAGCTAGAAAAGAAGGCCCAGGACAGAGTGGGTTGGAGAATGCTGGTCGGCGGCCTATGCTCCATTGGGAGTAACAGGCGTAAGTAAGTAAGTAAGTAGTTAATCACAAAATAATTTTGATATGAATCTACTCAACATCCATTACAGATTAACTGAAAAAAGGTACTAACTAATCAAACAAAGTTAAATACTCTTAAGAGTATGTATTACAAATTATAAGGAAACCAAGTAACCTGACTCCCTCAAAACTCCATAGTAGTCAATCGACGGACTAGACTTTTCACCAAAATGAATTATCTATAATTAATGTCTAGGAAATTATTGAAGATAACCGTTAGATAAATATACCAAAAAAATGCAAGTCAAACAATAAATACTTAAAGTTAAGAAATAGTAAAACATGGAATATACAAAGTGAATCCGTTTTTAATCTACCGAGTTTAAAACAATTAAATCATCTCCATTTCACATAATACATCATTATTAAATATAATAAGTAATTCAAGTCAATTCCTAAGCTCGAAAAAATATTCGGTAGAAATACAGCTTACGTTAACCTAAGGATAGAAAACCATACTTAATTGGTAAATACCCTTTCAAGTATTGGTTTCTTTATAGTTCCTACTTCATCTTAAACAAGTTAGCGATAATGTCAACGCAATTTCTAACCTGTGTTATTGTTAATCAGTAAAAATAAATCTAAAGAATGAAAAGAATTCTATAAAGAAAATTTTCTTTTCCACGACATAACTTGGAGTTGATTTCATGAAACAATGGATTATTCTAAGAATGAATTTATTATAGAAAGACAATATCAGATGGATTTTGTGGATATTGTAGTAATTTCAATGGTTAAGATCATGAGTCAGTTGAAGCTAGACCACCATGGAAAACCTGGAAGCACTGGACGGCCGTTTCGTCCTATTGTAGGACTTCTCAGCAGTGCGCATCCAGTGCTCGCGCGCAAAACTAGTAGGTCCTGGGTTCGAATCTCGTAGGGGGCGAGGTCGTGGATGCGCATTGCTGAGAAAGACAATAGAACATTGAAATTGTTCTTTTCAATTAATTTTGTTCTAATTAACAGTACAAGAATTTTTAACAAATTAATTTTGCATTAATCGCTCTACATTGATACGTTTCGCAATAATAATATAATATCAATCAAATGGTAGTGTTACATAATAACGATATGATTCTACAATCGACTATAACAATGGTGTCGGTAGATTGACGACATAATCCAAAAAAGAGTATCAGCTAGTTATAATTATCAAAGTAAATATTTACAGTAGGTCTCAATATACACAAAGGGAAAAGCAAGATTTTTCGATACAACACAGCATGCAACAGTCGAATCACACTTGACGGAAAAGATTTGGAAGATGTAAAAAGCTTTACATATCTGGGCAGCATCATTGATGAACACAGTCGATCCGATGCAGATGTGAAGGGGCGGATCGGAAAGGCAAGAGCAGCATATTTAAAATTGAAGAACATCGGGAACTTAAAACAATTAGCAACCAACACCAAGGTCAGGGTTCTCAATACAAATGTCAAAACAGTTCTACTGTATGGGGCGAAAACCTGGAGAACTATGAAAGCCATCATCCAGAAAATACAGGTGTTTATTAACAATTGTCTACGCAATATACTTCAGATCCATTGGCCGGACACTATTAGCAACAACCTACTGTTGCAGAGAACAAACCAGATCCCAGCGGAGGAAGAAATCAGGAAGAAGCGCTGGAAGTAGATAGGACACACATTGAGGAATGCACCCAACTGCGTCACAAGACAGACATAAGAAAAATGAACAAGAATTGGATGGAACTAGGAAAGAAGGCCCAGGACAGAGTAGGTTGGAGAATGGTGGTCCGCGGCCTATGCTCCATTAGGAGTAACTGACGTAAGTAAAGTAAGTAAGTAAATATTTACAAACAAAAATAAGAACAATTAGATTAGTAGCCACCAAACTACACAACATCTAATCAGGAAATCAAAGAATAGAAAAACTTTCATTACAAGTTAAATATAAACAATAGTTATGTAAGAGTATGATGATGAATGTCAGAAGTAAGGGCAAAACAGTACGAGAAATTTAGAAAAAAAGGGGGATGAAAGTTTTGTTTTAACTTCTTTTGATATAGTCTATCTCGATGCTCAAGATAAGGAGAAACGCTATTCTAATTTATTTTGAAAGTATAGGTTCAGTTCAAGGATACATAGATTTCGAAATAAAAATATTTAAACTATGTGATATATTCAAGGAAGTATGGTGAAAAACTCCGGAAGTTTTATCTAAAGTCACTTCACGTTCAATATCAGTTAACTGAGCTAAAAAAGTAACTCATTAACAACATATAAGTTAGTGTAACAAACTCAAAAGTATGTGGTTTATGCAGAGTTGTTCAACGTTACAAGGCGTATTATATATAGAGAATAAACTGGTAATTGAATGAACGGAAATCAACGGTACAAATCATTGGTCAACGGTTTCTGCAAACTAATATATCAACGTGATTAAAGAGAAATGATGTAATCACGTTCATGCTTTGGAAAATATGTAAAGATTATATTCTAATTTCAGTATCTACAGGTTTATTTCAAACCTACTGAGTATATATATATAACTGAAGCGAAAACTATGGACTAACTATGAAGATAGCTCGATTATATTATTGACGAGAATGATATACAAGCTGAAATTCACATGTAAAAGAACTTACAAATAAAACGTGATACGTGTCAGCTCTGACTATACGATTCGAAAACTAGATGCGATAACATGAAACACCTACAACATAATCGAACACTATCTCCTTAACAACTATGCTTAGTTCAATTATCAACAATTCAAAAGGCACAAAATTCTGAGAAACTTTCTATGCAACCTATAACAATGACGTGTCATGGGTTTGTATAGAGAAATTTGAGATGTTCTTGAAAATCACCTAAAAAGACTAAGTTTTGAAACATTATCAATGGAAAAAAAAGACCTATTAAAATCAAGTGAAACTGCGTCAATTTGTTCGATTTTCCTGCATATATCAATTATTTTATAATCGGTGAAAACAAGACGAATGAAAGTTAAAGAATTCTTCAGATCAATATAAAAAAGCTCTTGGGAAAAACTGTAAATGATCTTAAAACATAAATAATACTTTAACGGTTACAATCCAGATATATATAAAAAAGTCATTATCGATGTTATCGGGACATAGATTGGATTAAAGCATGCTCAATGTACGATTACTTGGAGAACACTTTAGAAATCTTCTCCCGTAAAAACTATAAATATACTAACATTTTTCCTATTGTGTTTCTTACTTCCATTTAACCTTGTTATTTGGAATATAATCTCTTTCCTATTCAACCGTGTTCTGATTTGGTGACTTGTCGAGTGAATTGGTGTCTGAGAATAATAAGTAATAGGAATGGCTGGGTTGTAATAAGAGAGAATTATAACAATCGGCCGTTTACAACGATCGTTGAACTTTAGATTTTATACTACGGACCACGTTTTCCTAGACAACACTATAAAACTAGATAACATTGAACAGCTGGATCGTCCTAGTATAGGACCACTCAGCATTGGACATAGACGACCTTAGCAGGGACACTAGGACGAAATAGCTGTTCAATCTTCCTGTTTTTTTTTATATCTATCTAAAGAAATTCAGTCAGTGATGTGAAACTCTAAATGTAAAAACTCACTTAAACTTATCACATAACGCTCTTACTCGAAAGATTGAACACGCTGACCGTCTATTACTATCCCCCATAGACGTTGGAATCCACCAACTTTTAAAGTAATTAATAGTGTGATTAAACAAAATCCACTGATGAGAACAATTAGTTGGAAAAGATCAACCCATACTACTGCACGAATACCTCCCTAAAGAAATTTTAAATAGGCAAAACAAAACAAAACGAAAAAAACATTGCTGTTAGAAATTTTTACAATTTGTACTGTTAATAGTGTAACAGGAAATAATCATTACCAATTTATGAAGTAGATCAAAGAAAGGAAAATTCATAATAAATGTAAGATTTTGATGGATTATTTCAGAGAAAATTCCATTTCTGTCAACTTCTGATTAGACTAATTCATATTTGATAGATTATTATAAATTCATACATTTCACTCATATCATTCATTATATTTGTAATAGTGACACCGAAAAAAAAACAGTCCTCCAGTGTACATATCTAGTTGTCATCTGTGGTCATGTTACCATGGTGTCTCGTATTGGTTTTTAGCGCAATTCAAAAGGATATGTCATCTCTAATTCGATAAAATAGGCGAGCAAAAAGAAACGAAAGGTCTTTTGAAAAAAAAACGAAATCAGCAACTAAATGAATAGACATTTCGATATTTAAAAGAGAAGGGAACGAGACGTTAAGTAGTTCTGATGTGTTGCTCAGTAAGATAAGTTTATTCAAGGAATTAACCAAAGATAAATACAGTCAAAAACAATTCAGTATAAAACACTTGTCCAATAATATTCAGATTTCAAGTCTGTATACAGTAAGAATGTGAGTTATTTATTATGTAATATGTTCAACGTGAGACATGTGGAGGTGTCTGTATGAATGCGCGTCTTATTGTTATTAAAATTTAGAGAATAAATGAAGTCTGGGAATAAATTGAACATCAATTGGCGAGATTATTACAAATATAATTTTACTTCCACAAATTTCTATTAAGTTGTTTGCTTTAATATTCATGAACTTTTACACATCTAATGGGTCAGCTTAAAAATTCTTTTAACAACTAACAAATGTATATAGATGAATTATGTAATGTTTAATGGGTATTTTCTACCAATTTTTGATCTTTACAGTAATTTTCATTTTCGACCCTTCTCCGCATCCTGCTTTTATATATTTTTTTTATTTCAAGTAAAATAAATTTAAATCAACGAGTGAGACGAAAAGTCTCCATTTCTTATGATTTGTAATACGAGGTGAATATAATTGAATGTTTCCGTTCACACTAAAGAGATAACTTAACTTACTCTTCAAGTGCAAGTATTCATACACATATCTTTGTGGCACACTTGAGGTGTGATGACTAGTCAGTTAGTCATAAGCAACGTATAACCTGGTACATATGTGCATCAGTTTAATTTGTCACATCAAATCAGCACGGTGAAATGAAATCGTTAAAACCAATGCCAAAGTCATGGAAGTAGTAATAATATCAGCGGTAATGGAAAACATTAGGCATAGACAAGATAATTGGAGACTGAGTCCACGGGATAAAAAAATAGAAGGTAGTATTTAATCCTCAGATCTAAAGGAAGGTGAAGAACGGCTGCATCTGAACCATTGAGACAAATTATCGACTGTCACCTAACTTCTTTTAGCATTGGTTACAGTAATCTTTTAGGTTATAACAGATTTTGACATTACTCAGTTGCTTAAATCCAAACGGATAAAGCAAAGCCCGAATATGTAATTCATTGTCTATGTTATGTCTCAATAACAATACTGAGTGGTCGTTTTTGGGATCCCATCCCCGTCGCCAATTGTTATAACTTGTGACCTGTGTGCTCTGTCAATGTATAACGTAATGATACCGCCGATTGGAGAGCAGTGAATTATTGATCGAACCAGTGACGCATAAAACACGTACGAGCAGTCTAGAGTCCTTATTGGTCCTGCTTCCTGCCTAGCCCAGTCAGTTAAGTCCAGAACAACAATCTCAACATACGGGGTTTGTATACCAAACAAACAGACCACATCGTACCATAAAATAGGAAACAACATTTGTACAAGATTTGGCCAAATGTGGCTGTGAATGTGGGAGATAGTGATCAATAGACAGGGAATAATTCAAGAATGGTACATAGTATAATAACAGTTCATAGGTTAAAATAAAGCTTATGATAAGAGAGACATGAATATGGATAATTCAGTTACTTAACAATTATACGATAAAAATATACGTATAGTATTGGTTCAGAAATGGATCCCAAAAATTACCAATCATTATTCTTATCGGAACATAACAAGTTAACCGCTAATTCGCCACTAGACATATGCTACACATGGACTAATCAAAACCTTTTTCTGAGAATTCAAGTATTCCTTCACATATAAAACATTCATTATTTAACCTAATTACTAGATGTGTCAACATATGATGAGTTGATCCAACAAGGGCGGCCTGCTTGAGCATCTGGGCTACCTGTTCCTGCCATCTAGATATTTCAACAAGTTATCTATTTTTGTTTTAATATATGTCATTATGTCTATTCATCGCATAAGCTATTCTGATGCGTTTCTGAAAAGTGTACAACCTTTCGTTGTCAAAGTTACAAAAAACTCAGTAAGAGCCAACGTGGTTGCTGGCAATATACAGCCAAAAGAATGCACATTATTCAGGTGTTCATTTACTGAACTGCTAACATCTAACTGGAGATCACTCAATATTTATCACCAGGACCGACCAAGAAGAAAGAAACGGAAACTTGTTGAAATACTTTGCGCTGAGAATTCTATATTGTACCAAAAATATAATATTGAATAAATCTGATGATAATAATAATAATTTTCAATCAATGATGAAGTTATTATTATCACATTATAGTTAATCTAACTTACAAAAGCTGTATAGAATGTAGCCACTAAACCAGTAGACAATATCGATATCCAAATGGGTAGACCACTAACTTCAAATCAATATAAATAACAAAAGAAATAGATCAGTATAGAAAAGATTAAAAGAAAAACATAACAAAATCAAATTCATTATTGAATTAATTAAATAAATGAGTTGAACATTTTCTAATGAACATAAACATGATCTAAATTTCACGTGATCTATGCAAAAATGTTACTTTGTAATATACATATATACATCTAGCGACTAATTTGACGAGAAATGGTCACAGTTCCAAGGAACAAGTAACCAATCGAAACATGTGTGTATGAATAAAAATAATAAATACTGATAATAATCAATCTCTTAGATCATTTTTTCAAGTTAACAAAACAATAACTCACCTTGACTGAATGCCAAAGCAGGCGCATACAATGCAAGAGCAATGTAAACTGTCTATAAGTGTTAATTTGAATAAAGGTAATGAAACAAAATGAAAAACATAGTAAATAAATATGCAAATAGATAACAAAGGATTAATTTAAAGAGTAAGTAATGGAGACTGATCATTAGTAAAACAGGATTAACTGATGGAATACCAAAAAAAATGGTACATGGTAATTTTATGTCATTCAGAATCATAGGAATATAGCAGCATAATTGATAAATAATAAAGGTTAAATAATTTGACAATGGTTACAACTATGTGAGCAACTAGTGTGTGACTATATCAATCCTATGAGACATACAATTTTATCACACCAGGCGGATCGGATTAAAAAAGTAAGGTCACTTGAAAAAGTGTCTTTAAATTTAATCGTACAAATAATAAAACAAATGTCATTAACTTTACAAGAAGGAACAGAAATGGGGGATTGTGCAAAGATTTTAAGATTCTATATTTTCGATATGCACTGCCGAGAAGTCTCAAACTAATACGACAAAGTTATTCAATGTTCGCCGATATTTGAGTTAGTATATGATGAAATCTACCTTCGAATCAAATAATTTCCGCATATCTTGTATTTCAACAAAGTTTATAAATCAAGGAATGATAGGTATTAACTAAGATAAATCTCACTCGACAGTACATTTTTTCTCAAGTAATCAACTTATACTCCAGTTTTCTGCTTATTGAAGAACAACTGAAAATGTTTACCCAGAACCCGTAATTTTTCGGTTCTTATTTAAATACTACTATTTTAAAGTAATTGTTTGTATAACCATAAGACTCAACGAATGATTTCCGTAAAATAATTGACATACCATTTGTAATAAGAATACAAGTGAAGCTGTCCATCGAACAAGTTTTCCAAATCGCATTTCTAAATACTATTTAATAAAATTTAAACGAAATACAAACACAATACAAATTGTTTACAGATCATTCATCAATGAATTATTTATAAAAACGTTGTTAAATAACATAAACACTTTAAGGAATAGTAACGTATGAGAAATGTTATTGTAATTTTGACAAAACCAACAGAAGCACAGGTGAATAGACTTACTAAGAGCTAAAACTAGAAAACTTTTAATGTAAGACTAGGAACTAAGTAAGTACTTAACATTTATGACGACTATCAGTTACAAATCAGAACACTAACAAACGATATATGTGAGTTTAGTTATTAATATTCTACTTTAGTAAGAAAGTAACCTTCTTGAATTAAGATTTTCAAATTCCCAAGTATGCAATGATAAAATCTTTCAAACTAATATAGTGCTTTGCAATAAAAAACGTATAGAACCGGGGGAATAACAAGTATTCCTACTTCATTAATAGTGTAAGTATCTAAATATTAAACTGTAATCTACAGCTGTAGCAAGTGCGTGATAAATTGCAGAGTGGAGTGTAAATTAAACAGTATCCAGATGACTTTGTATTTTATGAGTAGATTGGTGACTGTAGTGGTTGAATTTCACCTCCTCGAATACTTTGATTTTGACAATCGTTCAGTGTCACTTCATTTTTATATAAACAAGTTGGTTGATTATATAAATCCGTACGTAATATATGAGTTGCGTAAAATTATTACGTTAATTTTCCGACCACATATACTTCTATGATCATCCATTTGTTTGCAACAAATGTGACTATGAGATTGTATAACTCGTATTTCTTCCATGATCTATGTAAATTCATATTATAGATAATAAGCCATCGAAAGAAGTTTAAGAGTTAATTCAAGATTTAGGGTAATACGGTTAGCAATACAGCAGACAACGAAATATACATATCAAGATTAATCAACTAACTTCATGAGCACTGTTCAATCTGAGTTTATAAAATACTGGCATGTAAACATATGCAGCTAATGGAAATGCAATACAATAACCTCCAACCAATGTTATAAATTGAATACCACATTGATAAGCTTCAGATGCAGTGCCCAATATACCGACAGCTGATAAAAAACTGGCCATTACACTTCCAACAATAGGTAACAATGTCAAATTACGATCACCTAAGAATAATTCTTCTACGTTCATTTTCTTTCTCACTTTTGGTTGAAAGTTGATACCACGAAAACAATTAGTTAATTTTCCAAAAATTACATCATGATATCGATGATAAATTCCAATCAGGGAGTAACAAATAAGCGAAATACCGAAAACCAAATAATCTGACCAATGAAAAGTTGGCAACATTTTGTATTACAGTTGACTAAAAAACATTTAAAGGTTAAAAAAGTAAGCATTGAGTTAGTTATCACTTTAAAATAAGTTTTCGGTAAGAATTAAAAAAACAAGATATTTATGACTCAACCATTTCACAAACAACTCTAAGGTCAGAAAATTCTGAAGTAAAACTAAGTGTGGTTATCTTTTCATATTTACATTTTTTTTAACTCTTCAGCAAATATTCTTAAAAATGATCCGATAAACGTGCGATAGTTACATTTCAATCACTTAGACTACAATGTTCCATTTTTTAAAATACAGTAATCTTATCTATTCACATTTTCGTTGTGCAGGTTTTTACAACTACGTAGACTTTAACGTTATAAAAGTACCAAGATCACGAAAAGTTACCTCCCAACTTACAAAACTGCATTGAATATCTATTCGATTCATTTCTTTATCGAATGAGCGGCACTTTGGGGAAGTTGAATTATTCATTATTTTTAATGGCTTAGTGAAACTAACTATATCAGTTAGCTAAACAGGAGGTTTTCGGGAGTTTGAGAAACTCTGATTATATAGACGTTATTATTGGATTTAACCTATAGGTATGTTGTTGATGTTGCCGTTATTGAGTATTGAAACAATTTTATTTGAGTGAACGTGTAGAGGATGAAATTAAAGAGAAATGTGATTAAAAAACCCTGTGATCAAACGATAATCAGCTAAAACAACTGGAAAACAATTTGAAACGGTTAATATTGCAAAACCATTACTCAGGACAATTTAGTAAGCAAAAGTATAAGTCAAAAATAGTTTCTCTATGTCTTAAGGGTGATCAAAGATATTGAGAAGCGTCAACAACAAGCAGACTATGTATTTCTGTAGATGCATTATACACAAACAACTATTCAGTGTAGACTGCACTTCGTATCTAAAAATCGATAACATAAATGCTACAGATTAGTCGAGACAAATTTGTGTAGAACGCAGTATAAAATAAAATTGACCAAAAAAGTGAAATCTCCAAAGTCGTGATCAAAAAGTTAAAAAACAATTATATAAACTTCTTTAAAAGCTATAAAAATAACGACAAAAGACAAGTTCGATCTTTAGTTTTCACTTAATAGATAAACCAGGTTAATGGAGGAACTAGTTTAGATTACTATGGTCTCAGGGTTTTGAACGGATTCAATAACTGAAAGTCGGTTGCATTTCGTGTTACGAGTTGGCGTTTCAAGAAATCCGGACACATTCATGATAGTTTAATTTGATATTTTTATAAAAAGCTTTGAAAAAAATGTGATAGGCTTATCAATCGACTGGTGTACGTCATATATGTTCATAACTAACTCTGATTGCAAAGTGACCAAAAACTCAAATACTTCACCCAGATAGATAGATAAATTAACCTCTAAAGACTTTACTACCCATTCAGTAACAAAAAAGTCTTGGTAGACAGATTAGGTAATAATATCCCATTAAAAAATAATAATATTGCTCCAAGTAAGTAGATTTTATAAATCTAAGTCATTATTCCATAACAAATACTCAGACCACATTTACTTTGGCGTTTACGTTACGTGTAATGTTTGTCTGACATTTTAAAAACACTTCACACAAATGAAATTTGGAAAAAGATGTGTATGAGTTATAATTACAAAGCAACAAAAGACGACATGAGATTTCAAGTTATACTATTAAAGCTATAAGCCCTATATTCCCGTTCACGAACAACGTTACAACGAAATACTCCCCTTTGATTGGGAAAACGAGGTTAATATTAGAATATAACATCAGCGAACATTATCCGGATAGTGGATACATTATGGCGAATAAGTCCTAACACTTTCGCGATCATTACCCGAAGTTAGGACCATAGTGCGAAAATAGAGAGCACAAGTACAGTTAAAATTTTAGGGCTGTTAAACTTTGAACTAATACAACCAGATACTGATGTAATCGAAAGATGGTTTCAACGACATTCTATATCTTTATTCAGAAGTAAACAACATGAGCTAAATAACACAGTAATTACATCCACCCATTCATTTTTCAGAAATTAGTATAACACGCTGGGCATTCAATCCAATGTTTCACTGGGAATCTGAATAAAAATCCGATAACCACTTAAAACCATCACAGAATGTAATTTTGGTAGACATGTCAGGATGTCAGTCACAAGATTAATTTTGTCGCGGAAGGCTCTGGTTTGACCATGGTCCTGAACTTCCTAGTCTACTTGGAGATCAGCTCTTCGGAAAGAAAAATAAAAAACTAGGAACTTAGCACATGAAAAGTATAATCTTAAATTTTTAACTGGGATTATTACCAAACAAAGTGAACTTAGGCTAAACTACGCATCATTTACTGATTAAAGCTGTTGATCGACATTTTCATGCTTTTTTAGACAAAAAATGTACTTATGATTCTAAAACTAAGTTATCTATCGGCACAGGATAGGTTAATTATATAATGTTAGCAACAACGACGTAGTTGTCGCTGTGGATTTGACTCAGAAAATAGACTTTCGTAGTTATTTTCACTTTATTTGGCACCATTATAATAGGGTTTGATGATATATTATCTTATGGAAAGTATATAAGAAGGATTTATCCAACGTTCACCTCCTACCGTTTTTACTACCAATCATGAGCAGGAAAAAAAGGACGTGAGCATAGATTTCGCCGGTTACCTCATTCTGCGTCGATCCTGAGGTTGCAGTATGATGTAACATTCTATATTGTTTTAGATCACAGACAAATTTGACATTACGAGATAATTTACGAACACAAAAGTTATTTCATCAACACAGACAGTAATATATGATAATCAAAAAACAAGTAGTTCAAGAAATTGCAAACGAGATGCTTCAATTAGGTAAATACAACGAGGACTTGGGGAATTAAAGAGAAACACGTACATTGAACCAAGCGACAACAGACAAAATACAACTAGAAGCTGCGCTTTCAAGGTTATACAGTTACATCCTTCATGGACTTGGAAAAACAAATTCTTTCGGTTCCATTTCTGACATATAGGAACGTTTCATTTTTATTAATCCAAGAAGTCGTTATCATCGCAACAGTTCAACCTCTTTTTGAATGTATCCGGCACCTATAACAGTTAAACGTTATGTTCGCCATTCTCGTTCTCTTCATAATATGTAAGCTAAAAATTCTACGGCCTTCAGTAAAAAATAAAAAGTCGGATAAGGTGCGTCAGTGAAGGAGGCATAAGGCCACTCATGGAAGCTATATAATCAAGCAACCATTTTTACTCTGGACATTTCAAGAGAAGAAAAACATTCCTGTATAAAACTCGATAAGCCATATTTACCAAGACAAAACATAACAAAAGAAAAATTTTCGTCAGCTTTCTCATATCAAATGGGGTGGAATATAAAAATTCAATTCGACATCAATCTTTTGCAACTTTTCTGTTCTCTACTCACGTGACACACTGATTCCCGCCTATAATACATTTCTGCACACGCGCTTCTCACTTTCATTTGTCAGCTGAAGCGAAAACAGGGCTCAAGTGTATTTGCTGCCTGTGTTTATATACCACGTTGTTACCCCTATTAAGTTTTTGTTCCGGATACACATTATGTTGTATCATATCCATGTTATTTGAAACTACTGTCTACTTCTTATAACTATGGTTTACGAAATCAAAATACGAACAGGTATGCATAATATCTTGAAGCTTCATTTCTTCAAGTCATCTAGGTAAAGAGTTGGTTTGCACACTATAAGTGTGTAAGTTCTATTAGTCATAAATATTATGAACAATTAGTCAGTGTAATGAAATAATGTATTCATGTCCATCATAGGCCGCTGTGGTTTCTTGTCTAAGTTTGTGGTCTAGCATTCGGAAGGGCAGAGGTTCAAGTACGTACGATGCCCGGGGTTTCGTTCACAAAACTCACTTGAATACAAAACTCGCTGATTGTAAGTTGCTCAAATTTGAGGAAAAGCAACAATGAAAGGACAAATTAGCATGCTGAAGTGCCTTAACAAGTCACATTGGAACACTGTGTTAGCTGCTTAAAGTATGATCAGTACAAGTATTTCCTGTTTATATTAATAATAATCATATAGAAAACTCACATGTGTGGTAGCTTTCAGTTATACGACAAAAAAGAAAAAAAATGTTTTTACATAATACTAGCGGTAAGTTCCAGAATTTCGTATGGACCACTGACAATAATAGGTTTAACGTGAGCGTGGCCGTGAGACTTATATCGTAAACTCAATATGCTGATTACCTAATGGATCGCTTATAAAATCAGTAGAACTAGTATAGCTAATATAGTAACATTATAGGTAATATACCGAACGATACCTTCAGTTAATTAAGTGTTCATACACTGATTATTTATTTTATTTATTGAAACATAAATATTTGTACAAAGGTGCACAGAATACAAATGCGTCACACAAGTCACTCGAATTTTTGTAAGCTGCGATACTTCCCAGGTGTCCAAACCGAAAGAGGTGGCTTCCTTAGGGGGCCACATTTGGAGCCTTTAACTTAAAAGTTTGATCCACAAGGCAGTAGAACGACATCAGGAGATGCAATCAAATGGTAGCTGTTCACCAATAATTGGTACATACACCACTTGATCCTTTAGGATCCTGAAACTCATTTTCATCATTGGTTTTGAATTAGGGTTTAACAACTCCCCCAGGTGGACCCTTCATATCCACCAACCCCGTTAAGTCACCAGACATTCGCGTTTCGTCCCCTCAAATTCGAAAACAACAGTAATGCCACAAGAAAGCACAGTAGGACTTCCCTGGCAGTGGTTATATACGCAAAGCCACGCGAGGGCATTTCAAGAGGGATAGTTAACTCTCGGCCACACTAAAGCATTTGGGAGGCCAAGAGAGCATAAGTTTTAGCCAAGGGGAGTATAACTTCCAACCCATTTTTATGATAATAGTATGAACTTTTGTTCAGTGTTTGCATAACGGTAACTGCAAGAAAACAACACTATTTGTGTAGAGTTATTAGTCAGGTTACTGAGTGTTTTCGTTCGTAATGCCAATTTGGCTGTAAAAGGTCGGATCTACAACTCGTTGGTGGTAGCAATTTTGTTCTATGCTTGTGGAACCTCAACTTTACGAGTTAAGGATGTTTGACTACTCTCCGTGTTTGATCATTGTTGTCTCCGAAGGATTGCTGACATCCAGTGGCAACACCATGTTAGTAATGAAGAGGTTCAGCATCTTGTGTTCAGGCGCAGAGACGATAATCCAGTTGGTGTCACCATCTTGAAACATCGACTTCGGTGGCTTAGACATGTTCTACAAATGTCGTCCCAGAGAATTCCACGTTGTGCATTATTTGCCGAGTCTGGGACTGGTTGAAAGAATCGGAGAGGTGGTCAGTGTCAGACGTGGTATCGTGGTATGAAATGAAGCTGCATAGGGTAGACTTATGTTGATCGTTGACGACTCCAAGATTCCGGTCTGAGAGATGGTGCAAAAGAGTGGCTAGAGACGTCATCATATATCGTTCAGAAAGGAAGAGAGTGGCGATCCTTCCATAAACTTCCTAGATCAGACATTGGGTTTTAAGCGTTGTTCAAGCCCTAACGCTTCAGGCCAGGCTATTTCGTTTACTACCCTACATATGTGTAGTATACTGTATGTGCTATATTGCCTTGTAGAGCTGAAGGTCTCATATGAGACTGGAGGTTCACCATTCATACTGACGATGGTTCAGCATGATTACTTTGGCAAGTTTTGTTCACTGCTCATACGTAAAATCGGTTTGCTGGTTAATCGATTTTATTGATACGTTTTGCATTTCACTCACTCATTCAGCTTACAATGTGTTGTAAGTTGTCAAACAGGTATTTGCCAGAGAAATCCCACAGAAAGTCAATGAGTGAAATCGGTTGAGCCGTTCAAAAGTTATTTATTTATTTATTTGAACACATGAATATTGGTACAAGAGAGCGTCAATATATATGCGCCACACAAAACAATGAGAATTCGAAGAGAAATAGAAAAAAAAGCTAAGGAGCGCAAAAAAAGAGAACGATAACAAGGAGATTGGTGTAAGGTAGTATGGTAGAAATGAGGGAACTGAAAGGTACAATCAGAAGAAATCTTTCAGGTAAGAAAGACACAACCACTTTTTATGAATAAAGTAAAAGAAGGTTACAGCAGGATCACCACTGGCTTCTATTTTGAGCCGTATCTGATAAAGTCTCTAGCCACTGTGTAGCACCATCTCTCAGACCCCAACCAGGTAGTCGTGAAAGGACCGACAGAAGCCAGTCCTTTGCAGCTTTCTCTCATGCCACGACACCATGTCATGCACTGACCACCTCTCCGCTTCTTCACAAATGATGAACTCTCAAAAGTTATGGTCGAGAGTGTGTTGAGGAAATTGGCTGTCTCGAGCATTTCCATGGGGTTTTGACGCGAGGACTTTCTATAGGACGTTTCCGAGTCACATTTTCATTAATAACTTGTAGTGACTCACATTTATTACGAGAACACGACTGGTTTAATAAAAACAATTATTATTATAACCAACTGTACCAGTGTTTGTTTTAATGTGCTTTTGTTTGACTGTGCTAATGACAGCTATTTTGTGCTTCCATTCTTATACTTACACTTTGATTGTGACTTCGCGCGAATTCGGTTACGTTCTGCAACCAAGCTTGTATCCTGGCACGACTTCGGTATCCTTTCAATACCACGAGATCGCCAGCAAATATATCTCGACTTGGTCCATTAACTGTCTTCTGATATTTGGCTTCTCGGGGATTTTATGGGTTTATTTGGTTACGTTCAACCTTTGCCTTCTGATTAACTTGGCACGTGTCTCTTGGTAGCGGTGTTCATAGTTAACCTCAACTCGACACCACGCTACAAACTTTTGAATGAATTAATATTTTGCAATGGGGCGTGCTTTGTGTTACTTATCCAATTGAGTGCTATTGAATGATGTACAATATGTACAGGTGCATTGAGATTTGTACCTGACGATTTACACCTGCTCTTACTCGCCATGTTATATAGAAATACTACACCTAACTCTCGGTCTTAAAAGTCGGAGAAATAACATCTCTTAATTGTTAGCGTTGATCGCTACGTCTTGTATTTTGTTTTGTCCGTTAATCTGGTGATTTATCTGTCCGCTTCTGGTTAATTTTTATTGTGTAACCTACCTCTGCGTCGACAATCTTAACGCTGATATAAACAAGAAATGAAACTGGAAATAAACATTTTCTTACCTGTGTTAAACACGTGAATGTGATATGATATCTTTGTAGGGTGCACACCCGTTCGTTCTTGCCGGATGATTGAAGGTGAGGGCTTCATCAACAAGTCTAATAAACGAATGTTATTCATCTACAATGAATATTTCAGAGGGAGGACTGTTCTAAAACTATTTATACTTAGCGAGGAAAAAGTCTGTCCCGGTTTTCAACCTTTGTTTTCAAAGTTTGACCGTTAATACATTATCTCTAAGGTTTTATATATGCGTAGGAAGACTTTTCACCATACTTCAGATCTACAATGCTGTATTTTGTTTAACCTGATGTGATTTCTTGGTAAATAGTTAGACGAATAGATGAAGCCTAACACTGGATTTGGAGAACTTCATAATTTGTATACGATTTTGAAGTACAATCTTGGAATAAGTCAGGCTTTTCTTTACCAAAGGGATTCTAGCACCCATTTATCAGATCGTGCAAAGAAACCCTGGTCATAACTCAGTCCTAAAGTCTTCTTTGTGATACATCTCTATATTCTTTAGAATTTTAATTTGTCATTTATACGAAGACCACTGGTTATAAACGGACAGTATTCAAGCACAGACTTCACACTGTTTTAGCTTGGACTAACTTTCATGAAAATTACGAATTATATAGCCCATAAGTCTACGTCCCTTTGAGCTGATTGACGTGGTTTGTTACGAAAAATCTAGGTCATTCGAGTGTCATAAGTCTAGGACTAAGATACTATAAAACTCGGATTTTGGCATACTATCAACTTCAAAATATTAACCCAAGTTGCTTCTACTCCAGCTACAGTTGTTAATCTTAAGTTGAAGACGGTACTTTATACACTATACTGCCAACTTGTTTACTTCCCGCTATATAAAATTAGCGGTGTCATGCATCTCATCTTTACTGTGTGGGTAGACTACCTTTGTGGCAATAGCGAACCGCAAAGTCTTTCCTTTTTCGAAGCACCTACAAGGACTGCTGATGTACATTACAAATAAAAGAGGCCCTAGAACATTTCCCTGTATAACCCCATTAGTTGATACTTTTGAGTTTACCTTGATGATTTGGTATGGATGATCAAAGAATCATTGAGGCCAGCTAAGTGAAAGGGTTTTAGGTTACAAGAGAATATATATATATATAATGTACTATCGTACACAGTCTACACGATTGTGTCGTCGTGGTTGGGAAACGGGATATCTTTTGATTTACGCATGCGTCAACTCAGAAGAAATTGTAGGTATTATGTTTTAGAGAGCGTCGAACTCTTCTTCACTGTCGTTTCAATCACGTAATACTTCGATAATTTCGTAAGTTTCATACACTGAGTGCAGGAGTAAAAGTCCTTAGCAGCGTAGAGCTGTGAAGATTTTCTGACGCATGCTCGACATTTAAATGGGAGTAAGAAAGACTTATTGGTATAACTCTTGTACGTATTTGTATGGTCTGTGGCATTTAAGCACGACAACGTGGTCCCATTGAGGATAACTATCGCGTCCGATAACGAGTTGTTATTAAAATAGCCATCCCAGTCATATCAACTGAGAACGTTCACTGAAATTCACTGTCTGCAAACTTAAAGCGTCGTGTTGTTGCTCGGTGCGAATTTTTCTTACGCTTTATATTTGTTGTATGAAATGGCAACGAACAATTAACCATCCCATTATTTTTAGTAGAGAACAATATTTCAATAAGTCTTATTATAGGTGTAGTTCTGAGACAAAATAGGAAGTTCAGGATGTCGTTACCGCGCGTGTGCTATGAAATATTGTCACTTATGTAGTTCATATAAGCTTCATCCATTTTCATGATATCGGTAGAAACGCTGCAGTATGAAGTCATCTATGTTTAGTTATACATCTAACATTTAAGACAGATACCACGTTTCCGTTACACGAATAGTTTCCGATTTCGTAAATAAGCCAGTCATTTTAAGTTCTGCCATTTTATTACTTAAAGAGTGAACAATAATAAACATAAAAGTCCACTGTTCAGTCATTACATAACTGACTAGATATGTTTTGGATGCCTGGTTCGGATGACAGTCCATCCAGGTTCATGAAACAGCTAGATGAGAATTTACTTGTTTCCTTTGATGGTGACGGAGCTAGCTTGCAGTGAACTTCGTCAACATCGTAGGTACAGTTACGTTCCGTGAACGTCTTATCATGCTCGGTGATGTGTTGTTATCAGATTTATTTGATATGGGAAGCTGAATTGTCTCCAGATTTGTTACAGTGGTAGGTAGTGCTGTCTTTGCCGTAGGGGTGTAAAGATTACTTAGGATACCTCCTGTAAATGATGGTGGTCATGCCTCAGTGGATAGCCGGACGGAATAGAGGCATAGTTATTGACAGGGTGATATCAGCTGTGTTGGGAGCGTAAAGGTAAGTCGTAGGTGGAGATATATCGCTCTCAAGACCTCCACTCATTGTATATTGGAATCGATACTAAGTGACTGTCGTTTGGATTCTGTAGGTAGGGGGACGTAGTGTTCTTATGTAACCAAAGCTCGCAACCTAGAAGTGTTATGTGACCAAGATTGTAACTTTTACAGTTATTATTTTAAAGATATGTTGGCCGTCTTTTGGGGCTGATACATACGTATTTGCATAGATCATCTAGGGACGAAAAGTTTCTTCCTCCTAGGTTTTCCGAATTTCGTTTTCACCTTCGTCCTTCTTCTATTGACCTTTCTAACGTAGGAGTAATAACTATCCACTAGATCCAGATTATTATCTACGCCCTTGGAGGGTCGGTGTCAGTACATATCTTGATATCGCTTAAATCTTATTCTTCAGAAAAAGGTTCAGGCGCTGTAAGGGATTATCGTTCAGGGGTAATGAAAGACACGTCACCAACTCTGGCTCACACGTTGAACACCTGAGTGTGTCAGCATCCTTAATAAGTCGTGATTCAGCCGTTTGGATGTAACACTTCAGATGTGGTCTCACATAGGTGGACTATAAAACCCGAAACATATCCTCATCTAAATATTCGAATGCTCGGTGAGGCAACCATAACACTCGAAAACAATGTGGCAACCTCCCAAAGTTTCCAAGACATTACTTACTGTTACTTCTAAATCTTTTTTCCTGCACGCGTGGAAGCCATGTATGGTTTATAGTATGCTGGTAGCTGTTGCCGTGTCTCATGTGCATTGGTGCACTGCCTGTAGGGTTCATTTATAAGCCCTGACTTTGTGACCATCTAACTAATTCCTCTAGTTCAGCCTGGGGTCAAGACGATTAGCCTCACCATCTATTGTTCTCCAGACTTTGACATCATCTGCAAACTACAGTGTTGACAACTTAAGTGGTCTCGATAGTTAACTTACGTAAAGGAGAAAAAATATGCAACCTAAGGTGATCCTTAGAAGTACATAACTCTTAATCGGCTTTCATTCAGACAGTATCCCATTCTCTTTTGCCTTCTAGCTTCGTCCGCAGAGGAAGTTTCTTACCTACTATTATATAGCACCCTTTATTCCAAGGCCCGAGAGCTTCTTCATAAGCTTCGAGTGATAAGCTATCAAATGTTTTGGTAAAGTCTTTGATTATTATATTGATAGGCAAACTGTTATCGTGTGCTGCTGTTCAAACAGCTCCTGCTCATCGCAAGGTAATTAAGAATGAATGATTATTCCGAAACCCCGGTCGTCAGGGCGTTTAACGGAATGAATGATTCTACTTCACTTAATACCTTTGCCCTAATTATTGTTCAAGTAACTTAAACACTGTGCTGGATAGACTGACAGGTCCGTTGTTATACACTACCAGTTTCTCTTGCTATTTGAATATAAAGCCAGTAATAGTACCCTTTCAATCTCTAGAGAATAGAGTTTGGGAGAGAGACATGTTGGACGTCATCGTGAGTGGTCTTGATATGGTGTCAGCAAAGGATGACAGCAATAGCGAATGCAACCCATCAGAACCCAGTGACTTATAAGGTTTGTGGCTAGCGAAAAAAACTAAAGAAAAGCCTCCTCAGTCATATGTACTGATATCACAGCTGTGATCTCATTGGTATAGTTATGGGATGTGTGGTTATCAATATTTGTAGTGTGGAATAGTTTGGTGAAGTATCAGCTTTAGTCAGATCTAATTCGGCTAGCATGTCTAAATTTCGTGCGACTATATTAGAGGATTTCTGTCACTGCTCTTTTCTTTGCTTAATATACGAAAATGATCGTTTTGCGTAAGTACGGCTATCGTACGCTTACAGTGTTTCTCAAGTAGTGAAGCATCTAGCTATACTATTTTCAAATATGCCGTGGAGTTTCCAGGATCCGTAATTGAATTAATAATGATCTTTTATTAAAAACAAGTCTCAGAAGTGTTTCCTACGCTTCAGAAGCTTTCGGGTTTCCCTATCGATTCATGGATGGGAATGTGATAGTTTGTTACAGGATGAACGGTAACGTTACTGACTAAAATGAAGCTTTAAACTTTTTCTACCCGCCTCTTATCTACACATCTACGTTGTTAGCCAAGTCTGTCGAGATATCATAGTCTTTAATTGCCTGAACGTTAGCCCGCTAGATGTTGGGATGGTGTGAACCAGATATATACTGTATATCGCAGCTCTGTGTAGCTCTTTCTGACAATCCAAACCAATTGAACTCATTAAGATTTATTGGTCCTAATGTAAATGCATTAGTCCAGAGCCAAGTCTTGGTAACCCAAATCATATTTCTGTTTTAATTTTGTAAAGATCATGTGTAGTGAACAAGCAGGAAAACAAATGTGAACACTACTTGACCTTGAGGGTTTAATTCTTTCCTCCTAATAATGATGTTTCATTTTAATCTATTTGATACATTATCTCGCGTAGCTTGCGATAAAGAATTTATTTAATAATGCGTTTCCCATAGTTTGCATTACTTCGTTGTCGTTTTAAATGTGCATCAACAAGAATACGTATTCTAGCATTTCAAATAAGATAAATTTCCAAATTTTTGCATTGGCGTTATTTGCATGCAATTCTTTGACTATCTAAATATTCTTTCCCATGCCTTGACGGCCTCGAGCCAAGATCTAGTGTGGGCTTCATCAGTTAGGCTTTCCGAGTCGTCTATAATAACCATCGTATCGATTATTTCTTTTGATGCTTAGTTTGTAAATACTTTGGCTGACGTCTGTTTCGATTTTTGTTCTTGCAAGATACCTTAGTGGTACAAACGGCTAATAAATGGTATCTTGTTAGGTCTATTAAAGGGTGTAGTCTCTAACTGTTTGGTATTAACATCTGAACTATCAGTACTAAATAAAAAAAAATTGAGGTTTATTAGTTTCAGTATAATTCAGTCATTATTGTTGGATTGAGGGACAAGCGCTGCTATATATATAATCGAACTGAGTAATTTGAGTCACTTTTATGTTCACAACTACATATTGTTGTTGGTCAATAATTTTTGTGATTGGTATCATTATAAAGAGGTGTGATATACTGAACCGTCTTATACTTCTAGTAGATTCTAGTGAACGAAAGCACACGGCTTGAGTCTGTTACGCTGTACAATTTTTTCTACACTATTCAAATAACAAAGTTATATCATGAAATGAAATAGATCAATTTACGTGCATATTCTAAGCTTAAAAATATTTCCTTATTTTAGAAATTCGAGGCATGGCAGTTACACAGGATGTTCACAAAGTCGACTGGAAACTCGGTCGTTCAGATGACAACTCAGATTTTAGCTCACATACATTGGCCAAGTAAATGCTTGGAGTTTAATTTAATTACACTTTATATGATTTTTATTATTGTGGTTACTGAGCTTATTAGAGTAATTTCCTATCTAATGTCGTTGGTTATGTGTTTAACGCAGACTCGTTGTATAATTTTAGGTGTACACTTGATTCTGACTGGAGATTTGAAGATTAAGCTATCTTCTGTATCCAAAAATTCTATCCAAAACAAAGAATTAAAATTTAATGTTACTATATGAGCCATTCATAACCAACGCATCAGTCGAAGTTACCACACTTATTATCAGCACAGCAAAAGAAAAATATAATACGGTGAAAAAAGGAACTAATAGTTGCATTACTGATTGTAGAATTGAGATATCCTAGGTCCCACCGGTGTTCCAGTAGTATATCACCAGTTTATCTACTTTGTACACTCTCAGTAAGGTTTGTCACTTTGTCTAGAATGGCAGTCAAACATTGCTTTGGTCTTGCTAGTTTTATATAGAGCTTGCTTTCTAAAATGCTTGTTTTTGCGTTCAACTTATATTTTTTTCCATTCAGCTTAGTACTATCTTTGACGTACTAATCGATAAGCTTTCTATATCCCATTCTCCCATATTCAATCCAATCTGAGACACCTTAATAATTTTCTTGGTGGAATTTTACGTGTGGCTTCCATACTTTTCAATGGAGTAATTATTATTTAAGGTTGAGGTTTCATTTATTCTAATGAGATTTTTTTTACTTATAACTTCATAATTGAATAGCTGTCCCATTAAACACGCTTTCTATTTGATGGATAGTGATAATCTTGAGATGCTTTGCCCAAAAGAGAGTTTTGAATAAGAATTTCTGTCGATCAAAACCTCGATAGTGTTAAAGTGGGTTTCGTTCAATGTTAAATTGAAAACGCTATCATGATTACATGCAGTTTATTTTGATTTGACAATGTCCCTTTTTTACTGAATTCTGTCTTAGATATCCTATAAACGACGCTTTATTCATCTAAATGTCCAGGAATTATTCTCTCTTCACTAATCTACATGAAGGACTGAGATTACAAATTCCTTTTTGATGAAAACGCTGACAGTACAGGTCTTCTGAATGCCTTTAGTAACAATGCAATCTTGTTTAAGAAGCGTTTTTCTCCCTCTGAATATAAGATATTGCTTCAGGACTAGCCTGTGTCACCACCTATTTTGATCGTAATGAATTCAGTAGTTGAGTTTGTCGACCACCTAACTTATCTTGGTAGTCATATTAGCTCTGATGAGTTGGTGGATGATGAAGTTTCGATACGGATTATTCAAAATCGGCTGACGTTTGCTAACTAGCGTTACTTGTGTCGTTGGTGAGATATCTGTCTGTGAATGAGCGGGCTGGAGATGTGTAAACTAATCCAATCTGTTACTTTGTGGCTGTCAAACGCAGTCTTCTAAAGTAGAGGGCATGTGTAAGTCACTCTCCTTCAATGCATTGTTCGCGTATTCTAGTATTAACATGTTAACATATTTCAGGTCAGACACAGAATATTGAATATCAATCCATGAGGTTATTAGCCATTCAACTGAGCCATGTCGGTATATTCAGAACACCTGATTGAAGTTCACATGATTACTATTAAGATTGATGGTTGGACACGTTAGATGACATGGCTCAGAATCGACGCGTTAGCATAGATCTGTTACCAATGTTCAGTATTCCTCACTATCATTTCTGGTACGCTAATTCGATTTCTTTGTTAATTTTATCTCAGTGTTACTGTAGGTTTACAACTTTGGCCAAGACACACTAATTTCAGGATGTACGCTGATTTTGTCTAACTGAGATATATTTATTTTGAGATAACTTTTTTTACTTCCGTGTAAGCTTATTCCGAGAATTGAAAGAGTTACGTTTGTGCGTTACATTCATTTCCGTAACCATATAAATTTTTAATTCTGTGTACCAGAAAATATTATATATAGTGGAATGCTCTTTTTATGGGGAGTTTGTTGGGTGATCAGGTCATTTTGTCACTGAAATATGCTCTAAGAACTACAAAGACTTATCAATCTGTAAATCATAATAGAACTTTTCGAAAAAATACGCGTGGTTCCAACTGTTCATCTTTATGGTACTTATTAGAATAACGAACATGGTATATCTTACTGATATTCACCAAATATCTTTACACAGTAACTGTAGTTAACCTCGGATTTAACTAGGTATTCTTATTTCAGAACGGTTAAATTTTACAACAGTGCGAAAAATTGTGATATTATTTATTTGTCACTACATTCAGAACAATAGTGGAATTCAACTTGGTTGAAGACCTGTAGTTTAGACTCATTCATAGTGACTCAGTTGTATTTATTCTCTTACTCGAAATCCTTACTTTATCATCATTCCTAACTTTCTACCCTTCAACTGCATTTCGTCCTTCTAAACTGTATTACTAACCTTTGAATTTTAACTTTTTTGGTGTTATTTTTTATACTATTCCTTTAGTTTGCTTGATCTCTTTTCGCCATGATGACATGAAATATAACAACTTGAACTGATTCATACGTGAGCTATGTTTTACGTTGATAATGACTGACTGATAACACTAAATTTTCAAGGCTGATTAACCATTTCGATTATCGACGTTGTAGACTATGAACTACCGTAGGAATAACTATTCTGGCCGATAACTCATCAATGTATCGGAAGTAGTTTGTTTTAGTTTGCTGATACATGTATACTATTGCCTCGGGGAAAATAAGGCGTATTTGATCCATCTACTACTAATAAACATGATGTGGCAGATGGAGCGAATCTATAAATTAGTCACGTGAGCAATTAGTTTTTATTCACCCCTTCTTAGGTTAAAGTATATGACATTACATGCAAAAATATTTATTAGTGTTTATACAAAAGGTATCTGTATATAACTATTCATTGCAAACTGGTTTTACGTTCAATGTAGTTACATGTTTTTATTTAAACTATACATTAACCAGTATTGCTCTCTGTAATTCTCTATTTTAAGATTTAGTCCTGTGAATATAGTGATTTATAAAAAAACAGTATTTAATAATATAGAATTATTGGGATATGAAAAATTTACCAAGTTCATATTCGTGTTTTTGACTTCAAGTCACTCAGTTGATTTAAAGTCTAGAATTACAATCAGCTTCACAAATCAAAGTGTTAAACGGCTTCGAATCTGTGATCTAGTGGTTGAATTTTGAATTCTACAACCGTTGTTTGCTACCATCTCACACTTCCTTACTTACTCCTGTCACTCCCAATGGAGCATAGGCCGCCGACCAATATTCTCCGACCCACTCTGTTCTGGGCCTTCATTTCTAGTTCTATCCAATTTTTGTTCATTCTTCTCATATCTGTCTCCATTTCTTAGTTTAATGTGTTCTTTTGCCTTGAGGATTCCAACTGAGGGTTTACCTTATGACGCACTTGGCTACTTTCTTCAATATGTGTCCTATTCACTTCCAGTGCTTCTTTCTGATTTCTTCCTCTACTGGGATCTAGTTTGTTCTCTCCTACAATAGGTTGTTGCTGACACAATCCACTATTGTTTAATGATTGTTCATAATATTATCATCGTTGATATGATTGTAAATAATTGATTTTATTCAGAATTTCATTTGTTAATAATAATATTTTGTTATTTTGCAACATGGGAATGAAGTGAATGAATAAGGAAACTTTACAAAATGGTCAGAAATGAAGATATATTAATTCATAGGGAATCTATTGATTATTAGTCTAAGAAACACAGAAGAAATCCAAGATATATTTAAAGAATAGTGAAAAATATCAATGATTTAGCATATATGAAACATGTTATTCTAAATCAATGGTTATAATAGGCTTGCTTTATTCTATATTAATTCGATATTATAACAAGAGTTGAAATATATCTTCATTATTAATATTGTATTATCTTATAAAGATGAAAGTGTAAAGAGTCTCTGATATTATAACTTCTCTATTTCCTCTTTCTATGATTGTTCTCAACTTATAATTAGATATGTTTACTTTCAATTATGAGATAGTTTTTACATAGCTCACTATAGGTTAAGCTCTTGTAAAAGTTCACATTCAAAATCCTGCATAACATTAAACTTTAAATCTTGATCTTCCTGTTTCATTTAGTAACTAAGTGAAAATCTAATGATATATATTTTCAAACTTACAGCTTTTAATTGAATTTTTTTTGAAGTTTCAATAAGTAACCATAATCTATGAAAGGAAACCAATACTCGTTAGTGATGTATAGTGATAGCTGCATTACATTTTGAAATGACTGAATCTGAAAAAAACAAACAAAACAAATGTGTACAATTGAAATCCGAATGATTGACTAAACTCTTAGTTTTCTGGATTTTATTTTCTGTTCAATCGTAGATGTTGATTGTTCTAAGATTTCAAACCTGTACGAAACAATTGTCTAGTGTTGTTGCTTTATTTTCAATGATTTATCAGTTGATTGCTTCGTGTGATGAGAATTATCATTTGTAGATAAATTTATTGAGAACTATATCATAAGTCAATAAAATCTATCTCTATTATTTTTGCGATCTTAAACATCCCTATGTATAGGCCTTCATCAAATTCCAAGGTTCGATTTTCTTCACCTGAAGACTTTGTGCGTAAATCAGGCGGTGTTAGAATAATCGAGAAGGTAAATCACTTACGTTATATATTTACATTGAGTGTTTGTTTTATTACAAAATTAATGAGTCTACAAATTGAACAATTAATATAAAGAAAATATGAGTTCATCAATTGATTTCTTCTTCAAATCTCTTTTATGGTATATATGAGGTTGTCTGGAATTAGTTTATAAATACATATAAACATATCACAATTTTTCGTTAAACGGCAAAGATATTTAGCTTAGGTAATACTATTTACAGTGTTGTGTTCCTTGAGATAATTAGTTTAACTGCTGAGCTTTCATTATCGTTGTTGATAACATTGTCAGTCTCTACTGATACATGAAGTAGGCGCTGATGATGTCATCTAGAACGGCTATGAAAGAAAGCTCTGTAATTTTACCATCTAGCTCAGCTAACATAAAATCATTAAAAGTTATGGGAAGCGTCTGCTTTTATACGACAGTAAATCCATTTATCGATTATTTTTTAAAAGATGTTTATTTCATTTTCAAAAGATTCTGATCGCGAACAATGGTATAGCAGCTGTGAAATGTATGCGTTCTTTACGAAAATGGTCATATGCTACATTCGGCAGTTCCGATGTTTTACGTTTCGTATGTATGGCAACACCAGAAGATATACAAGCTAATGCTGAATATATCAAAATGGCGAATAAAATGGTTCTGGTACCAGGTGGTTCCAATGTAAATAATTACGCTAATGTTGAACTAATTCTACAAACTGCTGTAACTAATGAAGTTGATGTAAGTTTAACTTTCTTGATTTTATGATCAACTTGTATTGATATATTGTCAGTGTACGTATTCTCTTGACAGTAATCATTTGCAACTATAACATGTTATAGCCAAGGTGCATACATTATTTATCTTACTCTAGATTTTTGGTTCCAGTCATCTTTCATAAGTACCTCTTCATTCTGTCTTGTCATATATTCCTAATATTTAATCACTCCGATTATCCTTCTTATCACGATTATTTAAAATTCCTTGCTACTTCTCTTTTTAATTTTATCTCGTTTTCTTGACTTAGTCTGGGAACGTGAGCTAATGAACATTTGTGCCATGCTCTACCTTGTTTATGACTGACTGACTTGGGCTGTACTATTTATAGATAAAAACGTTTTAGCATATTGCTAGGAACGTTTGCTTATTTTCATCATCTCAACGAGTACTCATTATCAAAAACGTAAACGTTTATTTGTTTTGTAACTTGTTACTTTGTTGATGGGGTAAATCAGGTTAAAGTATCTTTAAGTTAGAACAACATACTGATGTAAGTTATCTGTTGCATCATCTCAATATTGAATTTGGTGTACAAGATCAGGTTTGCATCATTTATTTACGTTCAATTTCATTTTCTGTCTGTAGATGATTGTATCCTTGAGATGAAAATATTCAGTAGATATCTGATCGTTTATTTTCCCTAGTTAGTCCATTCAAATGTCTAACCACTGGTTTTACTACTTACGTCTGTGATCTTAATGTCGTACGATGGGCTATCCTGCAAAGTCGTGCATGGAGGGCAGCTCACAGATTCACCATAAGTGAAGACTGGTGTCAGACAAGACTATTTACTTACACTCTTTCTATTTCTTCTGGTGGTTAACTGGATTACATAGACTTCCAAATCTCAGGAGGAGCACAGGATACAGTGAACAGCTTGAATAAAGCTAGACAATTTTGAATTCTCAGACAACCTAGTTCTTCTATCCCATACATAGCAGTACAATCAGGGAAAAACAGACGATGTAATAACAGCCTCTGCATCAGTAGGCTTCAACATGCACAAGGGAAAAAAACATCCTCAAATACAACACTGTTAGCACCAACCAAATAACACTTGATGAGGAAACTCTGGAAGAGATGGAATCCTTCATGTACCTTGGAAATATCATCGATGAACGTGGAGGATCTGATGCAGACGTAAAGGTTAGGATTGGCAAAGCAAGTGCCGCATTCCTACAATTGGATAACATATGGAACTCAAAACAACTATCAACCAATATCAAAGTGAGAATCTCCAATACAAACATCAGGAAAGTTCTACTGTACGGACCTGAGCCTTGGAGAACTACCTCAACCATCATCAAGAAGGTACAAGTATGTATAAACGATTATCTATGCAAGATACTCAGCGTTCCTTGGCGGGATACCATCAGCAACAGCCTACTATTGGAGAAAACAAACCAGCTTCCAATTGAAGAGGAAATTAGGAAAAGATACTGGAGGTTGGTAGGATACACTTTACGTAAATCATCAAATTGCATCACGAGGCAAACGCTTAGTTGGAATCCTGAAGGCTTAAGGAGAACAGGCAGACTAAAGAACACTTGCCCATGGTAATTAGAGGCATTCATCATAACAATGGTTAGCATTTAACAATTATTAGAAAAGAGAGCCTAGGACAAAATCAGCCGGACAATGCTGGTCGGCAACCTATGGTCGACAACCAGTAACAGGAGTAAGTTAGTAAGTAACTGTTGTAACGTGTGAGACTGCAGGATAGAGGCGCAGCGTATTTATCGATCGCTTCTGTGACATGGGAAACACGTAGTGGACGACCTAGTGCCCTGATTGGCTCTGCTTCGCTGTCTGTCCTAGCCAGTTGAGTCAAGAACACAAGTCACAGCCTCTGAGTTATGAATCTACGAGCAATTGAAATGAGAGCCGATTTTCTGTGACCACTGTACTATCATTTCTTTGCATTTGATTTGTATGTCTTATGCATTTTCCGACACCTTTCCGGACTAGGTACAGTACATTTCCGATTCGACGTTCTATGACACCTGGTTCCCACTTCCTATTACCTTGATACGATCTGACAAGTACCTTTTCACCCACCTGGAAGCTACGATTGACCTTCCGATTTTCATTCGTGGGTTTATTTGTCTTTATGGGCGGCAACATACTGTTAAAGACTGTCCGGATTTTCCTTCCGAACATACACTCGGCCGGAGACTTTCCTTCTGGTATTGCCGGATTAGGGGTAACTCTATAAGACATTAAGAACTTATTAATCACTTGTTCCGGGATACCCTCACATGTTTCAAGCACAGTGGGATTTGAACCCACGACAGGGCATGCTTCTGAATTGGACATTTCTGGATCGCTAGACGGATCATGAGCGACTGCCTTGTTTACATTACTGATCATCAGGGATTCATAGAGGCTTTTGTTTTCATATTCATACGTCCTGCAGTCATTTTTGAGTTCAGTATGCAAGTGAGAAATTAATTCATCAATTTCTTTCACATCTCCGAAACATGAGAGATCTAGCAGTCGCGTGCGTAAATAATCCAAAACATTCAACTGGCTCTTTCTGAAACGCTGCTGTTGGCGATCAAGTAGTAGCTGCAATTGATCGGGAAGGATAGTCATTTTCTGAATCAGCAGGGTAATGAGAAATACTGTGATCAATTAACAACCAATTTCTTCCAAGGACGCCGATGACAAATCTGGATATTGATTGGTCAAAATAGATAGGCTGAATCTCGTCCAATTAGAGGGTTCAAAATTTTCTCTACCCCGTCGCCAATTGTTGTATCTTGAAAAGCTGATTTTCTCGATATGCCGCGTATAACAGAGCACTAGAACACCTAAACCCTTCCAAGTCGCAATAAGAAGACAGAAGACTAACGAAAGGAATATTATTCCAAACAGTGTCAATCATAGTACAAAATTGTCAGGTATTTATAGTTTTTAGTGAGAACGAAATCATCATTACAGTCTTCCAATCCGCATACAGGGGGTTATTAGCATTATCCAATCGGGAAGCTACACGTTGGAATTCTAGAACATTCTTCCGAAAGGTGATTGGATGGGACGTCTTCGGCTCCTTCTGAGCCTCTTACAGCTTCCTCTAGTTCACCGGTGGTCCGTCGTCACAGTAACGTTTACAATCTTCTGAAATAACCTCTTGTAAGTAATGTTGGTATGCTGTTCGATGCTAGACAAATCATTATATTATCAAAAATATCCTATTCAATAGTTTAAATTCATTATTCGTTCTTACTCTATTATCCTTTCAATATGAGAATAACTTACTGACTATTTAATTAGATTATATAAACAAGAGAAAAATGATCATGATAGTTCTACTGTATAAACATTTCTGATAATTCAAGCAATTCTTTTGTACATTCTCAAAAATCATGAAGTGTGTGTTAATAAACACAATATTCCCATATATGTAGCTCCGAATTGATAGGGAGTGAAGTAGTTGAGTGTGTCGACCGCTTCACTTATCTTGGAAGTCTCATCAGCCCTTGTGGTCTGGTGTGTGACGAAATCTCAGCACGGATACAGAAGGCTCGACTAGCTTTTGCCAACTTGCGTCATTTATGGCGTAGGCGAGATATCCGTCTATCAACCAAAGGACGTGTTTACTGTGCAGCAGTTCGTTCCGTCCTACTTTATGGCAGTGAAACATGGCCGGTGAGAGTAGAGGATATCCGTAGGCTACTAGTATTTGATCATAGGTGTCTTCGAAACATTGCTCGTATATCATGGGACCATCGATTAAGTAACACAGTTGTTAGAAAACGGGTACTAGGTAAGGATGGCAAATCAATTGATGACGTAGTGAAACTTCATCAGTTGAGATGGCTGGGACACGTGTTACGTATGCCCAACGACCGACTGCCTTGACGTGCTATGTTCAGTGGTATAGGAGTAGGTTGGAAGAAAGCTAGGGGCGGCCAAACCAAAACATGGCACAAGTCCATGAAGTCACTGACAAGTGAACTGAGTCATGTTGGTAGGTGTAGACTACCTGGTTGGGGACCGCGAGATGATAGCAACCGATGGTTAGAGACCCTGAATGACATGGCTCAAAATCGTTTGCAATGGCGCAGGTGCATCCACTCTCTGTGTTCTCTCAAATTCTAATCTTCTGAATTCTTCATGTCCCTTTTTTCCTCTTTCCAAATTTATTTCACTGGATTATACTCTATAAATAACATCTCCAAACCCTAATCTTCCCGATTACTGCTTATACTCTTGCTACCTCTACCACTATGGGATTTGAATCGACAACTGCATCTCTGTGCTAATGTGGTGTGGCAACTCGAACTGATGTACGTACGTACGAAGTTCTACGTTGTTACTGACTGACTGACTGACTGTAGCTCCGAATTATGATAATAATAACATTTTGTGTTCGTTTAATGGGTGTTTAATATTACAATACTGTAGTGAACAGAACACGAGTGGGGACAATCGAGTGTATTTAACAAAATACATTACAGAGCATCTCAATAAAATCTGAGAACCATATATCAAGTCGTTAATTTGCAAAATGTTCACCAGTTGTTTCAAAATGCCTCAGACTTCATTGTTCTTGCATTTTCATACAAATTGCATTCTATTTCCGCTCTTGCTTTCTTGATCTTCCTCCATCTTCTGCTGCCAGACATTACGTTCCTGACTCGCGTCATATACTACTTATATCAGTATAAGAAGCATGCACCATAATACCACTAGGTAAAAAGCTAATACATTCACCTTTTTATTTGGTTACCTCTCTCTATATATATCAGTCAATTAGCTACAACGTAGGACCAGGCACATATATGCATCGGTTCAAGTTGCCATACCTCATTAACACAACAAGATGTATATATGTAAATCAGTTATTTATGGACAACGCAAATATGTTTCCGTTCAATTTGTTGTTGTATCTTATATTTCCTCTACGAGAAAGTAAACTAAAAAAGAAAAACAACAAAAGAATATAGATGATTAAAGGAAATCATCTAAGTATAGGAAATTCATTTCAAAGAAAGCAGAAATAAGTAGCATAAAACAACAGCAATCTAATCATTTCATAGCAGATAACAAAATTATTTACTTTAGACTTTCGCCTCTACATCTTTTTAATGATGGAAATAGTTTAAATATTTTTCATCTTATCTCATATTCCACTAGTTGAAGTCATGAGTCAGTTGAAGCTAGACCACCATGGAAAACCTGGAAGCACTGGATGGCCGTTTCGTCCTAGTATGGGACTCCTCAGCAGTGCGCGTCCACGATCCCCTCCGCAAAATTTGAACCCAGGGCCTACCAGTTTCGCACCAGGCGCTCAACCAATAGACCACTGACCCGGCATATAACAGTATTAATATCGAACTTCAACCAATCCACGAAGTTGCGCCACCGTACACCATTGTCTTCAATCAGTTGATTTCTCACAACAGACCTGGTTGAACTCCACTGGTAACGGCTTCTCACTAGAACTCCAGGAGTATCTCTTGAAGTCAGTCACTAATGAGCAGATGATCTAGTTGGTCTAGTTGTTTAAGGGCCTGGCGCGAGACTGATAGATACTGGGTTCGAATCTCGCGGGGTGCAGGATCGTGGATGCGCACTACTGTAGAGTCCCACAATAGGACAAAATGACCCTCTAGTGTTCCCAAGTTGTCCATGGTAGTCTACCTTCAATTGACTCATGATCTCAAACATTAAAATTCAATTTAAACTAATAATTAGTTTTAATTTACAGAGTTCCTATCTGTTTATCATGTGAAATTTTATTTTATCTCCTTCTTTGTGTGTATGAAATTGATGAATGCTAAACAGCATATTTTTCATTGAAATAGTTCTTTGCAATAAAGTTACACTTAATCCATCACTTTAGTATACGAATTGAACTGTAAAGATTGTTAGTTATGGACATAAATTAATGAACAAGCGGATAATCTTGAGTCATTCTGATCTTGATTATTAGTCTTTATTTGACTGATAATCAATGCATTTCCGCATAATTTTAATTCATACACAAACTAGTGTCCTAAAAACATTAATTTACAAAATTTAGGTTAATATGATCATTACGTTGGGTAACTTGTAAAGATTTAGCCCCTTATGATTTGCGAAATGGATCTACGACGAAATCAGGGAATTTTAAATGTGCTTTGGTTAATAGTAATGAAGATGGAATATGTATACTGTGGAAAAAATAAGGAGGATTTTTAAGTGTTTAAGATTGATGCTATACTCAATGGACTATTTATGATTTCAGTTCGGGTATTTGTTCGACAAAGTATTAATATATAATATGAGATGGATGAGTTTCTGCAAAGTTCACATTTGATGTATTCAGCAAACTTTCTTCATGAGTACACTGTTGAACGAATTATATTTGTAACCATAGGGATTCGTTGAAACGAGACAAGGAGTGACTACACCAAACAATATATTAGTCGTCAAAGTCACTGACTGTTAATCTAACCTTTGTCAAAACCGATAGACTCTCTGATTGTATTCTTCAAGATAATTTTAATTTATGGTTAAAGGTTTTAAGTGATTTTGGTGGAGTTTTGTTCTCTGAGTTGGATGGTTTGGTCGTTGAGCTTTCATCGTTCTTCTGAACGACATCATCAGCACAAACTTCAGATAGAAGTGATGTCGATACAAATGTGTTTCAGCGTTGCAGATGTATTTATTCCTTTCTTAATCTTGAATTCTTGTATCTTTCCGTGCTTTTGATTTGTTTTTTTTCTGCATCGGTTTTTTTATTATGGTTGTTTCATATTCCTTTTTTGTAATTGTAGTGGTTTTGTAAAGATTATTTTTATTTATATATTGTATGATATTTATCATTTGAGGTACCATTCAATCTAACAAGCACTCAGCTGCTGTTCTGTCCTCGTATGAGACTTTTCGGCAGTGCGCACCTAAGACCTCTGAGGTGATAAGGCTCTAGACCTACGGCTTTTTTATGTTTATTTGTCGAAGCCACTGGATTAGTATCAAGTGCTACACATTTCTAGGTTCAACCAGTTTATTCTTAAAATATTTCGTGTATTTTTTTTGGTGATAAAACGAAGTTGGATGATTAGGGTCAATCCACCTTTTTTCTTAGATTCTATTTTTGTCATGACTAATTGATTAATCTGTAAAATGATTTTCTTTAATCAAATATGATCTTTTTGTTTTTAAATTTCATGCTTAAGTTACCTCTTTTTTTTCAGGCTGTGTGGGCTGGTTGGGGTCATGCATCGGAAAATCCTCAATTGCCTGATGTGCTCAGTAAACATAATATTGCATTTCTTGGTAAGCCCTTTAATGATTGATTATATTACTACTCTTCTATGGTTACGCACACAATCTAATTATCTTTAAGTGAATACTTTAAACGCTACTTAAAAGAAATACATATATATATTATTATCAGAATGGGTTTTGTGGAGATTTTAGAAGCTTCACTAGTTGAACTCATGAGTCAATTGAAGCTAGACCACCATGGAAGACCTGGAAGCACTGGACGGCCGTTTCGTCCTAGTATAGGACTCCTCAGCAGTGCGCATCCGCGATCCTGCACCCCGCGAGATTCGAACTCAGGTCTGTTGTGAGATAGGAACTCACTGAAGACAATGGTGCACGGCGGCGCAACTACGTGGATTGGTTGAAGTTAAACATTAACACCGTTATATGCCGGCTCAGTGGTCTAGTTGGTTAAGTGCCTGGTGCGAGACTGGTAGGTCCTGGGTTCAAATCTCGTGGGGTGCGGAATCGTGGGTGCGCGCTGCTGAGGATTTCCATGCTGGGACGAAATGGCCGTCCAGTGCTTCCAGGTTTTCCATGGTGGTCTAGCTTCAATTGACTCATGATTTCAACCAGTGAAACATATATATATTCCCTGTAAGTTCAGCTAGTTGGGTTGGGTCTCATATCTTTTAAACAATAGTTTAAATTTGAATATACGAATCGCTGGACGATAAATTCTCAGTGACCAATTTATGAACCTTTTTGTTTTTAACCATATAAATTGATCATGTTATTTATACTTGTTGAGCTTGGATTTTCAACGATTAATAAGTTCAATAAAAAGTCATTATATACATTTTGATATTGCTAGGTTATCTGAATTTAATGGTGATTATCTATTCCGAAAGCATTCATCTTCGTCTTTGACAACAGAATTAGCATATAATCGAAGTAATTATTGTAATTACAATTGATTGACCACTGGGTGGTGATCAATGTCATGCTTGTCTAGTCCTTATTAGTGCACCACCAGTGATCAATCAACTGTGATTACATCTCAGTCCTACAGGAGTTCGGTCGCGGCTCGGATAGCTCAGTGGTAACGTCTCTGACTGTGAAGCTGGGTGACACGAGATCGAATCCGCCAGAGAGCACCAATTCCCTCAAGATTACAGGTACACCTTGCTGACGAGTGCCAAGTAGCACGAAACCTGGGTCCAGGGTTTCCTGTCGACTACCTCCAACCACCATCTAATTATTGTAATTATTTCACAAACGCTAAATCAGCTCCTTCTGATAACCTCGTTCGTGAATAATTGATAGGTTGATGAATAGGTTTTACTATCTCTATATTTCTTCGCATCGCTGTTGGCTGTTTTCTTTCAGTTAACCTCTTCCCATATGACTAATTGTTTTTTACAGTATGAATCAATTAGTTAAAAATCTCTGTCAATATGAATCTCTTGATTGGAGATTAGTTTGATTCTAGAAATTCTCTGGGATTTTTTATAAACTCTTCAGTTCAGAAGTTTTGTATTTTTCTAACCAAATTCCTTTCTTTGATCGTCTGGTTGAAGCTAGGAGAGATAATATTGTCCAAAATGACCATAAAAACTGTTCATTTGAACCACCTGACTAGAAAAGCTTTGCATTACTGAAATTGTTCATTTGAGCTATGAATATTTTCTAGCATTTCAAAAATTGATTGCATTAAACAGTTGATAATCAAGTATCTTACAACAGAATTGCCATGACAGTATGCGATTATATAATATAATAAATTATTCATCAGTGCAGTATTTGCTGACAACAATGTTTACTTACGTACTTTCGCCTCATGACATGTTGAAGTGATTGCCTCTTTTATCCATTTCCAGTTGCTCTCCATAGTAGCCCCTTCTCCATTGAGTAGATCATGAAAGGCCTGGAAGTTATTGCTGAATGTGTTGAGTTTGTCAGTATCCCGAAGAAAAGCCGTATTGAACTTTTGTGATATTGTCCGCCCCGTTGTGACAATAATGTTTAATATTATTTATACAATAATATACAGGTATTTTTGATCAATGTGTTTATCCTTATATTTTTTTGTATAATTTTTAATTATTTTCTTTAGGCCCATCGCATCAGGCTATGTGGACACTTGGTGACAAGGTTGCTTCTACAATACTTGCTCAAAGTGCTCATGTACCCACTCTTCCTTGGAGTGGTTCTGGTGAGAGTAGAATTTGAATAATCCCTGATATTTTATGTATTTCTCATAAGAATTTATATATTTAGTTAACTAAACGTCTTGTCATATAACCGAATGATGAATTTTAACAATCTAATCTGTCTAATTTGCTAGTTGGATACTGGCAAAACACGATCCTGATAATCCCCCCCCCCACACTCGATATTGAATTATTCATATACATGACATAAGTGTGGCCATTTATGGCGTGGTACTTTGGTAGCAGAAGAACATAGAGTACAAAAAAGTCTTGGTTTCATAAAGGCTTATTTTATATCGGTCTTAACTTCCTGCTTTGTTGAATCGAAAACAATAGACATGCAAGTACAGGCAATTAGTACTTTTATTGATTTATTTGTTAGAGTTTTCTAACAAAAGTCCTATTACCATACTGTTGAACATTGAATAATTCAATATCGGGAGTAATTCATTCATAATTAACGTAGAACCTAGCACTGATGTACTTTCTCCTAAGTTGCCACTACACATAATAGAAAAAATGAACAATATTACTGCAAAACATATACAGAATATTTAAACTCACTAACATGAAAATTACTGTGTTGCTATGTTTTATGTCCTATGGTCTGTCTACCCACTTTTGGTGCCGAGGATACTTATCTAATCCATATTAAGACCTTGGCGCTATAGGCTGACCGACCTAACCTTGAGGCTAGTACGCGTGAGTTCGAAGTGGGATATAGAGAAGAAAACTATTTTATCACCTGATTAGCTGACAAGCACGCGAATGAAAGAAGACAAGACAACTGGAACACTACTCAATCTATTCCTGATATCCTGATTTCTTCTGATTTCAGATTAGTGTAAAAAGGTACATGAATAAATATAGGTGACTAACCCTACCACAACGTACCATAATTAGGAAAAATACATTTATGTCCAAAGCTGGGAATTAGAGTAGAAAATAGGGTGCAAAATATTATGTTTAAATGACAATAGCTTCGGAACAGAAAAGGGTATAGCAATGAATCATACATCGAACGAAAGCTTATGTTCTGTAGAATAGATTAGGAACAAAAATTAATGTTAATGTTTTACAAGCTTTGCATAAAATGAAATAACGTCCCAAGAAAATAGCTTTCGTAGGTTGTCAGGGCTTTTTGTTTCCCTGTTCACATCACTATGAATTCATATTATGATTTTTAAATGATGTGGAGTAAATCTGTTAACAAGAAAATGGATCATTTTAGTCTATTCTGTTCACTGGTAAGAATCGAGAAAGTCTGTAAACTCGTTTATTAGACTATCAGTTATTTATCTAAATAAACCGCATCGTGAGGATTTCGTGACCCTCATTTTAGAGTTAATTTTTTCAGTTCTCTATCACCTAAGGAATAGAACAAGCTAAAAGCAAACGGAAATCTAAACACGTGTTTGTCAAGAGATCTAATCGTCAACCCTTGTAATGGTCGTGGATATACACATCTGACAAGTCCTATACTAGCTCGAAACAGCTTTCTAATGTTCATTGCTCTTTCAATGGTTATTTAGTTGAAGTTATTTCGTAATGCAAACTCCAGATTGAATAATCCCCACAAACTTCCTGATACTAAGATATTCACTTTTGCTAGGTTTTTATCAATACACTTTCTCAGAACTTTTCAGTTTATCAAAATTTAGTATAACCAATTTGAATCCAAATCCTTGTTTATCTAAATGTTTTGTTGTGGAGATTGGTCAGTTTTTCTTATAAAATTCATTTCAATAGTTGAGATCATGAGTCAATTGAGGCTAGACCACCATGGAAAACCTGGAAACACTGGACAGACGTTTCACCCTATTGTGGGTCACCTCAAGTGTGCGCATCCACGACATATTCTAATTAGTGACTGGGGTCAAGAGGTGTTTCCTGGAGTTTTAGTAAGAAGCAGTGACCAGTGGAGTTCAACCGGGTCTGTTATGAGATAGTAACTCATCGAAAACAATGGTGGATGTGTCGCTCGATTTTGTGGATTAGTTGAAGTTAGATATTAACATCGTTGGATGCCGGCTCAGTGGTCTAGAGGTTAAGTGTTCACGCTCGAGATCTATATGTCCCGGGTTTGAATCCTGCGAGGCGGGATCGTGGATGCGCACCGATGAGGAGTCCAACAATAGGACGAAATGACCGTCCAGTGTTTCCAGGTTTTCCATGATGGTCTACCTTCGATTGACTCTTGATCTCAACTATTAAAATTACTATAATATTCATAAAAATCCCTTCTGACATTAAAATTTATTCCAATTTTTATCACATGAAGTAAATTATGATATTTTGTAGATCTAACTATATCACTTGATCGATCTGTCAATGGTCACTGTTCTAATAACGAACCAGAAACAAATGATAATTTAACACTGAATATGGTAAAATCTACTGGCCTACCACAGAGATCATCATCTGTATATTCTCGTCTAATATCTGAAGATTTATATCGTTCTGGTTGTGTGACAGATTTGTCAAGTTGTTTGAAATGTGCTGATAAAATAGGCTATCCAGTAATGATTAAAGCTTCTGCTGGTGGTGGGGGTAAAGGAATTAGAAAAGCGTTAACTAGTGCAGATATTGAACGTGTTTTTCCTCAAGTTAGTGAATAGTTTTTCTGTGGTTCTTATGCTTAGTTACAAAAATGATTTATATAATATAATGAAAAAAATTTAGTAATTTTCTTGATTCTTCAACTCAGCAAACATTTAGAAATTTGTGTATTAAGCTTTTACCTACACTTACTCTCGATGGATAAATAGTCATACGACCTCCTGGAAGTAGTTTACTTGAATACATAAGCCCTTGATTCAAAATTATATTCAGTCGAAATGGAAAAAAAATAAGTATATTACTGTTAAAATAGGACATAAATAAGAGATAGTAGCAACCTTGTTGATAATGTTATGGTTGTTAGGCAAATTCTGAAAACTTAAATTGTCATTTGTTATAAATTTAGATTTCGTTAGGTTTTTTTTTACACACCTTAATGTTAATTATGTAAGAATCTCTTAAACTTGATATAATGCTATTTTTTTAATAAGAGTTATATATATTCATCGTGAGGTTCTATGGCAGTGTTTGTCAGTGAAAGGAGTACCAAAAAAGTACATTAATCTTGTAAAGGCTCTCTACTCGAACACAACTGGTAGAATGAGAGCTTATGGCGAACTGTCATCAGAATTGATTACCTCAAGTGGTATTCGTCAGAGCTGCCCACTCTCTCCATTCTTGTTTAACTTTGTCATTGACGCACTTTTAGAGATGACATTTTCCTCATCTAAATTTCCAGGGGTTGAACTTCTACCGGGAGATTCACTTTTTAACTTGGAATATGCCGATGACGTAGTTTTAATTGGTGAAGACGCTGACAAAATGCAGTCTTCTGACCACTCTAAGCGACAATGCAAGCAGGCTCGGGATGCAGTTCTCCCCCTCGAAATGCAAAATGTTATTTCAGGATTGGGTTGCATCGATACCCTAACTAATGATAGGGAGTGAAGTAGATGAGCGTGTCGATCGCTTCACTTATCTTGGAAGTCTCATCAGCCCTTGTGGTCTGGTGTGTGAAGAAATCTCAGCACGGATACAGAAGGCTCGACTAGCTTTTGCCAACTTGCGTCATTTATGGTGTAGGCGAGATATCCGTCTATCAACCAAATGACGTGCATGTGTATTCGGTGACCCTTTGTACCAATATTTATGTATTCAAATAAATGAATGATTGATATACTGGACATTGTATTATGTCAAAAATTCGACTTAAAATTTATATATACAATGATCAAGGTTATTTAACATATTTATTGTTCTACCATTCTATAGGTACAAGCTGAAGTACCCGGTTCACCTATTTTTGTCATGAAATGTGCAACATCTGTTCGTCATTTAGAAGTACAAATACTATGTGATATATATGGTCAAGCAATTAGCATGTTTGGTCGTGATTGTTCAGTTCAACGAAGGCATCAAAAAATTATTGAAGAAGCACCTATTATTGTAGCTCCAAAAGAAATTATTGAAAAAATGGAACAAGTAGGAATTGTCTTGTTTGTTGTTGTTTTTGTTGAAATTTCCGCCTATTTTTATTCTCCCTTTCGGTGATTTATTCACTTATTTTATTAAACATACAATTGTTTCATGAAAATGTAATCTTTTTTCTTTTTATGTATCATTATTACATTTTATAGGCTGCTGTACGTCTTTGTAAATTAGTTAGTTATGTTAGTGCTGGTACTGTGGAATATCTATACGATCCAGATTCAAATCAATTTTATTTCTTAGAGTTAAATCCACGACTTCAAGTTGAACATCCGTGTACAGAAGTAGTTGCTGAAGTGAATTTACCAGCTTGTCAACTACAAGTAAGTTTATATATATATATATATATATATATATATATTTAATGATAAAGTTCATGTAAATTGACTATATACTGAAACATGTATAGTTCTGATTCTCTTAATATAAAAAAAAACTGGTTATAGCTTGATAGTTTAGATAGTCGGTTACCTATCAGTTGATCTTACACTCTAGTTTTCCCCCTTCAAAACTACTTCGCTTTGTACAAGTGAATAGCATCACTAACCTTCGCGTAAACAGGACAATTCAAATCCAATTACCTAGTTGTTTACTTCATAAGTGATAATCCAGACAATGCATTTCATTAGTCGTGTTTAATCAAAGTATTAAAGAAAAAATCAAATCAAAACGTCTCACATGTCTGTATCATCTCATGTTACCATACAAGAGCAAAGCATATGGGAATCACTAAAAGATATATAATAAGAAGGTAAAGTAACGATAACGTCCACAACAGTTTAAAGACTAAACGTAGATTATTTATCAGTTTAGGGGTTGTGGAGATTATTAAGTTCTCACTAGTGAATAGCTTCGTGAGGAAATTCTCGGAGTTCTGGTGAGAAGCTGTGACCACTGGAGCTAATCCATGTCGGGTAGAACACAGGTGTCTACCTCAGTACAATGGGAGATGGTCGCGCAATTTTGTGGATTGGTTGAGGTTAGACAATAACACTATTGGATCCCAGCTCAGTGGCTCAGTAGGTTAAGCGTTCGCGTGCGAGACTGATAGGTCCTGGGTTCGGATCCCGCGAGGTGGGGTCGTGGATGCGCACTGCTAAGGAGTCCCGCAATAGGACGAAACGGCCGTCCAGTGCTTCCAGGTTTTCAATGGTGTTCTAACATCAATCGGTTCATGATCTCAATAAAAAAAAAGATTATTTAGTTGAAATAGATGTTATGAAATTGTAAAGTCTAGAGTGTGAAATAAAACTGAAACTTAAAATATTTAGAGGCACTAGTATAATTGGTTTGTGTAACTTATTGTTTGTCTGATATCACAAATCGATTGAAGTCAGAAATGTGTATTATTGAATGTTAACTCAATGATTTAAAAGGTAAGCGCTTGTTGTTAGACCTGAAGATCTTAGATTAAATTCCTGGATGCTTCATGAACGCATACTACTGGAAAGTCTCAAATCATTATGAAACACTTGTCTAATGTTTTTGTATTTAATTTTCAATGATTACTTAACTACAGTCAGTTTATAATTTAAAGTATAAAATTTAAAAGGGGTAAATTAAAGCGTAATACATTTACGTCATTGTGATTGATCTTCACTAAAGTTACCTAAAATTCTTATTCTTTAGCCATAATTATCATATGAATTGCATACAACAGTAGCTTTCACCTACCCATACAGCTGAAAGCTACTGTTGTATGCAACAGTAAGGATGGCAAATCAATTGATGAAGTAGTGAAACTTCATCAGTTGAGATGGTTGGGACACGTGTTACGTATGTCCAACGACCGACTACCTCGACGTGCTATGTTCAGTGGTATAGGAGTAGGTTGGAAGAAAGCTAGGGGCGGCCAAACCAAAACATGGCACAAGTCCATGAAGTCACTGACAAGTGGACTGAATCATGTCGGTAGGTGTAGACTACCTGGTTGGGGACCACGAGATGATAGCAAGCGGTGGTTAGAGGCTCTGAATGACGTGGCTGAAAATCGTTTGCAATGGCGCAAGTGCATCCACTCTTTGTGTTCTCCCAAATTCTGATCTTCTGAATTTTTCATGTCCCTTTTTTCCTCTCTCCAAATTTATTTCACTGTATTATACTTCTTGAATAACATCTTCAATCCCGAATGTTTCCGATTACTGCTTATACTCTTATTACCTCTACCACTACGGAATTTGAATCGACAACTGCATCTCTGTGCTGATGTGGTATGGCAACTCGAACTGATGTACGTACGTACGAAGTTCTACGTTGTTACTGACTGACTGACTGACCCATACAGCTCAAATAGCGTACAACAACGATGTATAACTAATAATCTCAGTTAGTTTAGAATATAATATTTATTTATTTATTTTTTAACACATAGATATTGGTACAAGGAGCCACCAAATACATATGCGCCATACAAATTTCATTTGATATGTGTGAGGGCTGTGATAATCCCCAGGTGCCCAAACCGAAGCAGGTGATTTTCTTAGGAGGCCACACCCGGAGCCTTCGACCTGAAGGTCTGATCCACAAGGGAGTGGAGCATCGTAAAGAGATGCAGTCCCATGGAAGTTGGTAACCAACGATTGATTCATACGCCATTTGTTCCCTCAGGATACTGGAGACCATGTGCATCATTGGTTTGAAGTCAGAGTTTTCCAACTCCTCTAGGTGGACTCTTCATGTCCACCAACCTGGTTAAAGCACCGGACATTCACTTTTCGTCCTCTTAATTTCGTAAACAATAGCAATGTCGAGAGAAGGCAGTGAGTAGGACTTCCCTGTCAGAGGCTATATACGTGTGGCCATATGAGAGCATTTCGAGAGGGATAGCGCACTCTCCCCACTCTCGGCCATACCAGGGCATTTGGGGGGGGGGCTTAGAATCACGAAAACAAAAAGAGAAGTAGCCAAAAGACAAATTACATACCTTTTATACATTCTAAAATATTTAGATAAGATATATATATATATTTAAAAAAAGTTCCGAAAAGGGTGTCGATTACAACTGAAATCAATAAATTAATAGAAAATCTCTAAGGAAAAAAACTGGTAAGATCGTAATGAATTGTTGTCTCTATGACAATACAAAAAAAATTCACTACTATTGATGTTATTGTTTTGTTTGTTTTTTCTGTTTACATAAATTAAGATTTTCCTCATTTATAAATTAAAAAGTGAATTTACATAAAAAATATTTTTTTAGGTTGATTAGATACTATAAGTTTTTATAGGTTTCTTTCATAAAGATCCATTTAAAAGGGGCTACTTGGTTGGGGTCCGCGTGACTATCGTCACCAATGGTTGGAGACTCTTGGTGACATGGCTCATAATCGATCACAATGGCGTCGGTGTATACACTCTCTGTGTTCCCTTAAACTAAGAGATTAAAATCGCTTCATATCTTTCTTTCTATCAACCAACTAATTCTTTCTTCCTGTACTATATCCTTATATGCAATCTTTCTTATATATATTACCACCTCTGAATTAACTACTTTTATGAATCCGGTGTTCATCTTGTTGTGTTAATGAGATATGGCAACTTGGACCGATGCATATATGTGCCTGGTCCTATGTTGTAGCTGACTGACTGATATCAAAGGGGTATTATTGCAAATGTAGATGTTATTTACATTGATAAATTTTTATGATGTATTTTAATTTCAATGATTAAGATCATGAATCAGTTGAAGATAGACCACCATGGAAAACGTGGAAGCAGTGGACGATCGTTTCATCTTATTGTGGGACTCCTCGCCAGTGCGCATCCACGACCTCTCCCCGTGCGGCATTCGAACCCAGGACCTACTGGTTTCGCGCGCGAGCACTTAACCACTAGACCACTGAGCCGGCATCCAACTGACTCATGATCTTAGTCATTCACATTACTATAATATCCACAAAACCCGTCTGATATATTTTAATGTCTAAATGCTTAGATTCAAATTGTATTCTATTCCGTGTAAATATTCTAGTTTGAATACTTTGTTGTAGTTTTCTAGAACCTTTTCATTCATACTGCCACCTCTTCGTCCATCTTTTCTATATACTAGATCGTTGTGTTGAACTTTCTGACTTTTAACTTATCTAGATTCTGATTCTTTTAAAGAGCAATAAATTTTTATATTCTAAGATGAGTGGGATCAATGAATTAGCTAAAGACTCTTAGCAACCTCTCCTCTCCTCTTCACTGTTTGCTTTGAGGAGATCTTGTACAGGGTAATTGTGAATATTCCACTTTACAATTAGTAAAATTGAATTACTAAGACACCTGAGTTTTTGTAGGTCTCTCAGTTCAGGCGTTTTCAAAATAATATAGTAATACTTTGATTTCTGTATTCTTTACGTAGAATGGAGACTTGATCAATCTGTTAACTTCAGCTACGATATCTGTGATTACCACAAAAGCTAATGATACCAACTGATTGATGTACTAAGCAAAATATCTATCTGTCTAATAATGTTGTTGCGAACGTATCGATTTCTGTAGTCTCACCTACATAAAATGGCTCAGATAGAACAAGTAACTTTGTTGTAATGCATTCGAACATACTCATCTAATTGCTAAGGAAGCGGAATTTTTAGTCAGTCAAGGTAAATGACGGACTTAATCTTGGACGTTGTTTTAACCAATTCGTGAAGGATAGATGCATACGAACATATGGTTTTTGTCTTTTATTAAAATCTTAACGAATGGATTAAATTTTATAGCATTAGTTGTGTAGATCTTAGTAAACAAATGAAGAAACGTCTTGAATGTTTCACTGACATGCAAACGAGGACATTCCTACAATGATTACGTCTTCTTAGTTGTTGAAAGTTTGAAATTCTTTTTCAACTTTGTCTACTATCATGTAGAAGGAAATTCTCTTCTTGGATTCACACGACACTTAGTTTATCCTCTGATTTGTGATTTAGTAAGGCGCACTTGATGGTCGTACTCATCAATGTGTCTGCTTTGTTGGAATCACCGATCAAAGTTTAGTTGGAACTCCACTGTTGTGATGGGCCGTGTCCAAAACCTGATACTGATACATCATGTACTACGCAATAATCCCACAAATGACTACTTGAGCGAAAACACAAGAGTGAGCGAAAAAGTATATTAAGCTACCAAATAAAATGCACAAATACTCATTTATATGTATATAACTCTACCCCTTAGGAAATTAATCCATTTCATAGGCAATAAAATGCACTTGTCCTTCAGGTCACTTCTAACTACCATCGATTAACCTTCTCACTAGGCTATTGCTGATTACTTCATCATATCATCCACCTATCAAATTGATTAATGTTGCAGCTTCGAATTTGATGTGTCGCTTATGTTGATAAAGTGTCTCAGTCTTTTATTATACTGATTCCTTTTTTAAAATCTACCATAGCTTTGTGTTTAACATGATTATGTTCCTTGATTTGCTTTGCAATGAATTTATATTTCAGAAGAGGTTTTTGTATATTATAGTAATTTTAATAGTTGAGATCATGAGTCAATTAAAGCTAGACCATCATGAGAAACCTAGAAGCACTGGATGGCCGTTTTGTCCTATTGTGCGACTCCTCAGTAGTGTGCATCCACGATGTTTTTGTTCCGTTCAACTCTCCTTATGAACAAATGTAAGGTGTAAACTTTCATTTTTTCCATATCTCTTCATCTTAGACTGATTTGCTGTCCAAACCTTTAGAGGGACTTATTTCCTGACTATCCGAATACTAAAATAAGTTTCCTTATTTTAAACTTATCTTAACAATTTAAGTATGTCGTTTAGATGTATATTATGATAATAGAGAATATTTGTAGCTCATGTTGGGAATGTTGAATATATTGTATATTCTGAGTGTTAGTTGGTTGAGTTGTAAAGTTTTCATTGTCCTTCAAAGAAACATTTTCAGTATGTAATTAAAAGATAAACGAGCTACTGAAATCTCTCCATAATGAATTGACACCTTAATCTGTTGACTTGGAACAATCAATCCAATTTCAGGTTAACAGAGCAAACTGTTAGTTAATTATGAAGAGATTCTAGTAGCTTATTCTTCTTTTAAATGCATAATGATAATGTTGCCTCGAGGACAATCAAAGCTTCACAGTTAAACCAATCAGTACTCAGTTAACACGGTACGAACAATACGTATTTTCTACTCCATTTTATAAAACACTTGTAACCTTTCATGAGAAAGTACAATTGTCAAGCGAAAATATTCTTGTAGTTTCCTGGGTTATTTTATCTATTATTTTATCTCAACTATTGTGTTTCCGCCTCGAGGCTCTCTGGGATTACTGCCGATTCCAAGCCCGAATGAAGAAGGAGGGTAGGGCATGGGGTTATCGACTCTATACCGTAGATAAATAACTCGCTAAAAAACGCTAACCGGAAAATTGTGTTTTTGTGCCTTCAAATAAATTATTAGAAGATTAAAGGTTTGAAAAAGTGTTACACTTATCTTGGAAGTCTGATCAGCCCTAATGGGTTGGTGTCTGACGAAATCTCAGCACGGATTCGAAAAGCTCGTTCGGCTTTTGCCAACTTATGTCACCTTTGTCGAAGGCGAGATATCCGTCTATCAATAAAAGGACGAGTATACTGCGCGGCAGTCCGTTCGATTTTACTTTACGGCAGCGAAACATGGCCTTTAGGAGTAGAAAACAGCCGTAAGCTACTAGTATTTGACCACAGATGCCTTAGAAATATTGCTGGCGTCTGTGGGGATCACCGGGTAAGTAATAGTGAGGTTAGACACAGGGTATTAGGTAATGATGGTAAATCAGTTGATGAGGTTGTTAATCTTCATCGACTGAGATGGCTGGGCCACGTGTTGCGTATGCCTGAACACCGATTACCACGACGTGCAATGCAACGGGTGTTAGAGATGGTTGGAAGAGAATTAGGGGCGGCCAAACCAAAACGTGGCATCAGTGCTTGAAGACACTAACCTCTAGTCTGAGCCATGTTGGTAGATGCAGACTACTTGGTTGGGGTCCGCGTGACTTTCGTAACCAATGGTTGGAGACTCTTGGTGACATGGCTCATAATCGATCACAATGGCGTCGGTGTATACACTCTCTGTCTTCCCTTAAACTAAGAGATTAAAATCGCTTCATATCTTTCTTTCTATCAACCAACTAATTCTTTCTTCCTGTACTATATCCTTATATGCAATCTTTCTTATATATATTACCACCTCTGAACTAACTACTTTTATGAATCCGGTGTTCATCTTGCTGTGTTAATGCGGTATGGCAACTTGGACCGATGCATATATGTGCCTGGTCCTATGTTGTAGCTGACTGACACTAATGATTTATGTTCATATACATCAGCTAACCACATTATTCATCTGTACTCATCATCTCAGGTTGTAATACATATATCGATTATAAATTCCAGTTGAGATTGAATGTGTTTGAACATATCTGATTGAAACAAATGTTTATTTGAGCGAATAGTGTTTAGCTATTGTTTATTTAGTCACAAATATATTACTAATAAAAACATCTTTACAACACATCTGAATACTTTGTATTTTACTTTCTATTTGTGCTTTAAGTCTTTTTCTGAAGATTTGTCTTCTACTGTTAATTGTTAACTATTGATCAGTGAGCTTTGAAGTAGTGGTTAAATACTTGACTTCGAATTAGTAGGTATAACGTTTGAACCCCTGTGCTCCATATACTCTGGTTTGAGCATTTAAATAACATGACTAGCCTTCATACAGACAGTGAGGCTCAAGACCTGCCATAACAAACAAGGTACAGTAATTAATCAATGACGTTTACTAACTGATAGGTTGTACTTATCAGATTGAATTATTAACTTATCTGTCTTAGTTTAACTTGTAGGAGAATTTATACCAGTGATATCAGTGATCCGTCTGCTTAACTGCATATGTGACTGATTAGAGCTTAAGTTCACTAGGTAACTGTCCATTGTTCGAAATACCTTGAGCAACCTTACAGTGTCATTCTATTGAGTGTTTAATGTTACTAATATCGTCCTACACATTACAATTTTACCTTAAAAAATGTATAACTTGGTCCGTGCTTATGTCTCGTTTTAATTGTGCTATATTCTTTGTTGTATAATTTCGTTTTGTTTTCTGTGTGCGAATCAAAATGTATCACTTACCTATGCTCATGTGCCATCTTCAGAGCAAACCGTAGGTCGGAGTTGACAAACAATGCATGCTATTGGATAAGGCTGATTATATAGTTACGATTTTAACCTATATGCTATTGTCTTAGGTCAGAAGGGTATATGCATATATGTACCAATAGTTTTAGCATACAGTATTCCATTTGCTAATTACAGTTTCTTAGTCTCCTAGTCTAGGTTGGATAAATGAATTAGAAGCGTATTTATCTGTAGTTGAATCGGACAACCACAGAACGCAACAATTACTTCTTGAATTAATAAACTACTGTGGAGTCTTTAATCTTTATGAAAGTCAATACATCGTTGAATTTTGTTCTCGTAGTACATGATTATTTGACACAGTTATGTTGGTTTTAAATTCCTTTGTTTTCGTTTTAGTAATTGATCGATAATGTGTTTCGCTCAACATTTTCTTATGCTTCAATTCACCGATTTTACTAGTTTTCTTCTATACTATTTCAACTAACTTGTTCCTTTCTTTAGATTGCTATGGGTATACCTTTACATCGTATCAAAGATATTCGTGAACTTTATCTAGCTTCTCCATGGTCTGATTCAATTATTGACTTTAATGATTCAACTATTAATCGTCGTCCACCTAGTTGCTATGTCATTGCTGCTCGTATTACAAGCGAAGATCCTGATGAAGGTTTTAAACCACGTCCTGGTGGTGTAAGGGAATTAAATTTTCGAAGTAATCAATCAGTTTGGGGATATTTCAGTGTTAGTAGTGCAGGTGGTATACATGAATTTGCTGATTCTCAATTTGGTCATATATTCTCAGCAGGTGAGAATAGAGAACATGCACGCGAGTACGTTTAACAAATACATTTATATTTAATATTTATTGATATCAGTGATAAATAAAATAAAACCATCGTAATTTATGGAGTGTTTCCAATACTTGTTTTGAGTCGAATGGTTAAATATCAAGTCAATAACTCAGTAAACAAAGTATCCTCAGTAAAGTTTTCCCTATGAAGTATCAATTAAGAAATACTCCTCAATCAATCAGAATGGGTTTTGTGGAGAGTTTTAGAAATTTCACGGATTGAAATCATGAGTCAGTTGAAGCTAAACCACCATTGAAAACCTGGAAGCACTGGACGGCTGTTTCGTCCTAGTATGGGACTCCTCAGCAGTGCGCATCCACGATCCTGTACCACACGGGCTCGAACCCAAGACCTACTGGTTTCGCGCGCGAGCACTTGACCACTAGACCATTGAACCGGCATCCAACGGTGTTAATGTCTAACTTCAACCAATCCACGAAGTTGCGCCACCGTACACCATTGTCTTCAGTGAGTTGTTATCCCATACTAGGACGAAACGGCCGTCCAGTGCTTCGAGGTTTTCAACGGTAGTCTAGCTTCAATTGACTCATGATTTCAATCCTCAATCAATATTTCCCTTTAACCCCTATTCAAGTAGTTTCTATAAACTTTGATTTCTTTGTGACGTAGAGTTGTAATGATATTTCATTGTATTATTACCACAGTAAAAATAAAACTATTTAACACATAAATACGATTTCAGACTTTTAGTAGCTACGACTTCACTAAATTCTAGATGACTAAAGTTCGATTTTTCGTTAATTTTCCCGAATCGTTTTAATGTATCAACTTGACATCCTTTGTCAATATATCCATCTGATCTTGGACGTTTTACAATTTGTCTCTGAAATTGAATTTTGGCCTTTATGTTAGGGACGTTAGATCCCCAGAACTCACTTGAGAAAGGACCTAATTTTGTAATTTTATTTAAATAATTTGAGTTTCTTTGTTTTCGCGCCAAAGGCGCTCCTGTCACCTTCATGTCGTATTTCCCACTGGGAAGTATCTTAAATGGTATTGGTCCGTTGCGTCTTTTAGTATGCTATTTGGTCACTCTCCCTAAGGACGGTTTTGTACTGTATATATATACGTTTTGAATTGTATTTGTTGTTATCGCTCGTTTCTGACTGTTTGCAGAATATACTTCCCCATTCCAAGCTTGAACTTCTCCTTCTAGTTAGCGGGGCTGGGACGCATCAAATAGCTAGCTTACCGGTCTTTGGTCACCGAGTCTTGTTTCTCGTTCGCAGATTAAATGAACTCGTGACAGCTTCAACCCTAGCATTTTATTTCTGTTTTACCAATGTAGCTGTTGTAGTAGGTAAATGTAAGTTTGTGTAGTCACTTGACAGTATGACATAAAAAACATACCTATCAATATATATATATATATATATATATATATATATATATATATATTATAATATATATATAGCTGGAGTAAAGAATTGTAGGACATGTTCTGGTAATGTAGTATTAAATCTTCGGTTGATTTTCCTCATAACATTTTTATCATTGAGTTTAAACTGAATATAAAATGGTTATTATCAGTTTAGGTGTTGTGGAGATTGTTAAGTTTTTGATTAAGATCATGAACCGATTGATGTTAGACCACCATTGAAAATCTGGAAGCACTGGACGGCCGTGACCAGTGGAGCTAATTCGTGTCGGGTAGAAACAGGTGTCTACCTCAGTACAATGGGAGATGGTCGCGCAACTTTGTGGATGGGTTGAGGTTAGATATTAACACCATTGGATGTCAGCCGGCTCAGTGGTTCAGTAGGTTAAGCGTTCACGCGTGAGACTGAAGGCCTTGGGTTCGAATCTCGCGAGGTGGGATCGTAGATGCGCACTGCTAAGGAGTCCCACAATAGGATGGAACAGCCGTCCAGTGTTTCCAGGTTTTTCATGGTGATCTAACATCAATCAGTTCATGATCTTAATCAAAAATGGTTATTTTGCTTACTATATTTTTTAAAGGTTTTATAAGTTCACTTTCTTATAAAAATGTATTTGGATACCATTTATTGTGCAATCCTTTTTTAACACTCATTATTTCAACTGTTATGTAAACAGTATATTTTATTTGCTGTTCTATAGGATATTGTTTTTACTAAGGCCTTTTTGTGACTGTTTACTATGGAATATAGAAATGATATGACGTTCCACTTTCTTAATATTTTGATTTATTGAACTGAGAAATAGGACAGTAATTTAGAAAAATGTGAAAATCATACATCAAATACATTATTTACACATCTTTGTTGAATTTTCTCTTGTAAGCCTCATTGTTCCTTCATTTCTATTGTTATATTGATTACTTTCAGTTTCCTTTTCTCTTCTCTCTATTCAAATCTTCTCAATCTTCTACTCGTAGATATTGTACTTCCAACTGATGTAACATACTATTTATATCTGCAAACACAAGTAGTATGCACCACACTATTGCTACTACTACTATTTCTATTGTGAAGGTCACATTGATAAAAGAGGTGTATATGAATTTACGGTTGATTCAACATTTTCTAAAATGATTTATTAACAATATCGTTGATTGTAATTCATAAATAGTTTTTGAGCAGCGATTCTACTGAGCACTATACATGTAGTGTAATATTTGATTACCAAAAACATCGGAAGCATTGGAATGTTTCCTGTAGTCGATCCTTACCTACCATTTACATAATCCCTCATACAAATACGTAAACTGTCATGCCAACACATTTTCGGGGCTCTTCATAACCTTCTTTTGATTATTTGATAAACTTTTTTAAAAGTTTCGATGGCTTTTAATTCTTTTTTTCCCCTTCGATTAGGAATATGGTTCTAGCATTAAAGGAATTATCTATTCGTGGTGATTTTAGAACTACAGTTGAGTATCTTATCAAAGTGATGGAATCTGAAGCTTTTATGAATCACAAGATTAATACAGAATGGTTAGATGCACGAATAGCACAAAATGATCAAGTAAGATAGTTATTGTTAGTGTTTTACTTGAGTATGACATCTTTAGTGTATTGGATTTAAAATTCATACTGTTTTACTAAATAGTTGGCACATATTCTAAGCAGTTTGTTTAGGTGCAAATACTCTGGTTCAGATCCATACAAACGTGATCAATAGTTAGAAATATCCTATCTTTCTGTGGGATACGTAATGATAGAATGTTATTGTGACACTGTAAGAAGCTTCCATGACCTCCTGAACAAAGTCTGTAGAATCTCTAAATTGGTCAGAAAAGTTTCATTTCCCGAATTACACATTGAAAGCTTGAAATATTAATTTCTTAGGCAATTACTAGACTCTCATAATCTACGATACTTGGAACTCAAGGGGAACAGAACAAAAATGTTTCGAAATTTTCATGTGATCTTGCGACTTGAAAATCTCTTAGTGAAACGAAAGCTAAATTTACCATAACGTGTATTTCTTGACCATTGAGATAAGGAAAAAAACATGATGAGTTTATCGATAAATTTTCCTAAGAAGTTTAAGAAGTGGTTGACTTATGGTAAATATGCACATCTTCATCGCTTTTTTAGAGCTCTTTAAAGAATTACAGATATCTATTAACTCCCTTGAATTACTATGTCTCTCTGCTCCATATTTTCTTCCGTTGCTATATTACTACCATGAAGTGGAACATTTGTTTAAGTATTCAGAATCCACTCATTGAGTCTTAGGTTGGAACCTTGTACCATCTTTTTCGGTTTTGACAACTGGTTAGTATCAGTAACCATCACATGTAGAGTGTGGCTAGGACTAGAGTACACTAATCTGCACCTTCGTAAAGAAGTTGACTGTTGTGAATATTATATCTTTTTATCAACATTGACACAATAATATAATATTACAACAGATTCTTTTAAATCTATTTTTATCTGGCTATATTCTCATAAGATGGGTAGGTAATAGTGAGGATAGACGCAAGGTAATAAGGAATGATAGTAAATCAGTTGATGAGGTTGTGAATCTTCATCGACTGAGATGGTTAGACCACGTGTTACCTATACGTAAACACTGATTACCACGACGCACAATGCTGACTAGTGTTGGGAACAGTTGGATGAAAGTGAGGGGCGCCCAAACCAAAACATGGCATCAGTCATTGAAGTCACTAACTTCTGGTCTGAGCCATGTTAGTAGATGCAGAATACTTGGTTGGGGTTCGCGTGACTATCGTAACCAATGATTAGATACTATGGGTGACATGGCTCAGAATCGACGAGAATAACGTCGGTGTATACACTCTTTGTATTTCCCCGTTAACCATGGGATTAGAATTACTTTATACCTTTATTTTAAATTCTTTCCTTATATGCAATCTTTCTTTTATATATTACTATCATTGAAATGACTATGTGTTCATCTTGTTGTGCTAATGAGTAAGATGTAGCAACTTGAACCGATGCATTTATGTACTTGATCCTACATTGTAGCTGATTGACTAACTGATTAATATGCATATCATTCTTTTTCACTTCAATATCTTCAAGTTGATCTGTTAATATTGATTTAAACTGTTTATTGTAAACATTATTATCATAGTGAACTTGTTATTAACACTATCTTAAATTGTATTATTATTATTATTGTATGTTTCTTCTTGTAAAAATAGGTTGAAAAACCAGATATTCTACTTGGTGTTATATGTACTGCTTTACATATTGCAGATAATTGTTTAAAACAGTTATTTCTTAATTATGAATTACATTTAGAAAGGTAAGAAAGTTTCAAGGTCACACTGCACAGTTATATATGTATATCTATATGCAATTTAAAGTTTACTTTATTTCAAATGCTATTGGTTACCTGTAGACCTTAAGGGGTTTACTTACTTACTTACTTACTTACGCCTGGTACTCCGAATCGAGCATAGGCCGCCGATCAGCATTCTCCAACCCACTCTGTCTTGGGCCTTCTTTTCTAGTTCCATCCAATTCTTGTTCATTTTTCTCATGTCTATTTCCATTTCTCGGCGTAATGTGTTCTTTGGTCTTCCATTTTTTCCTTTGGCCTTCAGAATTCCATGTGAGGGATTGCCATGTGACGCAGTTGGGTGCTTTCCTCAATGTGTGTTCTATCCACTTCCAGCGCTTATTCCTGATTTCTTCCTTCATTGGGATCTGGTTTGTTCTCTCCTTCTGGATGATGGCTTTCGTAGTTGTTCAAGTTTCTGCCCCATACAGTAGAACTGTTTTGACATTTGTATTGAAATTACTGACTTTGGTGTTGGTTGCCAATTGTTTTGAGTTGCAGATGTTCCTCAGTTGTAAATATGCTGCTCTTGCTTTGCCGATCCGCGCCTTCACATCCGCATCAGATTCACCGTGTTCATCTATGATGCTGACCAAATATGTAAAGGTTTTTACATCTTCCAAATCTTCTCCGTCAATTGTGATTGGATTGGTGCATTCTGTGTTGTATCGGAGAATCCTGCTTTTCCCTTTGTGTATATTGAGACCTACTGCTGCTAAGGCTGCTGCTGAACTGGTCATTTTCTCCTGCATTTGTTGTTGCGTTTGGGATAGAAGGGCCAGATCGTCTGCGAAGTCTAGATCGTCCAACTGCATCCTAGATGTCCACTGTATCCCGTTTTTCCCTTCAGATGTTGACGTCTTCATGATTCAGTCGATCACCAGGAGAAAGAGAAAGGGTGAGAGTAAGAAACCTTGCCTAACACCGGTCTTCACTTCGAACGACTTTGTCATCTGTCCTCCATGCAAGATTTTGCAGTGTAATCCATCATATGAGTTCTGTATGATATTGACTATCTTCTGAGGCACGCCGTAGTGTCGAAGAAGTTTCCATAGTATTGTCCTGTCCACGCTATCAAATGCCTTTTCGTAGTCAATGAAGTTGATATAGAGTGATGAATTCCATTCAATTGATTGTTCCACAATGATCCGTAGAGTTGCGATTTGGTCTGTACATGATCTATCCTTACGGAATCCTGCCTGTTTGTTCACGAAGTTGGGCGTCTACGCAGTCCTTCATCCTGTTTAAAAATACCCTGTTGAATACTTTTCCCGGTACTGAGAGAAGAGTGATGCTACTGTAGTTATCACACTTGCTGAGATCGCCTTTCTTCGGTATTTTGATCAGGAGTCATTCTTTCCAATCTTTTGGTACTTGTTCCTCATCCCAAATCTTATTGAAGAGAATGTGGAGTATCCTTGCAGTTGCCGCTACGTCTGCTTTTAGTGCCTCTGCTGGGATGTTGTCTGGTCCTGCTGCTTTGCCACTCTTGATTTGTCCGATGGCCATGCTGATTTCTTCAATTGTTGGTGGGCCAACATTGATTGGGAGGTCCGTGGGTGCTGCTTCGATGTTGTGTGGGTTCAGTGGATCTGGTCGATTTAAGAGTTTTGTGAAGTGTTCTACCCACTTGTTTTGTTGCTCCTGAAGGGGTTTACATAAATAAAATTGGTAAAACCGATCAATAATATGGTTTTATACTTCGTAGCACTATTTGAACTCTATGGATCATCAGTTGTAATGTAGAGCAGAGCATCTACTTTCTATAGTCTGCAGGCTTTCGCATTGCTGATGAATCTCGGCTGGGATTATATATAGGTTATATGTTTTTCTGAACACTTTCCAATCATTTCACATGAAGCAAAGTTCATTGTTATATTCAGTTTAGTAGATTGATTAACACAGCAACTTAATCGATGAGGATAAGGCAGTTTGAGATTGACAACTATTAAGTGATCAATTAATAATACATGAGTAATCGTGCATTTCAAGGCTTGTCAGTTATATAAAACGTTGTGATTTTATTCTATTTAATTAATAAAGCCTGTCGATGTTCGTTATTTCTCCATACTCTGAAAGATTCTAGCCATTTTGTTGTATATGACAATTGAACGTATATAGATTATTAGTCAGTCATCCAAAGTTTACTGGATACAGAATTGATAAAGTAGCGAAGACTTTATTCAATGAAATTATTGTATCATTGAAGAATTACTGTTTCACTACTTCTATCTAGAACTATATACCTAACCTTAACATTATTCACTAGTCATTTTATTGAAGCCTAGTATTTCAGAAGCATTTATTACCAAATACATGTAATATATGAATATGTTTTAATGTTATGGACCGAATTACACAGTTTTAAATGACTACAAAGTAAAATATGCCTACCTTTTGTTGTTTCTATTCCGTTGGTAGTTCAATACGGAAGAAAAAAAGTTAAAATGCGTCTTTTTTGTTGTTGATATGTTGTCACGCATCACGACTAATATAACTTCCAATGTAAGCCAAGTTGTCAACATACGTGACCATTTCATACACATTGGTCAGTAATAAGGTGAACTTTATTTGTTCGAATGAGAAAAACCAATCTCAAACATTCTTTTGCTTTATCCATTTTATAATGTTATGGCTATACCAGTTTAAGCATTCAACCGTCAACTTTGTAGAATAATAAGTTAAAACTGAATGATGCATATTCACTTTGTGTCCTTTACTTGTATGAATGATATATATGCTGATAATATCTTTTTCAAAGGATTCTGATTTGTAATAAACGCTTATTTATTTATTTGAACACATAGATTTTGGTACAAGAGGGCACCAAATACATATGCGCCACACAAATCTCATTTGATTTGTGTGAGGGATGTGATACTGCCCAGGTGCCCAAACCGAAGCAGGTGGTTTCCTTAGGGGGCCACACCCGGAGCCTTTGACTTAAAGGTCTAATCCACAAGACAGTGGATCGACGTAAGGAGATTCATTCCCATTGTAGCCGGTGACCAATAGTTGGTTCATACTCCATATGTTCCTTCACGATACTGAAGCCTATGTGAACCATTGGTTTGGAATCAATGTTTTCCAACTCACTTAGTTGGACTGTCCGTATCCACCTACCCGGTTAAAGCACTGAACATTCACTTTTCGTCCTCTCAATTCTGTAAACAAGACCCCCACCATGAGAAGACAGTGAGTAGGACTTTCCTGACAGAGGCTATATACGTGTGGCCCTGTGAGAGCATTTCGAGAGGGAGAGCGAACTCTCCCCACTCTCGGCCGTACCAGGGCATTTGGAAGCTGTGATAAACGTTTAACTTACCCAATTTACTACTGGATAGATTTTTATGATGTTCATAATTCTTACCGGTCATTCACTTCAACTTACATTGTTTTTCTTACTAATTTCTTATAGAGGTCAATTTCTACCCTCAAAAACTCTGACAAATAGTGTTGACGTAACTCTGGTATCAGATTCTACGAAATATGATGTTAAAGTAACTGTTGTTTTTCTTCTTTTTTTTTATAGTTATGTTAGATATTTTTAGACAATTAGTATCTTTATTTTTAGTATACAGAAAGAATTCACTTTTTTTAATGCGTAGGTTAAGTTGAATGTGATGCCATTTCATTGAGACATGTCTGCTCAGACTAATGAATTATCTCAGTTTTAAGAACTAGATGTGAGTGAGTACACTACGGTTTATTGAAATTCAAGTTTTAAACCGATGATCATTACTCTATTGATGAATGTCGTTATCTGCTAGGGAGTAGTTTGAATTGAATTAGTCAACCTCTGTTGAATTTCTAGATTTCATGTACTGATCACTCTTCGATCATTTCAATCTAGACATGATCATCATCAATTATTGATATATAATTATTTTCTTACATGTAATAAATATTTTGTCTCATCTACAGCATGTCCTATGTGCAATAGTGTGAGGTAATTTCTGTTCCTAACCAACTTCAAATCCAGTTCACTCAGTATCATCTAGTCAAAAAAGTCATTATTGAGTTATTCCTGCCGTAAACTATCTCCTGTAAAACCAAGTTATTGAAATCAACACTTCAATAATGAGTAGTAACAAATTTCACGTTTCTCTATTGCTTAGTACTGATTTAATTCTAGTTATTAGGTTAACTTCATGTCTACTATTTCTTATGACCGAGTACGTTTTTTGTTGTTGTTGTGATATCGTGATTTATATACTTAGGTTCTACGTACTGGACCATCGAACTTTAGTCTTATCTGTTGTGATACTGTATTAGATTTCGAAGTGCATCGTGTACCTGGTGATGGTTTATTAATTTGTCATGAAGCTGCTAGCTATATGACTTATTGTCATGAAGAATCTCAAGGTTACCGCACGGTAATTAACAATCGTACGATGATGTTGTGTAAAGAAACTGATCCAACTGTTTTACGGTATGTTTTGTGATTTCAGTAAATGTTTGTGTATCTTGTTGATTTTTATTAATATAGAGAATTGAAACCTTAAATTAGTTTTATAACAATGTAACTTAGCCGGGTATTATGGATAGTAGACTAGCTTTGAGGATACGCACTGAGATCTTACTGTTCATCTATATTTCGTTAAACCCTTAAATGCTTCGGTACGGCCGAGGGTGGAGATAGTCATCTCTCACTCTCGAAATGCTCTCACATGTCCTCGCGTATAAAGCCACTGTCAGGAAAGTTTTACTCGCGGCCGCGGTGTTGTTTACAAAAATGAGAGGACGAAAAGCGAATATCTGACGCTTTAACTGGGTTGGTTGATGTGGAGAGTCCACCCTGATTCCAAATCAATGGTGCATATTGGCTCCAGGATGTTGAGGGAACAAAAGGCGTATGAACTGATTGTTGGTCATAAATCGAATGATTTGTATGGCGCATATGTATTTGGTGACCCCTTGTACCAATGTCTATGTGTTTAAATAAATAAATATATTATTGCATTTCAAAACACACTTACGGTGTGAAATAAACGCCTTAAGCAACAAAATATGTCGTTATTCATGATGTACATCTCCAATGAAGTATGAAATACCTTGAAAACTCATCAATGTCAAAGTTTATTCTGAAGTGGTTGTTCGCATCGACAACTTGATTATATTGAGATTTCCGTCAGTCTAAATATATTGGTTATTGAAGAAATCTTTATATCAGTACGAAGCTCAGCTTAGCTTTTGTTCGTTTACTGTTCCCTTGAGACAACCAAAGGGTCAGAACACTGTTCATTCGTTTCTTGTATATTATTGTACAACTTTGAGGCGTGTTTTTTTTAAAAGAGACTATCTTTGGTTACATGTATTTTATAATGTTTTCACAAAGCACTGTTTTCGCACATTGTAAAGAATGTTAATCTTAAGTGTAAAATGTCAGTTAAGTGGGATAAGTCGGTTGTTGATAAGGCACGTATTACAATCTTTTGTGAATTTTAAGTGCATTAGACGTTATTTTCTCCACCTGGTCTGATATACTACTTTGCATAAGATTATGATAGTGCAGATGAATGGGTGGAACGATGACGACAGAACATCATTACATGAATATGTTCGAGATTCAAACCTCATTCTAACTTCAGTTCGAAGAGTTGGGAAATATTATTATTTCTTAGATAAATAGTGTCTCTCAATAAACAAGTACATAAATATTTACACATTAGATATGTAAACTGATGTTGTACTTATGATACCTACCTCAATTCATTTATCCATACTACTTGTTAAACAGTAGATTGTATATTTTCGTCATTTCATGCGAGATATAAACACTTTGTGAAATAAGTTACATTACAATATTTTTATTTTAAAAATACAATTTGGGCAATGTCACTTTCCTTTAATCTCACTATGATCAGTCAGTCAGCTACAACGTAGGACCAGGCACATATGTGCATCGGTCCAGGTTGCCATACCGCATTAGCACAGCAAGATGAACACCGGATTCATAGCAGTGGTTAGGTCAAAGGTAGTAATATATAAGGGAAAGATTGCATATAGAGATATAGAACAAGAAGAAAGAATTGGTTCGTAGAAAGAAAGATATGAAGCGATTTTAATCTCTTAGTTTAAGGGAAGACAGGGAGTGTATACACCGACGCCATTGTGATCGATTCTGAGCCATGTCACCAAGAGTCTCCAACCATTGGTTACGATAGTCACGCGGACCCCAACCAAGTAGTCTGCATCTACCAACATGGCTCAGACTAGAAGTTAGTGACTTCAAGCACTGCTCTCACTATGATACGACGTAGTGTGTCCCAGTAACGTTTTGACTGACAATTCGTTTTCAGCTACTTATAGTTCAATGCTCAGAAGCTTTCAGTAACTTCAATACTCCCATTCAGCCATAAAAAACAATACAACTTAAGTAATGTCAGCTTAATTGTTATTGTAAATCTTTCTTTTGCTTTGTATATACTTTCATGAAAGTATATGATTCGTGATATTCTTGCTACAACATGACATAATTTTATATTCTAATTAGATCTCATTCTGCTGGAAAACTTCTTCAATATTGTGTTACTGAAGGATCACATGTTTGTGCAAATGAAGTATATGCTCTTATTGAAGTAATGAAAATGATATTTGAACTACGTGTTCCAACATCAGGTATTATCACTTTGAAACGTATTCCTGGAGCTATTCTTGAACCTGGTACAGAATTGGCTCGTATTGAATTAGATGAATCGAGTCAATTGAAACCTTTACAAATATTCAAGTTAGTTGATATTATCCATAAATAATGAAGAAGCTTTACAACTGAAAAGACCTTTTGTATTATTAATTATGGTGCTGTACGAGAAATCCTTACTAATTTCCAGATTGAATCAGACTGACAAATTGATTAGGGAATGCAATGTACAAGATTTTATTGGTGAGACTATAATTTATAGATGACCTTTGAACAACGCTAGACTGATCTTGAGAGCGTCCTTGTTAATAACCGGGACTAAATGAGAATTATAAACTTGTATGAGGAATGAGAATTAGAATTTACAGTTGATGATTAAGTTTAGGAATTAGATTTCGGGTTTTCATCACCAAATTGACATCAGCTATAATGCCAAAATTTTATTTATCCTAATGAATGGAGGAACTTCGCGCCAAAATCTAAGACCTGTTAATCTTATACGTAATTGGTTCGTTCATAAATTATAGTTTCGTTGTAACAAGTTTATTCTTTAATATGATTTCAATGTGTCATGATATTTATCTTATTCGATGGAAATTCGAAAAGATGATAACACATTGATCATTCTTTTGTTTATTATTTTATATTCATTCATACTGTAAAATTCAATAAGAAAAACAGTCCTATTACCATTTCAATGTTTAGTAATTGTCATATTAGACGTGACCTGTTGATTTTCGTTTCAATAACCGGTGTATTTATATTTATATTATTTATATAGATGCACTGGTACTGCCAAGAGTGGGGAGAGTCCGCTGTCTCTCTCCAAATGCTCTCACATGGCCTACTCACTGTTTTCTCACAGTGTGGGTGTTGTTTACGAAATTGAGGGGATAGAAAGTGAATGTCTGGCACTTTAACCGTGTTGGTGGACACGGAGAGTCCATCTAGGGGAGTTGGAAAACCTTGATTCCAAACCAATGGTGCACATGGGCTTCAGAACCCTAAGGAAACAAATGGCGTATGAACCAATCGTTGGTCACCGGCTAAAATAGGACTGCATCTCCTTACGGTGCTCCACTGCCTTGTGGATTAGACCTTCAGGTCAAAGGCTCCGTGTGTGACCCCCTAATAAAACCACCTGCTTCGGTTTTCGGCACTCGGGCCGTATCACATCCCTCACACAAATCTAATGAGATTTGTATGGCGCATATGTATCTGATGCCTCATTGTACCAATATCTATGTGTTCAAATAAAATAAAATATTTATATCCATTACATAAATAGTTCCATATAAAGCTTTAAAAACACCCTTAATCAATATTGTATCTATTCTATAGGCCAATAATAAGTTTGTTTACATTTGACAATATAACACGTAATATAAATTAAACAAGATTATATTAATGATGATTATTATCATAGTAATGTATTCAGTTTTAACTATGAATCTATAGTCTATAATTAACGTATAACAGTCCTAATGTAATGTAATTTACAATTCGATTGATAATATAAGTCCATCTATTGTTGTTGTTGTGGTGGTGGTGGTGGTTGTTATTGTTTAACAAATGATAAAATAAGGTATAGTGGTAGTCAAAACTAATTAAGTTAACATGAATGGTACCATACAATGTTTGTTCTTGTTGTGTTTTTTTTTTGAAAAAAAACAAAAGTAAAAGAAGAAGACGACGAAGAAGGAGTTATGTTCTTCTTTTCGTCTATGTAAAATATCACAACAACCAAATACATTAAGATACAATTATTCTATTTACAAAATTGATTTAAATATAACCAATTTACACACATTGTTACTAAGGTTGAATTGTTCTCTCTCGAAATGGTCTCAATTGGCCACGTGCATATAATCAATGATAAGGAAGTTCTATTCATTGCCTTCTTGTGGCGGAAGGGGGTTCTTTATGCAATTGAGATGACGAAAAGCGAATGTCCGGTGTTTTAACCTGGTTGGTGGATACGGTGGATTCACTTATGGGAGTTGGAAATCCCTGATTCCAAACCAATGGATCCTAACGAAACAAATGACGTATGAATCAGTTATTGGTCACCGGCTACCATGGGACTGCATCTCCTTATGTCGCTGTACTACCTTGTGGGCCAGACCTTTCGGTTAAAGGCTCGGGGTGTGGCCTCCTAAGAAAACCATCTGTTTCGGTTTGGGCACTCGGGTAGTATCACCCCCCCCCCTACAAATCAAATAAGATTTGTGTGGCGCATATGTATTTGCTTCCCCCTTGTACTAACGTTTGTGTATAAATAAAAATAAAAATTTGATTCTTATCAACAGCACCTCTTTAGCTAGAATATTTCTCATCTATCGTATTTTAAAGTGTAACGAAAAATGTGTAACTCATATGTATGTGTTCATGGTGTTGTTGCATTCTCTAAGCTAAATAATTTGATTGCATAAACTTTATATTCATTCTGAACAAAATATTAAACGCTTTACTTCAACAATTATCGAGGTGTTTTTTTTTCTTAATTACTCCAGTGACACTAAATCAATTCATTTCGATGATCTTATTTATGATTTGTAGTGAAGATTGTAGATTTAGGAAATTCTAAGTATGTTATGACAGTTTTTAGAATTACGACGTTCATGTTGATCGTCGTTCGATATACATTTTGAGAAAGATCCAGTTTATTGATCCATATGGAAAAATTCGATCAATCTAACTGACAGAGGTCAACGGAACAGAATGTTTACCGTAAATGCTATGATACATGAAGACAACAAACCTATGAAAACATGTTATATATACAACATCATCAGAACGATGACTTAATTTAGAGTTTATGGAAATTTCTTTAAAGTCACTTGTACATAGAGTTAACAGTGATATAGTTGTCCAAAAGAACAATACAAGGCTCATGATCGAATTAAACACCTGACAGAGCTCAACTCCACTAAAAAAAACACTCATATGTTCTCTCCGTGTGTTGATGCAGATATCATATTCTGAGCTTCGTAATATTATATTAGTTTGAACTGTAGGGATAAAATCCCCAAGTATTACATAATATATGTACTTCAAAATAATTAATATCATCCTATGATGTTTTTCAATTGAGTCACTTTTTAACTTACTTACTTACTTACGCCTGTTACTCCCAATCGAGCATAGGCCGCCGACTAGCATTCTCCAACCCACTCTGTCCTGGGCCTTTTTTTCTAGTTCCATCCAATTCTTGTTCATTTCTTTCATGTCTATCTTCATTTCCCATCATAATGTGTTCTTTGGTCTTCCATTTTTTCCTTTGGCCTTGAGGATTCCATGTGAGGGTTTGCCTTCTGACGCAGTTGGGTGCTTTCCTCAATGTGTGTTCTATCTACTTCCAGCACTTCTTCCTGATTTCTTCCTCCATTGGGATCTGGTTTGTTCTCTCCCACAGTAGGTTGTTACTGATAGTGTTTAGCCAACGGATCCGAAGTATTTTGCGTAGACAACTGTTAATAATCACTTGTATCTTTAGGATGATGGCTTTCGTAGTTGTTCAAGTTTATGCCCCATACAGTAGAACTATCTAGACATTTATATTGAGAATTCTGACTTTGGTGTTGGTTGACAGACAGTTGTTTTGAGTCTCAGATGTTCATCAGTTTTAAATATGCTGCTCTTGCAGATCCGCGCCTTCACATCTGCATCAGATCCACTGTGTTCATCAATAATACTGCCCAAATATGTAAAGGTTTTTACATCTTCCAAATCATCTCCGTCAATTTTGATCAGATTGGTGCATGCTAACGCTAACCAGAGTCACAGTTAGTTTTTTTCTGAAACACAAATTGTACATATCATCATGTATCGTTTTATTTCATAATTTATTTCACTTACCTTTTGTTTCTTAGTGGTCCCTTCACTTTACCTACTGAATACAGTGGTGATATTAGTCAATCATCTTCATCATCATCATCATCATATTCTCGAAAATTATTGTTTCTTCCACAATCTAATATGGTTTATTCATCTACAAATAATATTTATCAATCATCTACACAATCAATTGAAGAGATCAAATCAAATATTCCTCAGCATTTAATTAATGATTGGAAATGTCTTAATACAAAATCAAATTGTCTAATTGATTCATTATCATCTAATAACAATGGTATTAGTACTGGTTCAAATGACGATTCAATGTGTATGCTTACGAATTCATTATCATCGAATTCAGCTTCTTCAACTACAAATGGAAAATTACATTTACAATTTACTCAATTATTAGCATCATTAGAACAAATTTTATTTGGTTATTGTTTATGTGAACCATATTTTAGTAAATCATTAATGAAAACTTTAAATCAATTTCTTACATTGTTATATAATCCACGTTTACCACTTCATGAATTACAAGTTAGTTATTGAAATTTTTTTTCTTGGTTTATACTTTACTACACTACAACGTAGGACCTGGCACATATATGCATCGGTCCAAGTTGCCATACCTCACAATAACACAACAAGATGAACACGGAATTCATAAAAGTAGTTAATTCAATGTTGGTAGTGATATATAAAAGAAAGATTGTGTATAAAGACATAGTACAAAAAGAAAGAATTGATTCGTAGAAAGAAAGATATGAAGCGATTTTAATCTCTTAGTTTAAGGGAACACAGAGAGTGTATACACCGACGCCATTGTGATCGATCGATTCCGAGCCATGTCACCAAGAGTCTCCAACCATTGGTTACGATAGTCACGCGGACCCTAACCTCCAACAAGGGCGGCCTGCTTGAGCATCTGGGCTACCTGTTCCTCCCATCTAGATATTTCAACAAGTTATCTATTGTTGTTTGTTTTAATATATCATTATGTTTATTAATCGTATAGCCTATCCTGCTGCGTTTCTGAAAAGTGTACAATCTTTCGTTGTCAAAGTTACAGAAAACTCAATAAGAGACAATATGGTTGCTGGCAATATACAACGAAAAGAATGTACATTATTCAGTTGTTCATTCACTGAAGTGCTAACATCTAACTGGCGATCCCTCAATATTTATCGCCAGGACCGACCAAGAAGAAAGAAACGGAAACTTGTTGAAATACTTTGCGCTGAGAATTCTATATTGTACCAAAATTATAATATTGAATAAAGCTAATAATAATAAATAAATAAATAATAAATAGTCTGTATCTACCAACATGGCTCAGACTAGAAGTTGGTGTCTTCAACCACTGATGCCACGTTTTGGTTTGGCCGCCCCTAACTTTCTTCCAACCATCTCCAACACCAGTTAGCATTGCACGTCGTGGTAATCGGTGTTCAGGCATACGTAACACGTGGCCCAACCATCTCAGTCGATGAATATTCACAACCTCATCAAACTGATTTACCATCGTTCCCTAATATCCTGTGTCTAACCTCAATATTACTTTATTGCTTGTTGAATATCTTTTTCATTGTTGTATTAATTACGTCTTTCATGGGTATTAAAGTTTAAATACACTAAGTTGTTGAAGGAAACATTTGAGTTAGATTCCGCATTAGTTTGGATTGATCAACTTAGAGTTTTTTTAGTCTTGATGGAATTAATGTTTTCTATGAGATTCTAACTGAATTCAACAATCAGGGAAGCTACTATACACTGATTCCTGTTGTGATTTTGCTTCACGTATGACTAGAGATATTTACATTGATTGATCATTGTTTGGTAATTATTATTATCACGTTTATTAGGTCTTTATTAGTGATCAAGTTGTAATGTGTTTATTAATTAAACTATCTCGATATCTCGTGCTCTACATTATGGTTTAAAGTCAGTTGAAAGGAAGAATGAACGAATACTCGGTTGCGGACAGCTAATTTATTGTTTATTAAAAAATTACTGTGTTGATTGGTAAATTGTGATAACCTGGAAGCACTGGACACCTGTTCCGTCCTATTGTGGAACTCCTCAGCAGTGTGCACCCACGACCTCGCCCCCTGCGAGTCTCGAACCAAGAACTTACTGGTTTAGCGCGCGAGCACTTAACCACTAGGCCACTAGGCCGACATCCGATGGTGTCAATGTCTAACTTCAACTAATCCACGAAAATGAGCGACACATCCACAACAAATCTAGTTGAACTCCACTGGTCACTACTTCTCATGATCTAAACTATTGAAATGACTATAATATCCACAAAACCCATCTGATATTAAAATGTGATAATCATACATTAAATACTTAATTTTTGAATCCTCCATCAGTTATCCTTTACATCTTTTATGATTGTTTCAACTCTCAACTCCTTTTTCTAATGTTCTTCAGTTCAATCTTCTCAACCTGTTTTTGAACATGCATTCTACTTTTGATCGATGTTACATACTACTTATTTGGATAGACATAAGATTGTAACTATTAAGTTCAAGTCTTTATTTATATAAGTTCAGTCAGTCAAATGATATTCAGTTAATTCCAATGTAAATTGTTAACCTTAACAGGAATAAATAATAGTAATCTTTTTATATTCAGTTCATTGTCATAATGTAAGAACATATTTTATATGGACTAAGGTTAATCACATATTAACATTATATCTATAGTGATTATCATAAACTGCTTAGATCAAAATAAGATGGATCAATAATTGAAAATAACAAACTAAATTGAATTGTGCCAAAAACGATTGTGTTTTAATCTGTTAGTTATCAACTGGTTCACAGATTCATTCAATATGACTTAAACATATGATTTCTATTCAAATCATGGATCTATCTCATTTAGGCCATTATCTCGAAGCTAGAAGCATTGAATGACCGTTCCGTCCTAGTTATTAACCTCCTTATCGTTAGCGTATAGAAATACGCGTCGATAATATTGAATCAAAACAAATAATTATTGTACAATTTTGTTAATGTACATTTCTATTTTCATTGCATTCTAGGATACATTAGCACATTTAAAAGGTCAATTACCACCGAACATGGAAAAATCTTTACGTCATCATGCTAAACTATATGCAGATCAAGCTACATCTGTATTAGCTAATTTTCCTTCAGAAGCAATTTTACAAATAACAGATGAATATTTAAAACAAATTAATCCTGGACAATCAACAGATTGTTCTGTACTAGAATTTCAACGTATTACTCAACGTTTAATTGATTTAGCAGAACGTTATAAACATGGTCTTCGTGGTCATACTGTTCGTGTTATCTCTCAATTATTTATGGGTTATGTTGTTATTGAAAAACATTTTCAACATGGTTAGTTTAAATTTATTGTTTTATTATTGTGTTATAATTAAAAAATCATGTTCTCAATAATATAGTTGATTATGAATACAGTGGTCTTGAGTGATGTTAGAGGTATGAGGGCGGTTATCACTTCCCGGTTGCCCACACCGTGAAAGGGTTCTTCTGGAGGTACCTGAAAAGGAATTTGGATTAAAGGTGGTCTTATTGACCTGAGAGAGTGACCACAGTGCCGAAGGGACAACTGCTTGAGGTCGGTAACACACGACGTTTTTATGAGTAATTTTTGTGTTAGCTCTGTACTTGTTGAAACCTTACCGGCGGAGACGGATATCAGTAGGATAAGGAGAGGTGTGCATCTTTAGGGTCGACCTTTTCTAACCCCACCCCTCCTTGTGGGAAGGCAGCATGGCTGTCATGCTGGTTGTCTGAAGGAAACAGCTTACTGATGTCACACCTCTGTACAGTTAACAGTACGACTTCGCCTTCGGACTTTGGGTTTGTTGCTTTTAGTGTTACTGCTCTTCAACCGACCTATCTGACATGGTAGGACGTTGAGGAACGATTGTTGCAGGCAGTGTAGCTCGTTTGCTTCATCAGGATAGGCAAGCCTGACCACCACGTCAAAGTAGCAACAACAGTCGGGGTTCTCAATAATAAAGTCTATTAGTTTACATTAAACTTTTGAGAATGTTTCCCAGTAAATTCGGTCTAATTTTCAATTTCTGTTTTCAAACCACTTATAATATTGGAGTCGATTATTTGCTCTTACTATGACATAATAATACCATTTTTATCTTCAACAGAATTCTATACCATCGTATGTTCCCATTCTGCTTCTTTAATTATATTTGATAGTGATAATCATTTAAAGTGGGAGACTATGAATATTCTACAATAAATTACAGCTACCTACTTACTTACTTATGCTTGTTACTCCGAATCGAGCATAGGCCGCCGACCAGCATTCTCCAAGCCACTCTGTCCTGGGCCTGCTTTTCTAGTTCCATCCAATTTTTGTTCATTTCTTTCATGTCTATCTTAATTTCCCAGCGTAATGTGTTCTTTGGTCTTCCTCTTTTTTTTGACCTTGAGGATTCTAAGTGAGGGCTTGTCTTGTGACGCAGTTGGGTACTTTCCTCAATATGTGTCTTATCCACTTTAAGTGCTTTTCCTGATTTCTTCCTCCGCTGGAATTTGTTTTGTTCTCTCCTACAGTAGGTTGTTGCTAATAGTGTCTAGTCAACGGATCCGAAGTATTTTGTGTAGACAACTGTTAATAAACACCTGTATTTTCTGGATGATGGCTTTCGTAGTTGTTCAATGGATAGTGACAGATACATCCAACTGAGGAGTTCTAAAACATATTTCCTGGATTCCACTGCTAGTCAATATCCATCTTTCCTTATAAAGCTTATGACTTCAAGCAATATGTCCTACTGTTGAATATCTTATACGTTTCACTTTTTTTTCAATTTTCAGCTCTTTTTCTATACACCATTGATTAATATTGAATTATCTGTAGATAGATTCTACATCTTTTATATTCACATACAGGATCTCAGTTAAAGGTTTTCGTTTCAATTTGAACGTGTCAGTAATGAATTCCTACCGGTGTCCAATAATTATTTGATTTGAGTTAATATTTGTTTTATGAAATATATCGTCAGTTTACGAGTTGTGGTGATTGTTCGAATCCCGCGAGCGGGATCGTGGATGCGCACTGCTGAGGGGTCCCACAATAGGACGAAATGGCCGTCCAGTGCTTCCAGGTTTTCAATGGTGGTCTCGCTTCAATCGGTTCATGATCTCAATCAAAAGAAAACACATCGTCATCTATTCTCCAGAAATTATTTGAAAACAACACTGATTTCCTTTGTTTTCATTCTTTTTTTCCACCTTTGTATAACTAAACATACACTTTTTTAACCTACGTACAATTATCAATGAAAAAATTTGTTAAATATCTTATTTTACTGGTTGAAATCGTGAGTCAATGAAAACTAGACCACCAAAGGAAACCTGGAAACACTGAACGGCTGTTTCGTACTAACATGGAGCTCCTCAACAGTGCGCATCCACGACCCCGCCCCCCGCGCGATTCGAACGTAGGACCTAGCAGTCTCGCACCAGGCGCTTAACCAACTAGACCACTGAACTGGCCGGCATCCAGCGGTGTTAATGTCTAACTTCAACCAATCTACGAAGTTGCTGAGGTGTTCCATACTAGGACGAAACGGCTGTCCAGTGCTTCCAGGTTTTCCATGGTGGTCTAGCTTTAATTGACTCATGATTTCAACCAGTGAAATTTCTAAAATCTCCACAAAACCTCTTCTAAATATATCTTATTGTTTTTATTGCATTTTTTCTTTCTTTTTTTTTTGTCAATTTATCAGGTCAATATGATAAATGTATACGTCATTTATTAGCTAAATGTCAAGGTTCAACTCTATGGGGTAATGCACCAAAATCTGGTATATGTCCTGGTGAAAATACAATTATTGAAGATGATTTATTAAATAATTTTACTTATCATTTAGTTCCATTTAATTTTCGTAATTTAATTCAACCAAATTCTATTACAGATATTGTTTCAGTGATATTTTCACATAGACAATTAACTATGAAAAATGTACTCATTATAAATCTTATTCATTCATTAGCTGAAAGACGTGAATTATGTATGACTGATCATTTACAAAGTTGTTTAAAAGCATTAACTGAATTAGGTGGTTCAAGAAATTCTAAAGTGGCATTAGCAGCTCGTCAATTACTTATTTCTGTTCAAACACCATCATATGAATTAAGACGAAATCAAGTAAGTAATGTTTGAGTTAAAGTTATTGTGTTCTTAGTTGTTATTCATGTATGCAACATACTTTTTAGGAGGTCCTTCCCTTTGGATATCAATTAGACCGCACAATGTTGTCGACGGACTCATTACTTTAGTGGTCCGGGATCTAACTCCAGTTCGATTGTTAGTGAAGTACACATTATCAACTTAGATCGAGTTAGTGAATAACGGAATTAAATAAACCAAATACAAGAATGGATTTTTTGGATATTTTGTACAATTGTTGATCTAGACAAATGAGCGGAGAAATGAAGGGAAACGAAGATAGCGAAGCGAAATGACTGATGATGGAGAAGGCGTGTGAGCCAAATCAATTTAATCAAGCGTTAAACAATATTCATCGTCACACAAAAATAAGCTACAAACATATGATGAATAGGATAAGAAGTGTACACACATACGCTCATATGAATACAGTCAGGGTTGATAAGTGAATAAGTGACATGGTAAAGAATGTTACTCAAGAAGAATGAATAAATTGCCTTGTCCGAAAGCTAGAATAAGGTATATGAACTTAACACCATAACTGACACTACAAGTTCATCATGAGATGTTATTCTTAAATTGATAAAGAAAATGATTGTTATATGTTACGACTTGAGCATCTGAAAGTGTTGAATTGTTCTTTTTTTAAAGAAAAATGTTGTCTATATTTCATCCTAACGCTTTATTATTTTTCAATTACCTTAAAGTTCAATTAATATCAAATTATCAGTTTAGGTGTTGTGGAGATTGTTATGTTTTTGATTGACATCATGAACAGATTGATATTAGACCATGATTGAAAACCTGGAAGTACTGGACGACCGTTTCGTCCTATTGTGGGTCTCCTCAGTGACAGTGCGCATCCACGATCCTGCCTACGGGATTCGAACCCAGGGCCTTCAGTTTCGCGCGCGAACGCTTAAGCTCTTCCTGAGTGCTGTTAGAGGTATAAGGGCGATTATCATTTCCAGGTTGCCCACACCGTGAAAGGGTTCTTCTGGAGGTACCTGGAAAGGAAACTGGATTAGAGGTGGTCTTAGTGACCTGAGAGAGTGAACGCAATGCCCAAGAGACAACTGCTTGAGGTCGGTCACACATGACCTTTTTATGAGTAATCTTTGTGTTAGTTCCGTACTTATTGAGACTTTACCGTCGGAGATGGATATCCGTGGGATAAGGAGAGGTGTGCATCTTTAGGGTCGACCTTTTCTAACTCCACCCCTCCTTGTGGGAAGGCAGCGTGGCTGTCATGCTGGTCGTCTTTAGGAAACATGTTACTGTTGTCACACCTCTGTACAGTCAGCAGTACGACTTCGCCTTCGGATCTAGAGTTTGTTGCTTTTAGTCTTACCGTTCTTCAACCGACCTGTCTGACATGGTAGGACGTTGAGGAACGATTGTTGCAGGCAGTGTAGCTCGTTTCCTTCATCAGGATAGGCAAGCCTGACCACCACGTCAAGGTAGCAGCCTACTGGACCACTGAGCCGGTATCCAACGGTGTTAATGTCTAACCTCAACCAATCCGTCCAGTGCTTCCAGATTTTCAATAGTTGTCTAACATCAATCGGTTGATGATCTTAATATCGAATTATCTGACTATTGTAAACCGATCACCTACTGTAGTTGATATTACTATTACTACGAGATTTATACTTATCAAACCTACTTTAAAAATATACTCTCTTCATCTTGACTATTTAATCATATAATGATCAGTGTATATGGATAGTTCTATTGTAATTACAATGAAATGATCATTGTTCATCATTACCTTTATATTCACGTTACATATATATATGACCCAACTGAATAGAATGAACATGTCCAATTAGAATCAATCTATTTAATGTAATCTCTTTTTCATATCTATTCACTTCAACTTTTTTTTTTATTCCAATCAATCATATTTTCTGAGAAATTCTTTAATCATCATGTAGCAACTATCAAGTCTATTACCTTATATATACATATATACAGTGGTTCACTCAATGTTTTCAGGTCAATCATCTATATCATGTTTTACTTCTTTTTTTTCTTTTTCTTTCTTTCTTAAATACAAAAAAAATAATCACTGAGTTAGTTACACATACAAAATAGTTAAGGTTGATTCAATGAGTTATACACTTTGTTTTGTATCTTGAATTGTCCAGATTCCTTTTTTTTTTCTTTTCTTTTCTTTTTTCTGGTTGTCACTGTACTATGCTTAACAGACACTAACAATAACTAAGTGTGAGAATACATGAATAACCTTAGTAAACTATCATTGTGAATACATTCTTTTAATAGATATAAAAGATGACTGGAATTGATTAATTTCATATCTGAATATCCGCTAATCTACATTCCTTTTACAATCTCTTATTTATTGATTAGTAATGAGGTAATTCACTTTGGATTCACTCATATTTTGTACTAAATGTTCAGAATATATTCATAGAAATAAGGAATAGAAGTATTCAGCTCAATAAATGGATGTGTCTCCTTAGCAGTACACATCCACGATCCCACTCCCGGAGATTCGAACCCGGGACCTGTTAGTCTCACATGCGAACGCTTAACCTCTTGACCATTGAGCTGAGATTCAACAATAGGACGAAATGGCCGTTCAGTACTTTCAGGTTTTCCATAGTGGTCTAGCTTCAATTCACTTGGTCTTGTTTTGTTTGAATCATCCCATTGATCTCTATAGGACTGCAATTCATTAGTCTCTTATTATTGGCATATGTGCATACTGTGCGTATTGCCTCGATATAGCCTTCATTCACAGGCATTATATGCAAAGACGGATGGTGACTAGCAGTGGAATCCAGTCTTATGCGCGTTTCGTCATCTCAGAATTGATGTTCACTCTGATAATCGAACCGAGTACCACTCGTTTCAAACACCATCACATTATCCACTTAGCTACTAAGTTCTGATAGCCATTTGCTTGTGCAATGCGATACTATTGTTTACATAGAAGTAAGTAGTGAACAGAACACTGATGGGGACAATCGAATGTGTTTAGTACAAAATTACAGAACTTATTAATAAAATCTAACAATCAAATAGTGAATACGTAATTTGCAAAATGTCCATCAATTGTCTCATAACGACTCAGACTTCATTGTTCTTGCATTTTCATACAAATTGAATTTTATTTCCATTCTTTACTGTTCGATCCTCTTGTCTCTCTGTTGCCAGACCTTCTGTTCACGACTAACATCATATACTACTTATATCAATATAAGTAGCGCACACCACAAGACAATTGAATCAATCTTCAAAATTATGGTTAAATAGTTTAGTGTTAGGAATATTTAAAACATAAATTTATACATTTGTCTTTAAACTACCGTTTTACTGTAACATATTTTTATACTTTCTTATTCCTTTAATGGAAGTAGGTGAAGGAGAGGGATTTCGATTTAGTTATAGTTATATAATATACCCTTGTGGGCCTAAGTAATTTTACATTGGTTTTCAAGAGAATCAGACACTATCCAGACTTTCACGTGACAACCTAAACAGTATAACTCAATCCTGTTTAACAGGAGAGCCAGACACCGCCCAGACTTAAACTTTATAATCCAAGCAGTACAGTTCAATCCCACTTCACAGAAGAACTAGATACTAAATCGGCTTTAACGCTACAATCTGAATAGTACGGCTCAATCATAGAGGTATCAAGCATCCTGCAGGACCATTCGCACCATTCATTTACATATTCACGTCACATGTATAGTTATTCTGATCAATGATCGCGTGAATCAATTATGCACAGTACGAACAGACCAAAGTTGATCTATTCCGCTTAAACGACAGTCATACTCATTAATGTTAGCAATGGCAACATGCCTTACAATATCCCAATGACAATAAGGTTTAAATCTGCTCTCTGTAAAGATGAAACACCTATATCTTCAACGACTTAACTAATCAGTAAATAATACGTTCACTAAAATGCCAAAATTACCTAGTTTTACTCCTTAGCATAAATGCTCACTATTTAAGTTTCCTAAACTAATGCAAAACAATTACACAATGCTCTCGTTGGTTCCGTAGCTTAGTCTGTACATACGTTATGCTTAATCAAATTAGCAATAACCTCTTAAAATTTCTTTGAAGAAATTTTACTATTAATTATTATATTGTAAATATCATAATCAAATTATCTTACATTCATAATCAGTCAGTCAGCCAGTTACAACGTAAGGCCAGGCACATATGTACATCTGTCCAAGTTGCCAAACCTCACTAGCATAGCAACTATGAGAGTAGAACAAGCACTTACATTTCTATTAAGGTTTGGACAATAGTAGACAAAATATTTGGAATGTACACAATATATGAATATTTACAACAACAAAAGAAAATCTTGATCGATAATGCCACATAAAATTAGAATTACTTTTGTACGTTATATTCAATGAAGCTATTTGTAACATAACAATATGATCTGAAATGATAATAAACTTTATGTCGGAAAGGGTTAAATAAAGCTAGACCACCATGGAAAACCTGAAAGCACTAGATGGCCTTTTTGTTCTATTGTGGGATTCCTCAGTGGTAATGCGCATCCACGATCCCGCCTCGTAAGATTCGAACCCTGGGCCTATCAATCTCACGCGCCAGCGCTTAACTAATAGATCACTGTGCCGGCCAGTATGCAACGATGTTCATGTCTAACTTCAACTAATCCACGAAATTGAGCGACACATCCCCACACATACTTTATATGTATGATTATTATATGGTCTAAACTATCATTCCGTTATGAATGGTGGATTTTTTAATTTTTTCTTTTACTGAGGTGTAAATGTTTGTAATAATTGTTATCTCAGAAATGATGATGATGATGATGATGATTGACGTGTATAAGTTTGTCGGTTAGATGTAACTGATTTCTGTCTTGTTTTTTTTTTTTCAATCTACTTCTAGGTTGAATCAATTTTCTTGTCTGCAGTGGATACATTTGGTCAACAAGTACATCCGGAATTATTATTACAATTGATTAATTCTGAAACAGTTATATTTGATATTTTAACAGATTTTTTTTATCATCCAAATCATGCTGTGGCAAGTGCTGCATTAGAGGTAAAAATTAGTAGTTCTTTTTTGTCTGTATCTCTCATTGTTCTATTCTTGTCTGTGTATAGACATACTATCATATTATAATTTCAAGTTCATTTGATTATATAATTATGTAGACCAAAGCAGGTAGTTTTCTTAGGGGATCACTCCCCGAGCCTTCGACTTAAAGGTCTGATCCACAAGGCAGTAGAGCAACGTAAGGAGATGCAGTCCCGTGATAGCCAGTAACCAACAATATCTTCATATCTCATTTATTCCCTCAGGATACTGCAGCCTATGTGCACCATTGGTTTGGAATGAGAGTTTTTCAACTCCTATAGGTGGATCCTACATATTCACCAACACGGTTTAAGCACCGGACATTCACTTTTCGTCCTCTTAATTTCGTAAACAATAGTAATGTCGCGAGAAGGCAGTTAGTGGGACTTCCTTGGCGGTGATTGTATACACGTGGCCATGTGAGGGCATTTCGAGAGGGAGCGCTAAATCTCCCCACCCTCGACCATACCAAGGCATTTATTTTGTAATGAAATTACCAGTTGATAGGAATCGCGTTGAAAACTAACTGTAAAGAAAAACAGAAATCCACAAAGTCAGTTTATTGTACAAAAACTATCTACATATGAAACGATTTGAATCCAATCTACTTATGGATGTATGAAATCATTTACGAATCAATGTAATTATGATAATGTAAGCATTCGTATAGTCTATAACTGACTAAATTAAAGTACATATTTTATTATAATGCATTACTTTACATTGCAAACTATTGCGTTCGGGAAGTTGTCCAAATCTGATTCTAATATATACGCTTCCTATATGTGAGCACAACATGCTACTATAATGAGAAAACGAAGAGTAAGTTAAAAGTCTTTATCGGTTGACTTGAATCAGATATAAATGTATATCTGTTTTCTGCGGAGAATTGAGTCAGATTTTTAACTAATAGCGCATATCTATATCATTAGCAAGTTAGATTAAATGTTAACCGAAGGCTTGACCCCATCAGCATCTCTCGCCTATTACTTGACCTGTTTTATTGGATCAGTGTATCACAAGCATAATAAAGTCAATAAATTAATGCTCCTATATGTCTTTCGACAAAACTTTATGAGTATTCAATATATCCCGTTCGTTTTCGCGATATCGAACTAGATGGTAACAATAACTTGTGAAATTCCCTTGAGTGAATATATATGTCTGTCAGTCAGTCAGTCAGTCAGTCAGTCAGTCAGTCAGTCAGTCAGTCAGTCAGTCAGTCAGTCAGTCAGTCAGTCAGTCAGTCAGTCAGTCAGTCAGTCAGTAACAACGTAGAACTTCGTACGTACGTACATCATTTCGAGTTGCCATACCATATTAGCACAGAGATGCAGTTGTCAATTCAAATCCCGTAGTGATATAGGTAGTAAAAGTATAAGCAGTAATCGGAAAGATTAGGGTTTGAAGATGTTATTTAAAGAGTATAATACAGTGAAATAAATTTGAGAAGAGAAAAAAGAGACAAAGAAGATTCAGGAGTGCACAAAGAGTGGATGCACCTGTGCCATTACAAATGATTTTGAGCCATGTCATTCAGGGCCTCTAACCACCGCTTGCTATCATCTCGCGATCCCTAACCATGTAGTCTACACCTACCAATATGACTCAGTCCACTTGTCAGTGACTTCATGGACTTGTTTCATGTTTTGGTCTGGCCGCCTCTAGCTTTCTTCCAACCTACTCCAACACCATTGAACATCGCACGTCGAGGCAGTCGGTGATTGTGCATATGCAACACGTGTCCCTATATGGATCATACATATTCACCAACCCGGTTAAAGCACCAGACATTCACTTTTCGTCCTCTTAATTTCGTAAACAACAGTAATGTCGCGAGAAGGCAGTTAGTGGGACTTCCTTGGCAGTGATTGTATACACGTGGCCATGTGAGGGCATTTGGAGAGGAAGTGCTAATTCTCCCTACCCTCGGCCATACCAGCGCATTTGGTGGCGGTTGTAAAGTTAGGTACTAAATGACATATGAACTTCAGTAGATCACCAAAAGATTGAAAGCGAACATCTATATTGCATCTTATGCAAATATAACCATTTATATACATTTTTGACCAACCTGAAATGGTTCACTGTTTTTCAGTTTCCGGTTTAACAATCAAATTACTTAGATAACCAGATCGTTTTTTTCCTTGTTAATTCATGAATCAAAATACTAATTGGAAAAAAAAATGTATACATTATCGGTCAAAAATTCAAAATGTTTATATGTAATTAATCCACTTTATTTTACTATTCTATTGTTTATTATTAACTCATAAACTGTATTGAATTATCGTATAATTTCGAACTATGTAGTTTATTTCACTGGTTGAAATCATGAGTCAATTGAAGCTAGACCACCATGGGTCGTGGATGCACATTGCTGAGGAGTCATATGCTAGGATGAAACGGCCGTCCAGTGCTTCCAGGTTTTCCATGGTGGTCTAGCTTCTAAAATCTCCACAAAGCCATTCTGATATGTACTTTATGTTTTCTATTGAAATGGTGTACATTTATGTTCAGATCCATTCTGAGTACTTTTTTCTACTTTAAAGCATAGACTTTGAGATAAAATATGTCTAGAGTTGTAAGTTGTTAACTTAATAATCACTCAATTAGAGTGACCATTTGAAAAAAGTTTGATTTTCATAATTTAAATCATGAATCGATCTAAGTTAGACCACCAATGAAAAATCGAAAGTACTGGACTGGACTGCCGTTACATCTTAGTATGTAATTCCTCAGGAATGCGCATCCACGTTCCTGTATGTGAGACTCGAGTCCGGGGTTGCTCAAAATCATGTATTGATCGAAGCTAGACATTAACACCGTTGGGTCCCAGCTCAGTTGTATAGAGGTAAAGCGTTCGTGCGCGAGACTGAAGTTTCTGGGTTCGAATCTCGCGTGCGGGATTGTGAGTGCTCACTACTGAGGAGTTCCATACTAAGACGAAACGCCTTTCCAGAGCTTCCATGTTTTCCGTGGTGATCTAGCTTAGCTTGACTCGTGATTTCAGCTTTTTAAATACTACAATCTCTACAGATCCCCATACCGATAAAATTTTGATAATCCATTTCCATCCATTCAACATAGAACATTTACAAATTATTCTTGCTGTCAACATCTTTTGTATTGTAAAGGAATTGTCGAGAGTTTAGAAAAGAAAGTTTCGTGACTTGATGATTAGTGTCATGCTGTTAAACAATCAAACTGTTTCCAAGTAGTTGTCGATATGCCGTTTGATATTTTCTATTCGTTATCGACACCAAAACCAAGTCAGCTGACTCTCGAGCACACGCTTTGATCTCTCGCACTTTTTTTATCAGTCTTCGATTTTCTTACTTTATTCCTATATAGGATATAGCATATTTTTCCAGTAATAATATTCTACGTCAGTATTACAGTCATTACTCCTCTTAGTTAGAATTTCGTCCATTTGAGGTTCATATATTTTAACGCTTTAATATCTCTTCAAGAAGTAATTCAAGGCTTCGTCACATGATGAAATCTTTTAGTGTGATAGAATTCCAGTCTATATTCTCAATGTCGATATTGATTACTCTTTTTTGTATGCACTGTAATAGATATGTACGACTGTCCTCTCTAAAAGTCTGTTTAAAGATTTATACTACTACTAAGTAGTTTAGAATGTTTCAAAAATATTTGTTTATCATTCTGTCCTGAACATTAAATAATGTTTAAAAATCCCACTTATCAAACGTAGTCCTATTATTACAATTTATAAGTCCTCTTTATCTAACATCAAGGGATTTTCGTCAATAATTACCGATAATTAGAAGTTCATTTATTTCAGTAGATAATAGTTTTGGTAAATCTCCGCTATCCCATGATGGTGATGAATAATTTGCAACTTACTCTATGTAACCAAATCAAACCAAGAAATGATCGTTTTATTATCATCAACTTCGAATACTTTAAGATTTCGATCAACCATCAAGTTTTTCTCTTCATGAACCCACCTTATCACCGTCAAAGTGCCGTTGACTACAATTGTTAGTCAAACATTACTTACATTGAGTATTAGTAAAGGTGGTACCAGTAGAAATATCCAAAGATGTCAAAGTTTTAAATTTCTTAAATTTCATATTACTAACTTTTATATATTTCAGTAAACAGTTAATTACTTCTTAAAATTTTCCTCTTTTATTCAAGGTTTATATTAGACGTTCATATACAGCATATGAATTAACCGGTGTTCATCATTTTCAATTATCTTGTAGTAGTTCATTCTTTACATTCAGATTTTTGTTACCAAATGAATTTGTTTCTAAGTAAGTGAATTTTCAAACTGTTAAAATAAAAATTTTTTTTTACTTGAGATAGATAGTCATTTATTTCTATGATAGATCATTTATTTACATCCTATAAAGGAGTCTTTCACTTTCAGTATCATTTAGCAATGATGCATAATGTCGCCATTAGGTCTGTGCATGACCGATCCTTACAGAATCCAGTCTGTTTATTTCGAATTTGGGCGCCTACTGAATCCTTCATCCAGTTCAACAAATTTCTGTTAAAAAAACTTTTTTTGGTACTAATAGTAATGTGATGCTACTGTAGCTGACTTCTCACATTTGTTCAGATCTCTTGGTATCTTGATGAGATATCCCTCCCTCCAGTCTGTCTGCTCTTGTTCCTCCTCTAAAATCTTCCTGAACATACCTACAGTTACTTATATGTCTGAGTTCTATGCTTCAGCTGGTACATTGTCAGGTTCTGCTGCTTTTCCACTCTTGATTTGTTTGATGGTCGTCCTCATTTCTTCGATCGTTATTGTAGCGACATCTAAAGCGAGGTCTGTGTGTGCTGTTCTAATGTTCAGTGGAGCTGATCGATTCAAGAGTTTTTCAAAGTGGTCTACCCATCTGTTTATCCGTTCTGGAATTTGAGCGATTGGCTTTCCTTCTTTTTCTCTGATCGGTCTCTCTGGTGTACTTTATTTCCCTAATAGTTTCTTCGTTGTGTTATGTAGCTGTTTCATATTTCCTTCTGTTGAAATTTTTTCGACTGTCGTTGATAGTTCTTCCATGTATTTCTACCTGTTGGTTTTATTGCTCCTCTTCACTTGCTAGTTTGTTTCTGTGTATTCAGCTTGTGCCTTGACTTCTTTTGTTCTTGTTCAGCTGTTGTTAATTGCTGTCTTTTTGTCCCTCCCTTCTTGAATGTTGTCCAAGGCTCCCAGGGAGATCTATTCCTTATGATGATGCCTATTTCGGCCCAGCACCTCCTGACACGTTGAAGGTAATGCTTCTTCGAACCTTTTCCAGTTGTCCTCCATTGTAGTTTCTTCTTTGAAAAGGCTTGGAACCTGTCGTTGAGAGTTATCTTGAACTCCCTGAGTTTGTTAGTATTTCGTAGGAAGTCTGTATTAACCCTTAGTAGTGCTATTTGTCCTATTGCCCAGTGCCTTTTTAGTTTTAGTTTCATCTTGGCAATCACCAGGTGGTGATCTGAAGCTGTGCCAGCACCTCTCCTGATTGCTAGTATAGGGGTTGTGGAGATTATTAAGTTTTTGATTGAGATCATGAACCAATTGATGTTAGACCACCACCTTTGGAAACCTGGAACCACTGGACGGCCGTTTCGTCCTATTGTGGGACTCCTCGGCAGTGCGTATCCACGATCCCGAATTGATTGATGTTAGACACTATCACCATTGGATGCCGGCTCAGTGGTCCAGTTGGTTAAGCGTTCGCGCGCGAGACCGAAGACCGTGGGTTCGAATCTCGCGAGCGGGATCGTGGATGTCCACTGCTGAGGAGTCTCGCAACAGGACGAAACGGCCGTCCAGTGCTTTCAGGTTTTCAATGGTGGTCTAACATCAATCGGTTCATGATCTCAATCAAAAATCTTTCCATCGACCTTCTGTAACACTAGAAATCCTTATAATTCGTTAATTAAATCATCTCAATTAGTTTTTTGTACACATCTCCTAGTCTGGTTAATTTTTCGTATCATAAGCCATACTTCGCGTTACGATAAAGTATTGAACTTAGCGAAATTCAATAAACAATATTCGATGAGACTAATCATCAAAAGTTGTTCACCACTTTTAGAAACATCTGTTTACAAACGATGGGTTTCTTATATCTTCTTAACACTCGTAAATATACGATCCTTTTTATGAAAAATTTATTAGACTAAACATTCTTGTAAGTTGCAACCAATAGTCCTCAGTTATGATAGTCTGTAAGTACACGAGGAATTTCTTTAGATTAGATCAATCTATGTTTGTTAAAATTTATAGGTAAAGTACTCGACAACGTACATTTCTTCCATTTAACGAGGTATAATTGAATCCCTTACGATGACTAAGAACATAATACCAGAATGGATGTTAGAATTTATACGATTCAAGTTAGTGTATGAAATGATTCGGTTAACCTTTACAATGAAATATTAGTTTAGCTTCAACCTTAATAATTTTCTAAAATGATAGGTTATTCTTAACCGGTATGATGATCATGTTTAGATGCTTTTTTCACCAGATGATGTATTTATAGGTAGCCTCAGTCAGACAGTCAATTAGCGACAACGTAGAACTTCGTACGTACGTACATCAGTTCGAGTTGGCATACTACATTAGCACAGAGATACAATTGTCAATTCCAATCCCGTAGTGATATAGGTAGTAAAAGTATAAGCAGTAATCGGAAAGATTAGGGTTTGAAGATGTTATTCAAGGAGTATAATCCAGTGAAATAAATTTGGAAAGTGAAAAAACAAACGGACATGAAAAATTCAGAAAATTAGAATTTGGGAGAACACAAAGAGTAGTGGATCCACCTATGCATCATTGTAAACCTGCAAATCTAAGTGTATCCATTACTTTTTCTTTTTTTAATGTTTCTATGTTCAATATTACGTAATGTTTTTTTTAAAATATTTCTTACTATTTCAGTTCTTCAAGTGTTCATAATAGACGTCCTTCAGATTATCAAAGAAATCATAATTTAGAACATTCAATTGATTCTCCAATAGTTGAAAATATTCCAACTTATCATATATCTTCAACATTATTCAATGTAAATAATTCTGATTCACAAGATTATACTACTTCATCAGATACCACCTCTATTACGAATCAAAAATCAACAATGATGAATAATTTTCAAAGTATGATTGATATTGATACTACTCCTTTATCTGGTGAACGTATGGGTGGTATGACAGCATTCAATTCTTTAAGTGATTTGGAAGAGTAAGTTGTGTTAGTTATACGATAAGACGTACTTCTTTTGTACGCATAGTTCTGGTTTAAGCTTCTGAATGGTATGAGCTTCGGCTAGTTTTAAGAGTTGGATACGAAGTTCTATACTTGAACATATAATCAACTGTAACCATTCTATAGATCTACAATTTGATTTTAAGGTTGTTTATATGATTCGTTCAAATCTAACCAGATTTCTTCGTAACCAACTCTTAAAAACTCCTTAAAGCCGTAGCTCTTACCATCCAGGAGCTTAAACCAGAACTATATTTAGTTATACGTTGATAGATTTGTTTGTTTTTGTTTTCTGTCTGTGATCAATCATTCGCTTGATGTATTTTTAAAGTATATATTTAATAATAACTCAGAATGATTTAGAAATGTCCGCCATTTGAAATAGAAACAACACATTTGAGTGATAATACTACCACTACATTCTGTTAGTTAGTTTATGATAGTGAATTGGAAATTCTGAACGTAGAGTTATTTCCAATCCTCTAGTACTGGTTGATTTCTATCGATCAAATTACAATGTGGCAACTAATCTGTCTGACGTTGTATTCTATGGATTAGATTGAGATTGTTGAAGGGGATCAATAGGACACTTCGGACATACATTTCGCATGAGTTTGGACTGATCGATAAGACCTACTTGCAATCTTAGGAAAATTGATGCTGTGTGCAGGATAAAAGCTTAATGTATCCTTTTCTAAATGTTAAGATATCCTTTCTATCAATAATGAACCAACAAATTTTCAGGATTCATCTAGAAGATTTCTCCTCTTAGTACACATTTTTGTACTACTTGCTGAACATGTAGTCGTTGATGTTTCGTCGCCTAAAAGTAAAATATGAGTTGTAAATTCACTTATTTGTATCAATATTAGTGCTTATAATCTCAAGTACTTTTCCAACAAACACAAAAGTATTCGGAAAATTTAGTTTGATTCTGAAAAATATTTCGAAATCATTGCTTTTTGTAAATCATAATTATTTTCAACAGAGTTTTTCATTTCACTTGATATTGTTTGGCTTGTATCTCCCCATTGAGGTTTAAGACTGCAAGTAATCAGTCTGTTATTGGCATATGTGCATACTGTGCATATGCTTCGATGCAGGTACATCCAGCTGACGAGTCCCAAATAGGACGAAACACGCGTCCTGGATTCCACTGCTAGCTACTATTCCATCATTGCTTACAATGAGTTTTTCATTTGTTTCATCTTTTGTTGTGAAAAGTTGTAGGATGATAATTGATTTTGTATTTCTTAAAGTTACTATCTTCGTAGTTAGCTTTTATTAAACTGCGTCAATTTTAGTTCCGGCAAGAGGTCCGTCTACCAACTAAAACATAAGTGAAATTCGCGGCAATGCGCTCTGTATTGGTCTATCCTGTAAGCGATGGTCTATAAAACCAGAGGACATTAACAGAATTCAGTATTTGCATCATAGATGTTTTAGAAGTTGTAGGGTAGTCCTAAAATATTCCTCGTCAAAGTCTCCAGAGACCGTGAATCACTAGAGACCGTTTTATCCGATCATTGGCTAGAGATATTACATCAAATTCTTCAAAATCTATCAAAATAGTTCGGACGTATTCACTCTTTATCTTCCTCACGATCTTCAATTTCAATTTTTCTTCATTCATACCTTTGCTGTCTTTATTCTAGAACCTCAAGCTTTTTGGTTAGTCTTTCTTTTTGCCAACAACACTATAACATTATGATTCGTTTGATGTTCATTCCAGCCTTTTTTTTGTCTCCTTATGCTGTTATTGTTAGAAAACTTGTATTCGTGCACTTTTGCGTCAATATCTACATTGACTATGATTGACTGACTCTTAGTAACATTGTATGACTAAATCAGTCAGTCATTCAGCTACAACGTAGGACCAGGCACATATATGCATCGGTCCAAGTTGCCATATCTCATTAACACAACAAGATGAACAACGAATTCTTGAAATTAGTTAATTCAATGTTGGTAGTGATATATAAAACAAAGATTGCAAATAAGGATATAGTACAGGAAGAAAGAATTAGTTCGTAGAAAGAAAGATATGAAACGACTTTAATCTCATGGTTTAAAGGAAGACGGAGAGTGTATACACCGACGCCATTGTGATGGATTCTGAGCCATGTCACAAAGAGTCTCCAACCATTGGTTACGATAGTCACATGGACCACAATCAAGTAGTCTGCATCTACCAACATGGGTCAGACTAGAAGTTAGCGACTACAAGCACTGATGCCACGTTTTGGTTTGGCCACCCGTAACTTTCTTCCAACCATCCCGAACACCGGTTAGCATTGCACATCGTGGTAATCGGTGTTCAGGCATACGTAACACATGGCCCAACCATCTAAGTCGATTAAGATTCACAACCTTATGAACTGATTTACCATCATTCCCTAATACCCTGCGTCTAACCTCACTATAACTTACCCGGTGATCCGAGCAGACGCCAGTAATATTTCTAAGGTATCTGTGGCCAAATACTAGTAGCTTACGAGTATCTTCTACTCTTAACTGCCATGTTTCGCTGCCGTAAATTAAAACAGAACGAACTGCCGCCTAGTATACTCGTCCTTTTATTGATAGACGGATGACTAAATAATGTTATTTTATGATCAATACTGTTTAAATATTAAGTTATAAATGCTTATGTATACTGAAATGAGATTTTCAATTAAATGTTGACATGAGATCATGTTTTATACACAATACAAATCATTATTATGACTTTATTTATTCACTTTTACATATTTCTGTAGATCATTCGATGAATTAATTAGATTATTCAATTCCGCTTGTAAAGAAGCTAAAAGTATTCATACTTCATTATCTGAACCAATATTTGATTATTCTCGTCAATTCACTTCTGATATTGTTCATCAAAAATCACAGAATAATCTTACTCATAATAATATTTCAAATAATGAAACAAAATTGATCAGTTTTCAAGATCCACCTTATCATACAGTAAGTGCTTTTATTTTTTAATCTACCTCAGATTTAAATTGAATTAGATTTTATTATCAATCTTAAGCTCCTAAAGGCCCTGGTACGGCCGAGAGTGAGAAGAGTCCGCTCTCCCTCTCGAAATGCTCTCACATGGTCACGCGTATATAGCCTCTGACAGGGAAGTCCTAATTAGTAACTTCTCGTGGTGGGAGTGTTGTTTACGAAATTGAGAGAACGAAAAGCGAATGTCCGGTGCTTTAACCGGGTTGGTGGATATGGAGAGTTTACCCAGGGGAGTTGGAAAACCGTGATTCCAAACCGATGGTGCACATGGTCTCCAGTATCCTGAGGGAACAAATGGCGTATGAACCAATCTTTGGTCACCGACTACCATGAGACTGCATCTCTTTACGATGCTCCACTGCCTTGTGGATCAGACCTTCAGGTTGAAGATTCCTGGTGTGGGCTCCCTAAGGAAACCGCCTGCTTCGGTTCGGGCACCTGGAGAGTATCACAGCCCTCACACATGTCAAGTGAGATTTGTGTGGCGTATATGTATTTGGTGCCTCCTTGTACCAATATCTATGTGTTCAAATAATAAAAAAAATAAATTACGTTTTACGGATAATAATCAACGCATTATATTTTCTATTGTTAAAATTGTAAACTCATTGAAATTGGATGTTCAATCAGTGGTTTAAAGTTTTTGAGTTTTCTTCGCTGATGGAAATATAAATATGCATTGTTGAAAGGTTCTATACTAGAACGAAATAACTTTTCATCAGTCTCATGATGTGGAACTTTATATGAAACAATCTCCACAATACTCTATAGTAAAAAGTCTCATTGTTTAATCCTATGAGTTTGAATGTGGTCTACATGTTTGATTTTTTCTTAGTGCTGTAACTTAGTACATGGGACACTTTCTGTTACATATAAATGGATTAATTTAGCTTGATAACATAAATAATGCATGTATTACTTGTTTCAATGGCTTTCTAAACTATGGCGTCTTTTGATCATATACCCATGTCAAAAGTTTAATATTCAGATTTGCCTTCTCTATATAAGACTGTGTTTATGGTTAAGTATACTTAGAAGGCAAACCGATTTTCATTCTTGAACTTGTTTTCAGAAATCCATTTAATACAATAAGGTGATAGTTGCAGTTTACTGTCATGAGGTTAGAAGTAAAAGGGGATAGGTTTTACACTTTAGTTCAATGTTGATTGGGACGTATCAGGCTAATGTGACAACAATCATGGTGAAATCATCGTTTTCTTAGTGATACATAATAGAAGTTCAGTGGTAAACCCGAATTGTAGAGTCAGTATGTTCGGTCCAGGTGAATATTCTGTACTTTCTTTAAAATCTCTGATGAAGCACTCGTTCTCAAGTGATTTTAAGTGTCTGGT